TCATTGACGCAGAGAGACTCTTTTTTTTTCCTGGACATAAGCCGCTCGATAAATAAACATTCATGCCTTTTACGAGGGAAAAGTAGTGCTTATATTTTCAGTTTGCCATTCTGACTCCTGGTCATTGGTGTGTGCAACTGACTCGGCTTGTACTAATGTGTGAACACCCGCACTACTCTGCCTTAGATAAGCAAACAATGGAAATGTACTCTGTCCAAGCCAATCATCACATTCTCAGTTACACCACATTCACTCAATTATAGTAATGTGCATTTTTTGTGTCAGAAACGGTATTGGCGTTATAACGGCGAAACCGAAATGCATTTGATTACTCGTTACTGAAAAAGTATCACAGTTTATTTATAGTGTCATTATTCCCATCACTGTCCATGACCCTACAACCTTGAAGGATCAATGAATTGCAGGTGAAAAGAACACAGTCCTGAACTTTCATTATCATTCTAAAACAATAAAATAAAACAAGCATAGATGTAAGAATGCAAAATTCTAAACCTTTAACTGATTAGGAAATCATTTAAAAATAATTTTAGAGATCATTTAATTGGACAAACAATTAATGCCACAATGACACCATTCATCCATTCATTTTCAATTTCAAGGGATTTTGGAGCCATTTTATTTTTCAAAAAATAATTGGTATAGGGGTTTCCCAGTACAGGGTTGCAGCTGGAAGGGCATCCGCTGCCTAAAACATTTGGTGGAACAGTTGGCGGTTCATAAATAAGAGACTAAGATGAAGGAAAATTAATGAATTAAAGGGTTGTTAAGTGCATAATACAGCCCACAACAACCAAAATCTCATTATTACCCTCACATCATTCCAAACCTGTTGGAACACTCAAATGAACATATTTTTGAATGAAATCTGAGAGCTATCTGCCAATAGTTTTGTGCAAAAAAAAAGAAAGAATTGTATCTTAACTTAACAAAACGCTTGACCCACTGAGACACCTGGATGTTTTAGTGATGTTGTTGGCACTTTCATTCTTCCTGTCTATAGAGAGATCTTGGATCTCATAAAAATATCTTCATTTGTTTTCTAATGATAATTGAATGTATTATAAGTTGGAAGGACATGAGTGTGAGTCATTAATGACAGAAATTTCATTTTTTGAGTGAACTATCTCTTTAAGGTAACTTTATTTCTCATTAAGCAGTCTCCGTGAATGCAGACATATTTCTCCAGAGTGTTGTCCTAAGTTGCCTTCTCTATATAGAGATATCAGGCAGGGAAAAGGAGCCAGACAGGCGCCTGATTGAGTCCCTTGGAGAAGTGACAACAAACAAACAGGTTGCATCACCCTCAGAAATGCCATGTGAGTTATAAGACACACTGACAGTGGGAGTTTTACAAGATTGCAAGTCATTACCTTTATAAATAATTATACCATGGTCTGCTGAAATTCTTGGTTCTGATTGGCTAGAAGATGCACAAGTTGTTCCATTCAGTTTTAATCACAGTCCTAAAGACAGTATAGTAAGTGAGTAATATATATTTCTGTAGCACATTTATCAACAGCGCTTCACAATCATGAGGGTGGGGTCTCTCCACACCATCCCCAGTGTGCAGCATCCTCTTGGATAATGCGATGGCAGAAACAGGACATGGGTGCCATTGCGCTTACCACACACCAGCTATAGGTGGAGTAGAGAGGTAGTTATAGAGCCAATTCGGTGGATGGGGATGATTGGGAGGCCATGATAGGTAAGGACTGATGGAGGGAATTTGGCCAGTACACCAGGGTTACACAACTACTCTTTTACAAGAAGTGCCATAGGATTTTTAATGACCACAGAGAGGTAGGACCACGGTTTTAAAATCTCATCCAAAAGACGGTGCCCACTGCAGTGTAGTTTCCCCTTCACTTTTACTGGGGCGTTAGGACTCACACAGGCCAGAGGTTGAGCGCCCCCTGCTGGCCTCTCTAGCACCACTTCCAACAGCAACTTAGTTTTCCCATGTGGTCTCCCATCCAGGTACTAACCAGGCTCAGCCCTGCTTAGCTTCAGTGTGTAACTAGTCTTGCAGAGTGATATGGCTGGTATGTATATACTATATATACAACCGCAAAATCAGAAAAATTGTATAGAATAAAAAACACAAATAAAAGAAAGAAAGTAGTAATTTCTAAATTTGAGTTCAGATGCAAAAGCCTCTAAATGCCCTCAGAAATTGAATCCTAAAATGAAAATTGTTTTCAGTCTCCTATGTTTATGTTCAGTTATTTAACTTTAAAGGTAATAAAAATAACTGATTTGTCACTATAAAAGTAAAACTACTTAGCCCTACAAACAAGAGTTGGAGAATAATGTTAATTTTGAAAGAAAATAACAAGCAGGATTTAGACGTTTTTGCATCTAAACTCTTCATTTCCTTTTTTTTTTTTTTACAATAAACATTATTTGATGTGTTCCTCATGATTTTATTATTATTATTTTTAATACACCCATATTCCAAACTCTAAATGCACCACACATGCTCTATTGATGTAAGGTCAGGACTGCAGGTGGGCCAGTCAAGTACCTGTATCTTCCTCCGCAGCAACAACTTTGTAATGTGTGCAGAATGGGGTTTTGCATTGTCTTGATAAAATATGCATGGGTGTCCCTGGAAGAGAAAGCAGCATATTTTGCTCCTAAATCTCTATGTACTTTTCAGCATTAATTATGTCATCACAGAAGTGCAATTTACCTTTGCCAAGGGCACTGACACAACCACGGCAGACCCTGGCTTTTGGACTTGTTGGTGATAACAGTTTGGATGATCCTTTTCTTCTTTGATCCGGAACACATGCCATCCATTTCTCCCAAAAAATAACTAATATACTGATTCATCTGACCACAGTACACATTTCCAATGTGAGATATTTCATCCAAGATGCCTCTGAACCCAGAGAAGTTGACAGCGCTTTTGGACACTGTTAACATAGGGCTTCCTTTTGGCACATACAGTTTTAACTGGCATTTGTGGCTGTAACTACATATTCTGGTACTTGACCAAGGTTAGCCAAAGTAGTGCTCCTAAGCCCATGTGGTGAAATCGCTTATAGATGAATGAGAATTATTGACTCAGTGCATCTGAAGGATCAGGAATCACGGTATCTGGGCAGAGGAAGATCACACTGCCCTTAACCACAATGTGAAAATGAAAGTGACCAGTTAAGAAAAAGAAGTGAGGTGTTGCGGACCTCTATTCTGCCGCACTATGCGCGGATATAATTAAGGACACGTGGGTGCTGATGGAGGTGTCGCTGACGTCGCCCTCTCTATTCTTGCGTCTATGCGCGAAAATATCTGAGGAAGTGGATGGTGAGGAAGGTGTCGCGGACATAACTGAGGACGCGGGTGGTAAGGGAGGTGTCGCGGATGCCGCCCTCTCTATACTGCCACCCTAGGCGGCCGCCTAGGTCACCTCTATGGACGCGCCGGCCCTGCTTGTCCTTTACGTACTGAAATTCTTTACTTCAATTTTTAATGATGTTCTGCATCGTTGAAGGTGAAATATCCAAATGCCTTTCTATTTTTCTTTGAGAGACATAGTTTTTAAACATTTCAATAATTTTCGCACATATTTGTTGGCAAACTGGTGGACCTCTGCCCATCTTTGCTTCTAAAAGACCAGACCTTTCTTGGATGCTGTTTTTGTACTAAATCATGATCACAATCACTTGCTGACATCACCTGTTTTGAATCACATCATTATTTAAACAATATACCTGATTACTAGCCCTAAACTGCTCCTGTCCCAACAGTTTTTGAAATGTGTTGCAGGTCTGAATGACAGGAAAGGATGTATGTTTACAAATGAAATGAAGTTGACCTGATAAAACATGAAGTATATTGTGTTCATGTTGTCTGTAATGAAATACAAGCCAAAGTAAATTTAAAATTTGCTTGCATTTAGTACATTGTCCCAACTTTTTCTGATTTGGGGTTTTAGGTATGCCCACAAAATTTATACACACATGATCTCTCTCTCACTCATGCATGCTGCCTCATTCTCTGCCTGTGTGACTGATTCAAAATAGGGAACACATTTCATAACTGATAAAAATTCAATTCATTTTTGTGTAGCTAAGAGCAAATGACCACGGAATGAGTGATATAATTGAAAACTGTTAAAGGATTTTAAATGCTCCTCTGCTTTGGGCCAGGTGTTTCTTTGTCTCTGTGATGTGCATTTAAAATCCTTTTACACACGTTGATCTATTGATCATCCCTTACTTATGCAATAAGGTTTCAAAAATTTCACAACACCATGTTATTGCAAAATACAAAACCAAATTTTCAGTCTTTACCAATAAAGGTTTAGGATTCTTGCATTTACACACCACTACCACTGTAAAGTATCTGTTATGCATGTACATCTATTTATATTTAATGATTATCACATTTCAGTTATTTTTTTATGCTTCTCAATTACAGAGAAATGATTTAACATTGAGTTATTCATTAAAATGGTATTATGAAAACTTATTTGCTCACTTTAGCAGCATGAAAAACTTCTATTCAAATTCTGAATTGATTTTACATGAAATGTAAGCATAAAGCATTGCTTTTATAATAACTGAAGTTGTCTATTACTTCAGTTTTTTCACAAGCTCAGGAAGTACACACGTTTCTCTGAATTCTTTATCGTAATACAGTTCATATCTATTGAAGTCACTGTGGAGTTCTTTACTTACCATGCTGTCTAAAAAAGATTTGAGTGTCTGCAATCTTTCTGCTGAGGTATTATTGGTGCACTGCAGATTAATGCAACTGGCAATGTATTTTATTTTCGCTACGCCTTATGTTTGCTTCAACCTAATCAAGACCTCTAAGGGCTTTGAACAGCATTTCTGGCTCCTTTTTATAGTGTTATCTGTGTGTTTTATTAGTAGAATTGATTAGAATAGAATATTTGTCTCCTGAGCTAATATGTTTTAACTTTTAAAAAGTTCATCTGTGTTAATTATGCACTTTCTTTTTTCTTCTAGTCGGACAGCAACACCAGTTTCCTCCGAGCAGCAAGAGCAGGCAATATTGACAAGGTTCTGGAATATCTGAAGGGTGGAGTAGACATCGGCACTAGTAATCAGGTAGGTGGCTATTTTTGTAGATACACAGATGAGGCTGTCAACTGCAACATGTCATGTCATCTGTGTACTATTGAAGTTTAAATACCATCATTCAATATAATTTCTCATTCAAAGAGGAACTTTTGCCATACAGCCTTTATAAAAAACAACTTCTTATTTTTTTCAGTGTTAGAATTGAGCATGGCTCAATGTTAAGGATATTTACTCTTTGTCTAGTTAGACCAGTTGTTCAGATTTTCACTTGCCTTGTTAACTTTGCATTCTCAAATAAACAACAATTATACTTTTTACAGAAGGTCACTAACTGCTTCACACATCTAGGTAAAAATAATCCTGGTTAATCCCAAGTGGCAACCTCCCGCTCTCTCTCAGGAAGCCAATACGGAAGGAACTAAAACTGCAATTCATCCGAAATTCCGCTAGTCCTGGCCGCTCCTGGCTCCAAAACAGAGCAAATTTCAATTGAGCCCACTGTTAGAATGGCCAACTTTACAGCAGAAAAAAGGTTAAATATATATACTTGAAATACATGAAATATATATACTTCTCAAAAATTATTTAGGCCACAAGAGTCAGACATAATAGGTCATCCAGAAGGCCAAGTGGAGAGGAGCTGACTATATAGTGGCATGTAGTGGTCAAAACAGAGAAAAAGAAAAAAAGCACACACATTCAGCAGAAGCTTTGGTACTTCAAGGTTGACTTATTCTCTATCAGGCGTCTAAAGTGGGATGACACTAGTTTATCAGAAAAAAATTATTATTTTAGATTTTGTAGGGGGGTGCATCAAAAGCATTGATAAATACAGTAGAGCACAGTTACAAATGAAATAAACAATGCTTTCTGGTTTTCGGTGAGTCTAGCAGTAATCTGCTACAGCAATTGAATGATCAAAGGTAAAATAACACTATAGTCTAGTCTTCAAGTTATGCACAATCTAGGAAAGGTGCACTACATGATGAAGACAAAGTAAATAAGCAATCAAAATGTACTGGGGGTTTGAGTTTGGGAGCTGATAAGGCCAAAATAACAAACACAATCTTCTATCTTACCTGTTCAAATGAAAGCAAAGAAAATACATTAAACTTACCTATCTACCTGACACAAAAACAGAAATCTGCAAACGTTGAGTTATTATTCAGGTTTTCACCAAGGAAGTTGTGTCACAGCTTTTAAAATGCGAGCACCCAGTTTGAAGTAACCAATCAGATGTCTCCTGTGGAGGGCCGAGAGAGAGACAGATAATTCCAACATTACACATGAAACATGACAACCAAAGGGTTGTAACAATCGTATATATATAAATACAATTAATCATTCTTAAATATACAATGATTAAAATGTATTGTGCCTGAATGCTTTAAACAGGCTAAAATATTCACACAGTCACATCCCTTAAAAGCACATGCAGATGATAAACATTTTAGTAACTTTATGGTTAAACTTAGCAATACATTGTGCATCCCTAGATTGATTCTTCTGTGTGCAGGGAGGCTGTGTCTATGCCAATTTAAGGAAACTGCAGTATAACATAGAACAAACAGCTGAATTTCTTTTTCTGGTCATTGAAGCTTGGCCACACAGCACAGGTAATAATCTAATGCAGGTTTTCAAAAGTGGCTGACTGAATAACCTTCTCTAACAGATCCCCCTCTTTAGAATCAGATGCTGAAAGCATGACTTGCTTTTTATAGGCAGAAAAAAAACACTCACCAGCTTTAGGATCAAGGGTTTGTTCTTACAGTATGTGTTGGCAGAGAGAGCATGGCTATTATCTGTCTCAGCATCCGCCTCTGCCAGCATCACCAGTGAGTCACAGCACTGCCTCATCAGCAGTGGGACTCAAACCACAATGTGCAGAGTATTGAACTTGATCCCTCAAGAAGAGGGCCAAATAAGATCAGAGGACTGATCTAGAATGCTCTTTACCCATGTAGCACACATAAGGTTTGTGTCACATAATAAAGTGTTTTCATTTAGAACTCTAGCCTGAAATTTAGAATATTTTCATACACTGATCTGTATGAACTGCTAGTACTGACATGATATGTTTATAGCTGACCATAAGGATCTGTGGCAATGGCTCCTTTATTGGTAATTGAAGACATCCCTGTGGCTCTACAAAACAAAAGTTGAAGCAGGGTCAGTTTCAGAATTGTGGAAATTCAATTAGACAGTCAAGCAAGTAACCGGTACAGACTCCAAATAGTAATATTTAACTAGTTCTTTTAGATATTTTTAGATACAAGTTTTTGCAGGATTTAGTAATAATTATTTTAAATGCGATTTTAGTTAAGCTTTTATGTTGTAGACAGAATAATAATAAAAAAGCCGAAAGAGGGCAACTTTAAACAAAAGTCAGTATTTATTTTGACCCCTCTTAGCACTAAGCACATTTCCTTTGGGGAGAATTTTTAAAAATTCATTCTTCAGAAATCATGGCAATGTGCTGGTTCAGTGCTCAAAAAATGTATCTGTCATTATTAGTAACACTTTACAATAATGTTGTATTAACTAATGTTTTGTATTTACAATCATGAACAAATAGTGAACAAAATATTTATTTTATCTTTGTTAACGTTCATTGTTACAGTGTGCTAACTCACAGTTCATTAACAGTTGAAAAGCATGAATCTGAATTTAATATTTGCATTAGTACAGGAGCTATGATTAATTAATAAATAATGGATTGATGTTGTTTGTTATTAGTTCATGTTAGCTCATACTGTATATCAACTAATGAAACCTTATTTCAAAATGTGACCTTATTATCAATAATGTTGAAAACATTGTGCTGCTCCATGGTTATTGAATACAAGACATTATGAGGTGTGCAGTGTATAGTGCAACTGTCTAATCATATATAAATATGTTTATGCTTTATAGTCACTGTGATCATTTAGTTTGCATTTTGTGACAATACAAGCAATAAAGCAGTTCAGATGTGCTGTGTATGCCAGAGATGTATGCTATGGTATTTATAGAAACAGCTGGCCAGTAATAACTAAGGCATTTGGGATTTGCTGTATTGTTTATAACGCTTTACAAGAGTACTGTATTTATGCAGATAAAAGTTTAATCCTGTGATTCTGTGTAAAAGCATCCTTTTGTGCCTGTATTGTATGTCTGGAATATCCGGAGGCATCAGAGTAAAACAAATGATCAAATAAAGCTTTAAGTAATTTTTCAATAAATTATCATGAGGATTCCATTATTTTATGGTGTTTATGAATTTTTGAACGTTCTTTATAATTTTATTTTAAAATTAGTTATAAATGAAGTGGTAAATACAGTTGAAGTCAGAATTATTAGACCCCCTTCGATTTTTTTTCTTTCTCAAATATTTCCCAAATGATGTTTAACAGGAGAAGGATATTTTCACAGTATGTCTGATAATATTTTTTCTTCTGGAGAAACTCTTATTTGTTTTATTTCGACTAGAATAAAAGCAGTTTTAATAATAATAATAATAAAAAAAACATTTAAAGGTCAAAATGATTAGCCCCTTTAAACTTTTTTTTCAATAGTCAACAGAACCAACCATCATTATACAATAACTTGTTTAATTACCCTAACCTGCCTTAGTTAACCCCCTTAACCAAATTAAGTCTTTAAATGTCACTTTAGGCTGTATACAAGTGTGTTGAAAAATATCTAGTCAAATATTATTTACTGTCATCATAGTAAAGAGAAAATAAACCAGTTAAATGAGTTATTAAAAATAATATGTTTAGAAATGTGTTGAATGTGTTAAAAAAATCTTCTCTCCGTTAAACAGAAATTGGAAACAAAACAGAAACAGGGGCTCATAATTCAGGGAGGCTAATAATTCTGACTTCAACTGAAAGGGAAAAATAGTCATACTGTAAATTTACTGATACTGGACTGATAGATTCCCACCAACAACATTAGAGATATTTGGTTGTTGCCTGATTCTGAAACAGAATTTGTGTTTGTTGTGCAAATTGAAACAAGATTGTAAACAGTTGTAAAGATACAGTATGCAAATAACTGACTGAAAATCCTGGAACTATGTATTTACTTATTTTTAGACAAAGTGCTTTCCATTGTAGATGAGTGGTTTTTGAATTAAGAGGATTTTGTGTAGATTGTTAGATTAAAAAGCCATTTACACACATTGCAGCCATAGCAACATGTGTATATGAATGTGCCTCCAGTAGCACTAAAGAATAAAGCTCAATATGTCAAAAATTATTAAAATATTAGTTGAAGTCAGAATTATTAGCCCCCCTTTGATTTTGTTTTTTTTTCAAACATTTCCCAAATGATGTTTAGCAGTTTAAGGAAATTTTCACAGTGTCTGATAATATTTTTTCTTCAGGAGAAAGTCTTATTTGTTTTATTTCGGCTAGAATAAAAGCTGTTTTAATTTTTTTGAAAACATTTTAAGGTCAATATTATTGTTAGCCCCCTCAAGCAAATTTTTTTTTCGATAGTCTACAGAACAAACCATCATTATACAATAACCTACCTAATTACCCTACCCTGCCTAGTTAACCCAATTAACCTAGTTAAGCCTTTAAATGTGACTTTAAGCTTTATAGAAGTTTCTTAAAAATATCTAGTCAAATATTATTTACTGTCATCATGGCAAAGATAAAATAAATCAGTTAGTAGAAATGGGTTAATAAAACTATTATGTGTAGAAATGTGTTGAAGAAATCTGCTCTCCATTAAACAGGAATTGGGGAAAAAAATAAACAGGGGCTCTAATAATTCAGAGGGGCTTATAATTCTGACTTCAACTTAAACTATACATATATCTTTTTTTTTACCTGCATGCCATGACAAATCTGACATCAGAAATTGCTTGATTTGCTGTTGAACTCACCTTTACACGTTTACATGTAACCTAAAAATAGTCTCCAGCTAGGTAACTAGGTTACTAGCTATATCGACATTAAAAATAGTAGTGGTGTAACAGATTGGACCATATAATTTTAATTAAAATTATTTGCTTTTCGTTTATTACAAAAACAGTACTGCAAGGCATCTTTTCCCCTTAACAAACAAAACTTAGAATCTGTAATTTTGTTAAAAATAAAATGTGACATAATCAGCTGAATAAAAATAAATAGTTAAATATTCAGTACTGTGAAAACTTCACTGTTACTACTGCTGTTGCTGATCATGCTAAATGTAGAAATCTAACATTATAATGTGTACAACCCATATTTTTTTTGTCTCATTTTTGATAAATGATTCAGTAGTTTACTTATAAAACTTTATGTTTCATGACTAGATGAATCATTTTTGAAGAATTATTCAGTGGCATATTTTTGAAGGCTGGTTGTCATCACTTATTAATTAAATAATGTAACTGCTGCCTACACCTTTCATTTTGAGAATCAAGCTAAATGCATATGACAGTTATTTTAATCTTTACCATAAACATCAGTGGTTATATCTAAACTGTAAACCCAGTACTGCTGTGTTATTTGAATGTTTGTAACTCCACAACTAAAGACTAAAGACATACTAAAGATTCGAATACAGTGGTTTGAAAGATTAATAATTCAATTCAATTCAATTCAGCTTTATTTGTAAAGCGCTTTTACAATGTAGATTGTGTCAAAGCAGCTTCACATAAATGGTCATAGTAACTGGAACAGTGTGGTTCAGTAACTGGAACAGTGTGGTTCAGGTTTTAGTGTTTAAGTTCAGTTCAGTTCAGTTTAGCTCAGTTCAGTGTGATTTAATCATTACTGAGAGTTCAAACACTGAAGAGCAAATTCATCGATGCGTAGCTCTAAAAATCCTGAACCATGCGAGGCAGTGGCGACAGCGGAGAGGGAAAAAAAACTTCACCTGATGGGAGTGAAGAAAAAAAACCTTGAGAGAACCAGACTCAGTTGGGCACGACCATTTTAATTTCTCCGCTGGCCAAAAGTCTTGTGCAGAACTTCATTCGCCGTGGTTTAAGCTGGAAGATGACCTCAATGAAGACTCGTCTGTCCCTGGAGCGTCGCTGGAATCAGACACATGTTCTCCACTCCCCACGACCATCAGCGCAGCAGCAGCTCAGGATATGGCCTGGTCCCGGATATGGAATCCTTGGGATCATCACGTCGCTGGTCTTGGATCCAATCAGTGACTCCGCCTAATCTGAGGACCTCGGGATGAGTATCCCCAGGTGAAAATAGAGAATAAAGAGAATAAAAAGCTGAATTGAATTTTCCGTCAGTCTTAGTGCAAAGGAAGACATAAGAAGACTCAAGCTTTAAATAGGATATTTTTTGAGTGAAATGCTAAGCTAAGCTAAAAGTGCCGAATGGATTCCTTCAACACAAAATCTCAGGAACTGGCAGAAAATTGTGGAATTCAGTTTTAAAGTGACATTTAAAATAGTAATTGAGATTGAGGGAAATATGACTCTGAACACATCCACAATGTTTGTCATTTTTTGGTGTAGGTCAGTACTGTATGCATAACAGTGCTTTGAGAGACCATTTTGATTCATGTCGCTGATTTCTTGGTGCTTCGTCATGCACCTAGAGAGATTGCAGCTATTTTAGTCTCTCTATTATCAAGTGTCTACCTCGTGCAGCACATGCTAACAGCTCTGCTATGGCAACAGCGTGTGTCTAGTGTGGTAAACATCAGGCACATGGATCATTTGGTCTGCAGTATCAAATGTCATTTGGCCTTTTTCTCCTCTGGCTAGCATGTTGTTTATTTAGCTTAGCACAGTAGATGCACTTGGTGTTGTTACTTTTGTGAGGTTTTACACAAGAACTGAAGCAAGAAACCATGTAAAACCAGCTTGATAAACCAATTGATAAACCAATTCAGAGAAATTTAAGACCCTTAAAAGGTATAAAAAAGTCTTAAATGTTGTTTTCCATACATTTTGGATAATAACTTATTTAATGCCTAGTTTTATTATAAAGTTTGCCTTTAATATGCAATTCTGTGTTGTTGTGTACTTTATGAAATCAATAAAATCCTTCTAGATTTACCATCACGTTGCTTTGTTTACTGTAGTAATTAAGGCAACGCCGTGATTCTTGCTATTTGAAAGTCTCTTTAAGGCAAGTGCCTTTACAAGGCCATCTTTGAAATGCCTCTCAGGCAGTATGCTTAGGCATTCTGTTTGAATCGGGAAAACATTTACAATGGGAATGGGAAAAAAAATTCCAAAATTGCTTGCCAAGCTTTTGATTAAATTTCATATTATAAATCAAAAATCATTATTAATAAAATTAAACTACTGTCTCTTTAGTTTTATTTCTAAACGTTCAAATCACTCAAAATCTGCAGAAAAATTTTGGTCTTCTGCTCCAAGCCATCATACAATCATCAGTCATCATCATCATCAAAATCATTAATCTATCAGCGATCAATGATTGGGTCCTGTACTATAAGGCGGGTTTCATTCGTCATATTGACATCAAACATTTCTCCATTCAAAAATATACGAGTGATGTGCAATTTGTAATATTTGTCTTTATATGCCACCTGCTGGATTAGCATTTTATTCATTATACTGTATGAATAATGTTGTTTGTATTCAGCATTTAGTAAATATACTTTAGTTAAAATGTTACCGGTTGAAACCTAAAGTGGCAATGAGGTCTTAAAATGTATGGAAAGACTCTTAAAAGAGGTCTTATAAGCTATTGAATTTCACTTTGAGATTACTGTTAATACCCTGTTTATAGGTGTTAAGAATTAAATTCTTGTTTCAGTGTTTTGTTTTCAACTGTTTGTTTTTTTGTTGGATGATATAATTTTATTTGTTTGGTAAATGCAAAAAAAAAAAAAAAAAAAGAAGACAAAAAAAAGAAAAAAAAAACTAAACATGTTAAGGTTATAGTTACACTGTCAGAAATAAAGGTATGAGACCTGTCACTGAGGTGATACATTTTCAAAAGGTACACATTTGTATTTGAAGAGTCCGCACCTCAAAAGTATATTGATTAGTACCAACAAATTTTAAGAGGAACACTTTTGTACTTTTTAGGTATTAATATGTACCTTTGAGGTATTAATATGGACCTTTTAGGTACAAATTTGTACCCTTTGAAAAATTGTTACCCTTTATTTTTGAGAGTGTAGGTGTTAGGTTTATTGTAATTTTATTTTAAGTTAGATAATACAATTTTATTCCTCCAAGTAAAAATAAAAAGTGTCAGTTACTGTAGGTTTAATCTACACTGCTATTGAAATTAACAGCACAAACTGGAACTTTTTTTTTATTGCCTCCCAACACATTGAACAAATGATACTATACTATTTGGCCCGTTATTAAAGTTTTAGTAAGGTGTTAGTTGTAAATTAGTTGAAAGTTGTAAGCTGAGTCAGTCTCTGAGGCTACAACACCGTTTACAGCATTTGTTACATGATATATTCAAGATGTACTCATCTTTTGGCTTGATGTATGATTGAGAGGAGCACATGGGAAAGTGTTAAAGGCATAGTGTCCTCAAAAATGAATATGTACTCGTTTACTCACTCTCAAAAGGTTCCAAACCTTTGGGTTTTTTTCTCATGTTTACCACAAAATAAGTTATTTTAATACTGAAAACCTGTAACTATTTATTTTCATAGTTGTACAAAATAAATGTTTTGACAAAAAGTCAAAGTCAAAAAGTCAATTACATGTTACCAGCTTTGTTAAAAATAACTTTTTTTTTGTGTTAAACAGAAGAAAGAATCTTATAAAGGTTTAAAAAATGTAAAAGGAGTAAATGATTTTTAGTAAATATTTTTTTTAGTTTTGCGTGAACTCACACTTTAAATGCTTCATTTAATTATAATGAACTGTTAAGTGCTTATTCAAGTACATATAACAGTATCAATTACAATATTTCAGTACTAATACTGTATTTTCTTTGTTGTTTTTTAACACTTTTCTGCTAAAGATTAAAGAACAAATATAAATTTAATATTAAATATAACTATTTTTATAGCAAGCTGTAGAAAATACGATTTGTGGGTTCTTTGCTGCATTGTTATTGGCTGTCAAAGGGATCCCACATGATTTTTAAAGTAGCCAGTAGTCATCTGTTACTGTAGCTTGTGACACTCCTTTTATTAATATGTCTCTATAAAACGCTCTTTGGAGAATGTACATGGCTCTGACAATCATTTAGAAGGATAAACTAGACATTCAGCAAAACCTGGGACATTTAACTCTCTATAATATAAGAGTTTTCAATCTCAAAGATAGAAAACTTACCTTGGAAATGAATGAGGAGGTATACTATGCTTGTTGTCTTGTCTTTTATGTGTGCTTTAGTAAGAAATGAACTACTAACTTGTGTCTCTGACCCCAACAGAATGGCCTGAACGCTTTACACTTGGCAGCAAAGGAAGGACATGTGGATCTGGTCCAGGAGCTGCTGGGGAGGGGGTCTTCAGTAGATTCTGCTACCAAGGTAGAGTTTCTCATGAAAAGCATGAATGGCTTGGGTGGAAATGGTTTCAGATGTCTTCAATGTTGAGTCAGGCTTAAAGGAAAAGTTTACACAAAAATGAATTATTTACTCATCGTGTACTCACCCTCAAGTGTTTTAAACCCTTTTTGAGTTTTCTTTTTCTGTTGAACATGAATTTTAAAAATGTTAGAAACCTGTTGCCACTGACTTCCAGAGTAGGAAAAAACAAATACCATGAAAGTCAATGGTTACAGATTTTCTACAGTTTTAGTATAAACCTATTTCTGTTTAACTGAAAAAGGAAACTCAGACAGGATTATAACAAGTGAAGGGTTGAGCAAATGATGTTATAATTTTCAGCTTTGGTGAACTATCCCTTTAAAGGTACAACTCACATAAACAAGTAAAAAATAGTGGATCGTAAGGCTATGGTTAGAAAAGCATGTCATCAACTCTTTAAATGTGATTTCTGTTAACAGAACTAGACAAATTTCTTGTGAATTGTAATCAGTGTAATCAGTGATTAAATATTACATGACAAAATGGATTACACTTAGATTACTTTTGTTGGACCTCATTTTGCCTTCAGCACTGAGTTAATCCTTTATGGCATAGATTCAATAAGGTACTGGAAATATTCCTCAGAGATTTTGGTCCATATTGACATGATAGCATTACGCAGTTGCTGCAGATTTGCATCCATGATGCGAATATCCTTTTCCACCACATCCCAAAGGTGCTCTGTTGGATTGGGATCTGGTGACTGTGGTGGCCATTTGAGTACAGTGAGCTCATTGTCATGTTCAAGAAACCAGTCTGAGATGATTTATGCTTTATAACAAGGCACATTATCCTGCTGGATGTAGCCATCTAACTGGCGCTCACTGGATATTTTCTGTTTTTCGGACCATTCTCTGTAAACCCTAGAGTTGGTTTTACATGAAAATCCCAGCAGATCAACAGTTTCTGAAATATATCAAGTGAGCAGCAATTCTGTTGGCGCAAATGCCTTATCGATTTCAGAGGTCAGAGGAGAATGGCCAGACTGGTTTCAGCTGACAGAAAGGCAACAGTAACTCAAATAACCACTAATTACAACTAAGGTATGCAGAAGAGCATGTCTGAACACACAACATGTCCAACCTTGAGACGGATGGGCTACAGCAGCAGAAGACCATACCGGGTGCCGCACTCCTGTCAGCTAAGGACAGGAAACTGAGGCTACAATTTTCACAGGCTCACCAAAATTAGACAATAGAAGATTGGAGAAACGTTGCCTAGTCTAATGAGTCTAAATTTTTGCTGCGACATTCGGATGGTAGGGTCAGAATTTGGCGTCAACAACATGAAAGCATGGATCCATCCTGCCTTGTATCAACGATTCAGGCTGCTGGTGGTGGTATAATGGTGTGGGGATATTTTCTTGGCACTTTGGGCCCATTAGCACCAATTGAGCATTGTGTCAATGCCACAGTCTATCGAGTATTGGTCCTGACCATGTCCATACCTTTAAGACCACATTGTGCCTACTTTATGTATCTATGCCACGAAGGATTAAGGCAGTTCTGAAGACAAACTGGGATCCAACCCCCGTGCTACAGTAGTAAGGTGTACTTAATAAAGTGGCCAGTAAGTGTATAGTAAGGGTACAAAGTGCTCAAAGCAGCGTTTATTTGGTTTATTTTTTAAGCATTTTCATTCAATCAGGATGATTATTTATCAGGAGGTTAAATTAAAAAAAACAAAAGAATATTAACTGATTCGGTTATATTATTTTATGTAATGCATGCTTCAGTGAGCCAAATGTATATACTGTACTGTATGTCTCCTTGTGTTTGCGTGAGTTTCCTCAGGTTTCCCCAACAGTCTAAAGACTTGCAATGTAGGTTAATTTGATAAACTAAACTGGCTGTAGTGTGGGAATGGGAGAGTGTGTGGGTGTTTCTCAGCATTGAGGGTTTATCTCTCGGTGCTGGGTGCAGCTGGAAGGGCATCCACTGTGTAAAACAATTGTCAGAGAAATTGGCGGTTCATTCTGCTGTGGCGATTCCTGATAGAGCAAGGATTAGGGAGAGTTTGCATTCCTACACCAATGAATAGATAGATGACCATGACATTTATTCATTTTCTTTTCGGCTAAGTTTCTTTATTAATCTGGGGTCGTCACAGCGGAATGAACTGCCAACTTATCCAGCATATATTTTACACAGCGCATGCCCTTCCAGCTGCAACCAATCTCTGGGAACCATCTATTTAACCTACACAATTCACCTGTATCGCATGTCTTTTGGACTGTGGGGTAAACCGGAGCACCCAGAGGAAACCCACCGGAACGCAGGGAGAACATGCACAGAGACAGAAATGCCAACTGACCTAGCCGAGGCTCAAACCAGCGACCTTCTTGCTGTGAGGCGACAGCATTACCTATTGTGCCACCACTTTGCCCTGACCATGAAATATTGTGTTTATTATTTTACTTCATGACTTTTATGTGAGAGAATATGTCTATTATAATATAAACAATAGAATTTTACTTTATTTTTAGACTATACGGAGATACAAACAACTATTTTACAAGGAAAGTGTCTTTTAAACACACAGTATCTATTGGTGCTCAAGATCTGATAAATTTAGACTTCTGAACATTTTCTAGCATAGACTGCTTGGTGGGATCATGCATTCACAATGGTATGAACCTTTACAGGGGTGGCCAAATATATATTTATATAATCTAATGTTTAAATTATTTACATCATTATGTAAGATATTTAATAAAGTATGCATTACTATTTAAAAGGCTGACCCATACATACATCTTGTTTTGGCGTCAGACCATCCAAACCCCTCTGCAATTTACACCCTGCTTTTCTACTATATGTGGGGATGAACTTGGTGGCCAAGGGAATACGCATCCTTTCAACATTATCATTGTTAAAATATTTTCTTCTCTTAGTTTTACATTTTTATAACAGGGATGCCAAAGCACCAAATTTACATGAATGTATCTTCTAAAATAAAACATTGTCTTTATGTTAAAACAAGCCGGAAAAAGCTAACTGTATCCTTACTCGTACGTATTTGAACAAAATGACTGAATCCACTTTAAATGTTATCACTGATTATAATGGGATCTGTTAGTTTTGTTGTATCACATTGCTCATGTCTGGCATAATCACAGTGTGCTCTCGTGAACCGATTAACTGAAATACTGGTTTTGATTGTTTGTCTCACAGAAAGGAAACACAGCTCTTCACATTGCATCACTAGCAGGACAAGGAGATGTTGTAAAAATCCTGTCTAAGAGAGGAGCAAACATTAATGCACAATCTCAGGTAGGAACAAATCAAACATTTATACCTGCAAAAGCTGAAAAATACACAAACTAAAAACGTTCATTTGTGTTCCTAGAATGGATTCACTCCCCTGTACATGGCTTCTCAAGAAAACCATTTAGATGTGGTGCGCTACCTTTTGGAGAATGGTGGAAACCAGAGTATCGCAACAGAGGTAAAGTGTTGCCTCAACCACTTCTAATACTGTAAAATGGTAATTTAGCAAAAAAAAAAAAAATGAAAAAAAAAAGTTAACTATCACAGAGTCCAGACATCCTTACTAATTAAGCAAAAGTATTTGTGTTGAAATGTAAGAGATAAAACAGGGCCTTTAATGGTGAATAGGGTGCTTAGGTTATACATTCTTATTACATAATGGGTCTTCACCACTAACCTGCTCCACAGCTGATCTTAAAGTTTTCATTGGTCATGCCAATCACAGCCTTCATAATGCTGAATCAAATGCTAAGCATTAACCCAAGCCTAAAATGTTAATTTTTAGCACTGGATACATGCATCTATTATATTTCTCAGCTCTGAACTACGTACAGTTGAAGTCAGAATTATTAGCTCACCTGAATTATCAGACCGCTTGTTTATTTTTTAGAGCATTTTAGAGCATATTTTATAAGCATTTAAATATCTACTTAGTAATGGAACTTTTTTCTTTCGTCAGATGGGTTCAGGTAGTGCCTCTGTCCTGCTGCGCTTCAGCAAAATTCAGCATCACTTGTGTCATATAACATAAATCAACCAATCAGCGTAATTGTCAAGGCAGAATTTCAAGTGCAACCAATCATTTTAAACAGAGACATGGTGAATCATTCAAAGAAATTAAAATGTTACTTTCAGAGAACTTAAAATATGAATTCAAAGTTTTTTGCTGCCTAATGATGAGTAAGGTAAACACACCTGTTTAAGTTTTGATGCCAATTTAAGTATTAAGTAATTAAGCTAAATTAAGTATTTTAAGTAATGTCAAGTTATATCAACCTGATATCTTTAGTTATGACAATAGCTGGGTTTACAGTGTACAGTAATATTAAGATACTGACTGAAGCTGTTATGTTTCTTTAACAGTCATAAAAAAAATGTATGTGCATTAGTTAATGTATAGATAAAACGAATGGTTTAGCCAAATTAAATTGCAAAAGTAGTATGAAGTACAATAGGTAACACTTTACAATAAAGCTTTGTTAATAAAAGTGAGTAAATGGATAAAATCATTGGTGAGAAAAGGCCAGATTTACTAGAGCTACTATGTTGATATTAGTGAAAATACAAAAATATTACAAATTACAACTACGATATGACTTAAATGCATTATTAACTAAATAATTTAAAGTCACCCTTAGGTTAAGAAAAGCTTTTGTGGTTTTCATTGTGAGTTTAGTTAAACTAGCTAATGTTAGTTGGCCAGATTAATTTATGAAATGTAATAAGCTAAAAAGTTAGGTCTGCAAGCATCTGACACTGTCATTACCACCACCGTGAATACACCATTGTGCATATTCTTTAAAAAAAGCTAACTAAAAGTTAAAATGCTAAATACTTTATCACTGTTTTTAGAAGTGTCCACGATATCAATATTGTGCAAATTCATTATCATTATCAAATTGTTGATATATCTATAATTAGAATTAGCCATACATAAGTTAGGTACTTCTCATAATAATTGAACTTTTTTTATCTTTATAGAATTACAATATATAAATGCTGTCTTGTCAGACTGATTGGCAAAATGCAAGCTCAGTTTACTTCCTATCTTCTTTTCTCATTTTGCAGGATGGCTTCACACCTCTAGCTATAGCACTTCAGCAAGGCCATAATCAGGTGGTATCCATCCTTCTAGAGAATGACACAAAGGGCAAAGTACGTCTGCCTGCCTTGCACATCGCAGCCCGCAAAGACGACACCAAATCTGCTGCCCTGCTGCTCCAAAACGACCACAATGCCGATGTTCAGTCAAAGGTAAATATGGGGGAAATATATTGGTGGAAAACAACCGAATTTTTACCGAACAACCGAGTTTAAAAATACATAGATACTTATTAAAAATAAACAAGATACAGTTTTACGAGCATGTAAAGATTAAAAAATTATTTATAGAAAAATTTTAATCTTTCATGAGCTTTACAAATCTCAGCAGCTACACTTTATTTTATGTTGTGTTTCCATGTTACATGTTGTAATTATACAGTTTTAGATTGAGTTTATTTTATGTATTTATTAATAATTAATATGTTCATACTATTGGTTTTAGTTTATGATTATGAATAATTTACTATTGCTAAAGTACATAGAACATGTAACAAGGGCATACAAAATAAAGTGTTATGCAAATCTCTGCATTCAGGTTTGACTCCAAGATTGTTCTCAATCTTTAAAATGAGTCATTTAATCATTCAGTCAGTAGTGGAACTGAATGTTTTCATTACATGTGTTTCTGTTAACAGTTACATGCATTTTTGTATACAGTAGACATAGACTGGAAATCATGAAATAATACAAAGGAAACACATTTTACTGGATGCATGCTAGCACTAAAATAAATAAATAAACCAACCAATTAAGCTTTAGCTTAAAAAAACTAAAGATCTCCTCCTTTGACATCCATTTAACTTTTGGGATTGTGCAGCATAAACATTTTTAGCTAACTTTACTGCTTCTCTTGTGGGAGCTACTCTTTTGTTCTTATTTTGTGAACTCTGACCTGTGCAAAGACATTTGGGCAATCTCTCAGTTGTACTGACGAATACACACATTTAAAAGGTGCATGGTTTAAAGTGGGTCGCTGGGTCCAAATATATTGCATGCTTTGCATGTTATAATGCAACTCCAGGTTAAAACAGACTGATATTTCACTCATTGTGTTATTACACTGACTGGCATTCAAATTAAAAACATTAAGAATTAATATTGTAGTAGTTTTGTGTGTGTATATGTTTATAAGGGTTAGCTCCACAAAATGCAAATGCTGTGCTTTACTTTTTTTTATTATGTTTCAAACTCATAGCATTTATCTTTAAAGCACACATGAAGATATTTTTAATGTGAATGTGTTCACTCTCCCCCTCTTCAAAAATAATCATAAAGAGATCAAAAAATAAATCCATATTAATCTTACTGTAATCCAAGACTTCTGAAGCGACATCATTACAGAAATTTCAAAGATGCCAGCAGTTTTCATTTTGAGATGAGCTAACCCTTTAGGACCAATTACTGACAGATAGTTTGTGTAGGTTGTGCAGAGAATCATTTAATACTTCTAAATTCCCATCCATCCATCTATTCATCCATCCATCCATCCATCCATCAGCATGTACTAATAGACAGATCCGGCATCTTGTCTTAGTATTCTTGTAAAACTGTCTTGTGGATGTTCAAGTGTGTGTGTGTAGGACTTGGTATTAATTTTAAGATGTTTTTTTAGTGTCATCCATTACTGTGCTAGATGAAATCTTTTGTCTGTGTTTGTCTCTCTGCGTTTCTCTGTTTCTCTTCCTAGTATAAATGTGCCTGCGTCCTGTGTTTCCATCCTGATGCAATCCGGGTTTCACTGTTTATTTACTTATCCTCTACTTATTCATTACTCTTTTTATTTTTTTGTCAGAATGTTATGTAATAACATTCCCTGTAAATATAAAAGCATGCACTTGCCCAGTGAATGTGCACAGGCGCAGCCTACATTTGTGTGAAAGTGTGCATGAATATCTGTTGTGTGCGAGACTGAAAGTTTTTTTTAAGGAATGCTAGTAGAGGTGTTTATTTTTCTTTAAAATGGCCAGTGATACTTGTGTACTGTCTTATGAATTAATGTTTTAATTCTAACTTCAAAAGGCATGAATTGTTTTAATGAAAGTTAAAACAAGTGTCACTTTCAATTTTAGTTTCAGCTGAAAGAGTTAAAAATCATAAGAGATGATTTTAATTAGAGGTCATAAAATTTATATAAAGTTTTTACTTTTTGCACCTGTCTGTAAATGTACAATATTGACTTATTTAATGTTTAATTATTTGAGTAGCTAAACATCTAATTTTGTTAATGTTTTGCTAGAAATCCGGTCTTTTCCTGGCTCATTGGAAGTTCATGCTTCAGCCTACATCTTTGTGAAACTGCCACATCCTACTTCAAAATGTATATTTGACTGCAGTTTCTAGGGATAATGAACAAATGGGGCAGTGATTTAGAAATTACTTTTGTTCCTTTTCACACTAATGATATTCACAGGGACATTGTCAATGAAGAAAGGTTTCTTTTCATGCAGTATTTTGCACAACATCAAATAAATACCACAAAACAATTTAACAATGGCTTCGTTTACATAGTCTTATAAAGTACATAGTTATATAAAGTAATCAAATTATTTGCCTTAATCTAAATAAAACAATAATATGATTAAGGTTTTTGCTTTTTGAACGTTTCTTACGTGATTCTGTTTTACATGTTAAAACACATAATTCAGTTGACTATTGCATTACCGAGCTATCCACATTTCCTCCGGAGTCTCATGTCATTTCAGGTGTTTCATTTTTAATTTGTCAACTTTAACTGCAGTTTGGCACTTTCACACGGTAACATTTCTTGCATGCCCCCTGTGACAAACGAGATATTGAATGTGAGAATGAACTGCTGGAAGAATCTTGCTTTAATGGAATTTGCTACCACACGCCGTATGGGAGAGAGCGCGAGAGAAAAAAAAATAAATTCGCTGTGCATGTGTCAACAGTCCTTTACTGACTGGATAGGTGCAGATAGTGTCAAACAGATATGTGTGTGTGTGTATGAATTATTCTGTCGCAAAACGTGGCATGTCCTACATGACGGTAATAGTCTGATTAAGGTGTTTACATGTCTGTACAGCTACTCCACATATTTTAATTTGATTTCTATTTGATTCGATTATGACTTTAATGGGATTAAATTAATCAAAAATTGTTGTTTACATGGTAGATTCATAATCAAAGTATTGTCTTAATCATATTAAATCAGATTATTGGTGTCCATGTAAACACACTCATTGTGTATTATTTGTAATTTAATGTTTTCCTAACATATCTCTCTCCATGTGGGCAATTTTTTGATGGTTCCACAAAAGAGATAGAAGCAATGTAAAAACAAAGGAAAAAGAGTGCAGTTGGTATACCCAAACACTACTGATTGGGTTTAGACAATAATTAAATCGGTGATTCCCTGTATTCAATTCAATTCAAGTTTATTTGCATAGCGCTTTTTACACTAAATTGGTGTATTAGGTGTATGTGTTGTTCTGCAAGTCCCTGATGGTTGGCATCATCTTTTCGTATCTAAAACATATAACAAAACATACCTCAAGAAACATATTTCAGATTCATAAAACTCTACAGAGCGCCCTCTAATGGATTTTTCATCTGAAATGTGTGACAAAACGTACCCGAAGCAGCGTTTTTTTTGCAAAAAGGTAGGCTGAAACATATTTCCCAATGAGACTTTTTGATAGCTATTGGCATAAATGCTAAAGACATGCATTCACAAGTGTATTTGTTTTAATGGCCGTTTAAATTTACAACTGAAACCTCATACCAGATGTCAACTGATGTGAATTAATGTCACTTTAATGGTTTGCTAGTGGCAGGCTGGATGATAAATATGGTCTCTTAGAGAAAAATGAAGACCTCTGGCTTCTCTGGCACAATTTGCATGCAGCCGCCATCTCAGAGTAAATGTGTTTGAGTGAAATATAACAACACTATTTCCTTCCCTGTTTTTGCTGCAACAGATGATGGTCAATAGAACAACCGAGGTAGAGATATCTAGTTCCTCATTCATCTGTGGAAAATCAAAAGCCGTTGATTTATTTCATTCATTACTGGTCCTCTTTTTGGCATGTAGAACTGAGCTTTTCTGTTCATTACATTTTCAGCATTCTTTAGTTTTTCTTTTTTGGACCTTTGCATGTCTGATTATGATCTCATTGCAGCAGCATCCAAAAACCCTTTGCATATGCCATGTCACAAAGATCCATTTTAGTCGTGAAATGGTTTGAGAATGTTTTTAATTTTGATCTTAGCCGTGATTGCTGATGGTGTTTTATTTGCATACATAGTACTATTATAATTAGATACGGAATGAAAAGCCAATAGTTCCAACATAGACTCATTCTGAAAATGTTGCCCTATATACATTTCTGAAGATCGCGAATTATGTAGCCAGAAGAACGTATACTGTAGCTGCTTTTCATCTTTAAAATGAACGCTACAAGGCGGTATGACGTTGTTCCTTTTCGTGCTTACCAGCTGACCGATTATCCTCTATATGGACAGCTTTTTCGCTGTTACCAGTTTGTCCGGTAGCTCGACATGTACACTGGCGGACTTGAGAGGAAGAGCAGATTCGATGATGACAATGGGTTCAAGCCTAGTGTAGAACTGTTCCAGAAAGTGGGTTCAACAAAACCTGAGGCCAAAAAAATAAAATAAACAAGTAAGTAACAGGGTAAGAATGTGGTAAAATCTGAAAATGCGATAGAAATCAGGGGACTTTTCTTTTTCAGCATTGCTTTTTAAAACACTGTCGGTTGGGCTTAGGGAAGGTGGTGGGCGGGTCAGTCGGTACTTTTGAAAACACTATTGGCTGCAGTGCTTCCCACAGGTTTGAAATATACTTGCGGTGGTAGCCAGATTGAAACACCATTTATCCACATCACATAAAAAGTTAACTGCATGCGACAAACTAAACATCATTTCATTTTTAACAATAATTTTATTTATTATGTAATATAATAACAATAATCAACAAATTATTAAAATAATTATACAATGGAAATAAATGACAGAAAAGGGAATAAAAACAGACATTATCTCTAAAATTATTACAATTACAAGATTGAAACATGTAGATTATTTAAATAAGGCAAATGCATTGATTAACTATTAGTAAAGGTGTACATATATTTTGCAGCCTGTTTAGACTAGTCATTTCGTCCTCTCCGAGTATACAATGAAGTTTTTTTTGAGTCATTTAGATTAAAGAAGCTATTGTTTACTTTTTCTTTCTCATGCCTCTGTGTGCTCTGTCAGCTGTGAAGCAAGCTTAAAGTAGTACTTAATAAAAGAGTGCTGCAGAAGCACATATACGTTTTAGAAAGCGAAAGCAAAAGTGAACTCCTGGACATTTCAGGATATTTAGAAACCCCAGCCAAACAAATTTTTTTTTAAACCCCAAAAAGGTGCATCTCTGTGGGTCTAGCACACAAAAAGAATATTTTCCACTACTACATCCACTACTCGATTGTGGATGTTTGGTTAATTTAGGCAGAATAAAAAGTGTTAACGGATGATAATAATTGTAAAAAAAAAAAAAAAAAGTGTCAACAAAAATATTTGGGTGGCTGTTAATATACCTGTCACCAGCTCGGTCCCAGTTATTCCCCTCACTGGCCAGCAGAGGTCTCTTTCACCGGACTTCTAAACACTACATCCCCCAGAAGCCCCGTATCTGTCACTGATTGTGCTGCACCTGATTTTGATCACACACACCCATAATAGCAGCATCCACGCTCACTTCTTTGCGAAGTCTTGTTTGCCCAGTCAACATTACAGAGCGTTTATCCTTGTATTCTGATTGTTTGCCTGTTATCGACCCGGACTATTATTGATCTTGATTTCCTTGCTGCCTGCCCCGACCCTCTGCATTCCTATCCATCTACGATTTAAGATGCCAGACCTGATCTATGCCTGTTACTATGACCAACGAGTGTATGCTGCCTGCCTTTCGACTATATATTCCTGATTTTCACGTGTGTGTCTACAACACCATTTGGCTTGTGTTTCTGACTCTGAGTTTAATAAACATACTGCAGATGGATCCCTCTGTGTCAGCTTCCTCGTTACATTACCTGTATGGCCTGCCCAAGTAAAGTCTATGTGTGGGAAACACTGGGTTAGGTTTAGGGAAGGGGTTGGTTGGTCAGTCAGTTAATCGACGGCGGCAAGTGCGAATGGCACTCGCAAGAGAAATTTGAGATCTGAAGAACCGTACACAGCGGCCTCTGGCGGATTTGTGAAAAAACAAAAACTGCAAAAAAAAAAAAAAAAAAAAAGCTCCTGAGACGTATTTTGCTCTCTCCAGAAATGTATATGGGGGTACACAATCAGACTGAGCCTGGGTTGGTAGTTCAGACAGTGTCTGTCATCCGAATAATCCTCTTCATCACGAATTAATATTTCACTGTTTAGTTGGTTTTAATCTGCACTTTACCTTACACAATCAACGCTACCGCATTCTCTGTTGAGCTGAATTTTTCACACTTTGTAGTTTGTAAGTGCTACATGCAAATACCACAGAGGATTGACTGACAAATAATAGAGACAAGTGCAACACTGTCTTATATTGGCTTTGCTTGCTGCCAATATTAAAATACACACAAGTCTAAGGAAACCAGTCACATGGCTTTAATGAAATAGTTGTTTATTTCATTACTCTTACATTAAAGGTTAAACTGACCCCGGTGGCATGAATTTGCCTTTCAACGACAGTTGCTTGACTCCCAGCACGCATTAGTGGGATTGCATTAAGCTCTTTAATATTATTATATAGAGCCCATGCTAAAATGCATTTGGATGGATTAATCATTCTCTTTCAACATCCATACATCCAACAAAAATAGCGTTTGAATGATTGCAGGTGGCGTATCGGTTCTTCAACTGTTGCTGTTTAAATGATAGAATTGATGATGTATTAAAATGATTATGCTTTTTATTAATATTTAATGTTGATGATTATATCACACTCGAGCTGGATGTATGAATGCTTAAAACCCACTTTATATTAAGTGTCTTTGATTAATATGTACTAACATTTCAGTTATTTGATGCAGTGGACTTATTGTGTACACATATCAGGCCGGTAGCCAGGTGGGGTTTGGGTGATGCAAAAGACCTACCCCTCACTGACAAAGGTTCCGAATTTGTCCCATACATGAGCTCATTTGTTCTATTTTGACTGCTATGCCATCATAAACAGTAAAAATAACCCATTGAAAGAGGCTTTAAGACCTTCTGGAATCCTCTATTGGCCGTCGCTTTGGTGTGACTTCAGCTAATTAGTTTTAGGCATTGCAAATAAAAACTTTTTTTTTATGAGTTCTGCATTCAGCTGTGCAAGAAAACACACAATCTGATGTACAGTGGGTGACACTTTAAAAGTAGCATTACCGCCGCAAGTTGTTCCGCCGCCACTCTAAAGGAGTCAGAACGTGATGTTAGGTATAACCGTAGTTTGCGACTATACCGCTAGAGGGCACAAATAGACGGGATGTGAATGAACAGAAACAGCCTATACAGCTGTAAATACTCTGCTAAGATGAAACAATGAAACAAAGCATTATAATTCCTTCTTTAATCATTACAAACTTTTCAACAAGCTTTATTATCATTGTAAACTTCATAAGTGAAATAAGTAGTAATTTTGGAAAGTAAAATTAAAGAAATAAAACTAAAATGAAGGTACAGACATACATACAAATAAGTAGACCTAAATAAATGAATAAAGCAGTGTTTTTAAATAGGCCTACTATAATTCAAAAGAAAGTGGACTTTATTACTTTAATTCTAGCCTATATTATTTGAATTCATTTCCTCTGTCTCTGTCACTCATGAGTCAATGCACGCACACTGCGCAAGATGAGAGACAACAGGGCAATATTGACCTTTTTTTTATAGGCTATAGGCTACTATAGTATATAATAATTTAATTTTTACATATAGTATTGCATTAATTTGCATAGATTTTTTTATAGTTTATATAGGCCTAATATAAATGCTTTAGTTTGGTGTAGAGTTATTATTTAAATGGGTGTTTTTTATGGGTGTCACAAAATACTTTTTAAACCAATTGTTTTTATTATAATTTAATGTGAACAACACTTAATAAAAATTTAAATGTAGTTATTACACCCCCTTATTGGAAAAAACTATATCAATCAAAGTGCTTACCGCAGGTTTGAAATATATTTGTGGTGGTGGGCAGATTGAAACACACCATTTACCCACAGCACATAAATAGTTAACTATATGCGACAAACAAAACATAGTTTCATTTTTAATAATAATTGTATTAATTATGACACTGTTCCTTTTGTAAAAAAAAAACACTCAAAAAAGACTGAAATAAAAAAAAAAATTTGTTTTATGCTATTCAGGAGCCATGTGCACCCACTGACAGGTAAAGTCTGCTTTTCTCTCTCTTTCTTGCCAAAGCATTTTAGATATGTAAATAAAATAGCCTATGTAATATATTTACATAATCAAATTAATAAAATAATCAGCATATGAGAAATAAATGACAAAAAAAGTGAATAAAAACAGACAAAATGTCTAAAAAATTGTCATAACTGCAAGATTAAAAGGATTAGATTTTTTTTTTAATTAAAGCAAATGCATTGATTAAGCATTACTAATGGTGTAGCCCACATATATTTTGCAGCCTGTTATACTCTCTGAGTATATAGCCAAAGTTTTTCTGAGTCGTTTAGACTAAAGAATCTGTTATTTACTTTTTCTCTTGGTATCTCACATGTGCATGCGCTGTCAGCTGAATACAGGCCTAAATAAAATCTAAAAAGCAGTTAGCCTGGGCGCTGATATTTGTTCTTTTTTCCAAATAACGACCAATTTCAACTGCGAGAAGAGTGATGTCATATTTTACTATAGTGTTTTTAAATTGAGAAAATATTTTACAAATAACTTTTATTCTAAATCTTGTTCCGTGGAAACAAAAAATGACTAATGAAATGACTAATGAATGCCCATATTCAAATGAATTTGAATACTATTTAGGCCATTGTTGTTATCCATGAATTTTCAAATGTACTTTTTTGGTTACCATCCGACAATCTATTTCAGCTAAAATAGTTCTTAAAATGTCACTAAAATGCAGTATTTAAATCTCATTATTGATTAGTAGCCTAAATGAGGCCTACAGCTGCAAAAAGCTCCACTTTTTGAGAAAAAAAAGAACCACCCCTTTCACCAGGCAGGCTACAGGCCTGCTTATGTTTCATATTTTAGTCATAATTAAAAATATCTGTAGTTTTATTTGTGTCTATCTAAAACGTAAACCTGTTCACAGCTTTAACCATATCCTACACCAACTAAAAGAACACAATAAATACACTGTATTTTTGATGTAAGTATGACCAATATAAAGTGGGACCAGTGTGAATGCTAAAAAACATGTATAAAAGGAAAGGATTTGTCGTTAGTCATCTTTATGATTATCAGATTTTTCATTTCTGTCAATTGCTTGTTAGGATTGAATGTAAAGTTGCCACTGCACAGCATGCTGCATCGCATATTTGATTTTGCACCAGCTTTTAACGTGTTTCACACAGTCAATATATTCTTCACACTTTTGTAAATGATGTTTTCACATTAAATCGGACCCTGACTTTCAGAATGGGAAGGTAAGGCAAGAATTTCACATATTCAAACTCCTCTACAATCTTTACCTTCTTACAATCCAGACATGATTTTATTACTGATATTACACACATACTGCACATTTGTTTTTTTGGATACTTTTATGATTCCTTTGGTGTTTTTTCGTCTTCTATTTTGTTCTTTTTTTCTCCATTATTCTTGAACAGTATGTCTTCTTTAATGTCTGTTTCTTTTTCATGTTCTGTTGACTTTTAACTACTTGTATTAATTGATTTTTGTCATCTTTTTCTGTCTGCATGTCTCTGTCTAGGAGTTTATATGTGTATGTTTGTGTTAGTCATTAAAATTCAGGTGTAAAGATTATTTTCAGGCTTTTTTTCGTATGGGACTAAAGCTGCCTTCGAGGCAACCATGAGCTCTATAATTACCCATGTTATATTGTCATGTGATATTACATGTGACTGCTGCATGCTGATGCAGTCTATTGGGACCAGATAAAGTCAGGCGACAGTGTTTGGTTGGAGTTGAAGGTGCCACTAATATCAGATCTGAAATCAGCTTTTTAATTGTCAGCGAAAATGGCTGTATCGTATGTGCTTAGCTGATCTTAGATCTGTGTTTATTGACAGCTTGGCTCAGACGCATGGTTGGAATGTTGACAGAGTTCTCATGTGCTTTGGTTTGTGTCCCGTCCTTTTTTATTTTGTATTTTTTGCAGAGTGGATTCACACCTCTGCATATTGCTGCTCACTACGGAAATGTAAATGTGGCTACACTTTTACTCAATCGAGGGGCTGCTGTGGACTTCACTGCAAGGGTATGTTTTGGATATGACTTTCTTAAGTACTTGAAAATTAGTATTTTTTTCTATTATGGATAGTATAGTAAAAAAAAAAATGCAATACTAATATTGTTGATTGTCTTCAGATTTAAAAATGTTTCAATGCTATAGAGTTGAAGTCAAAATGATTTGCTCTTATGTGATTTTTTTTTATATTTCCAGAATTATGTTTAACAGAGAGAAAGTCTTGTTTAATTACAAACCATCCTTATACAATGACTTTTCTAATTACCCAAACTTGCCTAATGAACCTAGTTAAGCCTTTAAATGTCACTTTAAGCTGTATAGAAGCTTCTTGAAAAATATCTAGTCAAATATTATGTACTTTCATCATGGCAAAGATAAAAGAAAGCATTTATTGAGAATTAGTTATTAAAACTAATATTATTTCTGTTAAACAGAAATGTAAAGGAGAGGCTAATAAATTAGGAGAGCTAATAATTCTGACTTCAATTATATGTCATTGTAGAATATTTATGAAGCTGATGAGAGTTTGGACCAAAGTTAACCCAAATCATTGTCATTGTTTCTTTTTTCAATACAGAATGGGATCACACCACTGCATGTTGCGTCCAAAAGGGGAAACACTAATATGGTTCATCTTCTGTTGGACAGAGGGGCTCAGATTGATGCCAAAACAAGGGTTAGTACAAACTTCATAGTTTTAGTTTTGTACGTATACTGTACACAAGTCAAGTCTGAAACTCATACCCCTGGCAAAGTCTTAAAAATAAAGTTAAAGGATCCTATCTTACACCCGGCGCAATAAGACGCAAGATGTGTTTGGCACAATGTATTGCCATGTTCAGACTAGCATAACCCTAATTTTCCTGTTTTGCGCCACGTTGTTTAAATAGCAAATCCATTTGCGCCACTTTGTGGACTCATGAGAGTTCCAGTCTAAAAAGTGTGTTAACGTTCATTGTTGGCGCATTGCTATTTTGAGGAACTCAAATAGACTGAGAGATTGACCAGCTAAAAGCTGCTCTAAAGTCCAGCACAGAGCGTGTTAGTTGTGCGCCTTAAATGCATACACATTGCTTAATACACTAAGGATGTACAGCAATACGCAAATATCTTTACATAAGTAAAAAAATTAAAGGATTAAAATATTTCAAAAATCATTTTATACATAAATTATCCCAGTTGTTTGACCACACTTTGTTATTATTGTTCATTTATTCGTTTGCTGGAAATTAAAACTGAATTTGGAAATAGTTTTGAAACAAATCTTTGAGCCTAACAAATGAAATTAAATATGTAGGCTAATGGATGTCTTTAGTTGAGTGCTTTTCCACCGTTTTCTTACTCCACGAAAGGAAAGGAGTAAAGACTAAAAGTAAAGAGAAAGAGAATGTAAGGATGATGAATGGAGGAGGCTTGTTCTTTATGCCCGTGCTGCAGATGGTCTGCTTATCTGTTTTCCTGCTAGTGAAGTGTTCAGTTTTTCTACTTACAAACTCCGCCATGTAAATAGCAATTGCAACATGGCGCCAGGCAACTGACTCTTAAAGGGAATGGGAGATGATACAGTACTCTGATTGGTTTAATGCACATTATGCACAAACACACCCATAACTCATTAAGCGAATAAGCACAACCTTGTTAGACCATGCGCCGGGGCGCCAACCTTTTTTTTCTATCCTTAAAATAGCTTTAACCATGCTCTTTACACTTTGCAGCTATATTGTTAAAATAGAGCCCATAGACTAAAAATGTTTGTTGAAATGTAAATAAAAGCTAAGGATTTCTTTTTGTAAAGTGATGCCTCTTGTAAATTGTCATATTATCTTTTGGGAGAAGCCTACATTATTTCTTATCAAAAAAACTTGCTGGTTAAATAAAAGTAACTTTAAATCAGAATTTGCTAGGGGAATGAATAATTTCGGACTTGACTGTAGATGGCAGTTTGCAAAGAAATTCTATGATTAGACCTAGATTTTTAAAATATGTATGTAAAGGTTTTCCTAAAGGCAGGTAATCTTCTTAATATCAAACTAATTGCTAGAAAAAAAATAATAATTTGATTAAAAAAATAATAAATATAAAAAAATAAATAGCTAAAAAATAAACAAACATTAGTTTTATATGCATTACTAAATTGTTAAAACTTTTTAATTTTCACTAAAATTTAAAATATACTTATATTTGAATATTTTTACAAATATAAACAAACACACATCCCTTCAAAGTACAATATACTCAATTGAAAGTAGGCCACTTAACATATGTGTGCTGGCTCTCCTCAACTTCTTTTCTGACCCTGAAACAACAGCTGTCTTCAGTGTTGACATCTTGTGGACAAACTACATGCGTGGGGAAAAACAATTCAAAGTGCATGTGGCAGCTGCATGTATTGTTATAATAATCAGGCTGCATGAATACAATATGTACACACAGTGCTAATGCTGAAAACCATGTCACAACCATTTAATGCATACACTACTGTACAGTATGGAAAGAAATAGGGCCCAAAAGTCTTCTATCATTAAAATGGGTCTATTTTATTTTTTTATTTAATATTTTTGTAACTTCATTTGCATAAGTGGCACTATGATTGTCAAATACACAAACACCAGATCTCATGTTTATTCATGAAAGATATTGCAATGGTATACTGGGTTGTTGCTTAAAGAGATACAGTTGTGGTCAGAAGTTAATGAGGATTATTTATAGTATTTATTAATTTACCCTTTAATTCTATTTTATTAACATCTATTTTCTTTACATCCTTAACAGTGATGTAAAAACAGCAATTAAAAAACAATCCCATTAAATTGTATTTTATTAACTTTATCCTGTATCATTTATTAACTCTTTATTATCTGTATCCCTACCCCAACCCTTACAGGAATGTAAAAATATTAATTATTGTTATACAGTGTCACAAAAAAATCTGTTCTATTGTTGTGAGTATCCAGAGCTCTATGCCATCTAGACTTTACCAGTATACCTGCATGTTTGAGTGCAAACATCAGACACTGCAGTGCCTTTTATAACAATTGAATTGCCTACATTCAGAATCACTGCCTTAATGTAAGTTTAATGCATTTTGTTCAAATGCTATATATGCCAAATTGCCTTTCATACTTGTGTATGTATCATAAATAAAGCATAATTTGGATTCTGGAGACGTTGAAAAAAAGCAATTGCTTTGTGTAAGTCTGTGTGTAAGAATTGAAATATTGCAAATATTCTGATATCTTTGACAATTCAAAACATGAGCTGAAAACAGAGACTGGTGACTTCACAACCCACCAGGGAGGAATGCGGGAAAAAACAGTTCCTGCTGCATTTGCATCTGACTATGCTGAGACTCAGCTTCATCCCCCAACTCACACATATGGTCATTTCAATGTTTGAATGTTCTAGAATTAACCAAACTGACTTTAACTATCATGTTTGATATCATTTGAAATGTCTCAGTGCGATTGGTACAATGGTCTCATTCTCTCAGAAATAGACATAATCAGAACAATAAATATATAACTTCAGGCATCTTTTGATCCACTGTGAGGGGTGTGACACTAAGTGTGAATGCCTTTTGTTATACATTCACACCCCCTTCCTTGAGGGAATTCTTGGATTATTTAAGGTAAGGACTAAGAAAAGCTCAGGGCGATTCTGCCTAACCAGATCAGCCCATAACATGGGGTCTGCCCCATGTTATGTATATTTCAAAGTCAGGAATGCATCTTTTTCATCTTGGATTTATCTTTGATAATTTGATGTTTTGTATTGATCATTTATGAATTGACTGATTGAATTGGCATAATACATTTACCTGACTAATAAATTGTAATGTTTGACCATATTTTGCTCACTCTATAATTATTAATTAGATTACGCTGTATCCTTGTTTCCGCACGTCTTGCGTCAGGTCAGTAGACGGACTAAAATCCAATTGAGATGGAGCATTGGCACACTAATTGTGTTTTAGCGATCCGGCTGACTCTTGATATTGATTCATGTGTACTTAGGTGGAAAGGGCGATAACTTCCGTCTAGGTCAACAAGGTGTTGCACGACTAACCTAGATTGGGTACCCGACCTTTGTTTGAAGGTAATATTATTCTAAATTAAGTTCATATGGGAAACCATGGGCTTGGTGAAAACCAAAGTTACTATAGAGTCCAGTAGTCGGGTACATTTATATTAATGCCCTAACCTCTAATTAGAAATGATGATTGTCTTAACTCAAAGGTGTACATCTAAGCGGGACTAACTAAAGTATTTTAGAACGAGCGCGCTGGTAGCGGCCATCTAAAGTATTAGTCAATTTACCTTTGTTTAATATTCAAGACTGACCGGAGTGTGACCGTGAGGGACGCCTTCGGCCGAGGCGATTTCTCTGAGCGACATGAGCACCCGAATGAACGGATGTAATAGTTACTAGTGAAGACAAACGGTTCAAACATTTATCTAAATTACATATTGATATAATCTTCTTAATGTTTTATAATTGGAGTCAGATAAAACGAGGATAAATATATTAATATTCTAAACCACCTCATATTAAATTTGGAGTCAGATATGAGTTAAGTTTAATATAAATCAACATTGTGCACTGGAAAGACCGAACATGCAGTGAACCTTCATCCACCAGTGGACACCGGCATTGGGCCAACTGGGTGGACCCTACATGTGTGTGTGTGTGTGTGTATGTGTATTTATCAGTTGTCTTAAAAGCCTATGTTTGGCTCTGTCTGTATTTGTGTAATCTCATTTATATATCATCATCCAACTGTCTTAAAAAATGAAGATTGCTGATTGACAATTCTTTTAAATCTATAAAGAATTCTCATTAAACAAAATAGTGTGAAAAGAATTTGCTTAAATTGTAAATATTCTGAAATATATTAAAATGTGAATTATTGGGGTACCTGAAATCTCCAATTGCATCACAAATAAATAATTTGAACAGTATTTTTAATATTGAATAAGGTTTATTACTCTATAGGCTTTCAATTAGCAAAATATTTAAAACTGCATATTTAATAAAACAAAAAAGTAACTTGAAAAGTAACTGAAACTGCAATTCATCAAAATTCTGCTAGTACTGGCTCCAAAATAGAGCTGATTTCTATTGAGCTTACTATTAAAATGGCCAACTTTACAGCAAAAAAAAGTGTTTACAGCCTGTTACCCTTCATGACAACTGTGAGAGGGTGAATTTTTTTTATAATGAATCCATTTCCTTTATATGAAGTTATATTAAGTCTGCATAATTAAGGGCATGGCCATTTGAGTGACAGCTATTCTTGCTGGTCGCCGTCATTCCGGCTCATTAGCCACTGAACTGGACATATCATATTTTTTTTTTTTTTTTTTTTTTTTTTTATGTGGCTATATTCGGTTGCTTTTTGGATTTATTTCTTACAATTATTAGATAATATGGAATGCTGTGTGCACATCATTTTGCTTACAAACTATTTATGTGGCCTCCATTTCCCTGTTGAGTAAAATGATATACTTATATACCATATCTATAAATGTATTTGTTTTATTTAATATCATTTATCATATATATTTTTCTTTAGACCTGAAATGCACTCCAGAATCTGGCAGATTGATTAGCTTTAGGCTCTAGAACAGTCATCTGAAATGTTGTCATACAGTGTTATGCTGGATTTCATCAATAGCCTTGCATTTACTGACACAGACTATTTCTGAAGTATTTGGAAGTAATTTGTTTTCATCCTGTTTAGAAAAACATCATAAGAACAATGTTTAGTGGCTCAATGTATTACAACAATATTTTTTAAGGACTAACCACTTTATTTATATAGTATACAATCAAGCACATGTGGTCATGTGGTTTCCCCCAGTTGGAGCGATACCATATGAACAAAATGGCACCGGTTGTGCACACCAACTTGTAGCATTTGCGCCCTTCAGAAACCTTTGGGTGACATCACGGATACTACGTCCATATATTTTACAGTCTATGATTTAATTGTGTTATCCTTCTATTTCTAAATATGTTTGGTGAATAAAATGTTATTTTAATAAATATATCTGTTCAATAAATCTGTTTTGTTTAAATGAACCAAAATACATTGCCTACATTCAGTGCAATATGGGGTGTACTCATTTATGCTGAGCACTGTATGTACATACACTTAATGTTGTCTGATTTAAAAATAGGAAAATCATGATACCTACAAGCAGTCGCCTCTGATAATGAGTCACTGTAGCTGTTTTTGTGTGTGTGGGTGTGTGTATGGTCTGAATAAAGCCATTACCGGCTGTGTTCTTCTTCAGATTCTGACTGCAGTGTTGAGTCCAGCTGGTTGTTTTCTGTCCTTTTTTTCTGCAGTCTCCCTCCTGCAGTGTCTGATGTATTATCCAACACACACACACACACACACACACACACACACACACACACACACACACACACACACACACACACACACACACACACACACACACACACACACACACACACACACACACACACACTCTCTCTCTCTGTTGTTCCTGACTTCAGCAGTGCCTTTTATGTGCTATCAGCAATGATGACTACGTTGTACTGCAGTGTAAGAAATGCAGGAGAGTGACTCTGGTTGAATGTAAAGGGAACGAAGTGGAAATGAAGCCGTCTGTCAATATAACATGCACTTTTCATTTTCACTTCAAGATGTAAGTAAGATCTCATGTCCCAAAGTGCTTTGTAATGAATTCACTTAATTGACCTTAATGTGTTTGTGTCTGTGTTGCAGGACGGCCTCACGCCTTTGCACTGTGCTGCTAGAAGTGGACATGACACAGCAGTGGAGCTCTTGTTGGAGAGAGGAGCCCCGATGCTGGCCAGAACCAAGGTAGCCCCTTAATATTGGGCAAATATATGAAGCATTTACTACAAAAGCCTTAATTTAATTATTTTTACAAATTTTATTACATGTAGAGCAGTTTAAAACGTCTAAAATTGTACCAAAGTGCTTTACAATAATAATAAAAAAGTCAAACTTTATTTAAATGGGTGTTCATATGACTTGTCATAAAATCTTTATGATAATGACATGACATGTCATGAACACGGAGGTGATTTTATGCATGCTAATGACAACTGTCAGTGTCATTTGCTCAGTTAGGCTATTTTAAATGAAATATTTACACATCTTTTTGAGATGTGTTTCTGGGCGACACAGTGGCTTAGTGGTTAGCACTGTTGCCCCTCAGCAAGAAGGTCGAGTCTTGGCGGTGTCAGTTGGCATTTCTGTGTGGAATTGGCATGCTCTCCCCATGTTGGGGTGGGTTTCCTCCGGGTGCTCTGGTTTTCCCCACAGTCCAAAGTCATGCGCTGTAGGTGAAATGAATAAGCTAAATTGTCTGTAGTGTATTTGTGTAAATGAGTGTTTCCCAGTATTGGGTTGCAGCTCGAAGGGCATCCACTGTGTAAAACATATGCTGGATAAGTTTACAGTTCATTCCGCTGTGGCAACCCCTGATGAATAAAGGGACTGAGCTGATGAATGAATGAATGAATGAATGAATGAATGAATGAATGAATGAATGAATGAATGATTGAATTAATGAATGAAGGAATGAGATGCGTTTGTGATGACAGCTTGTCTTTGTTTTTGACACTTGACATTACCAAGACAACATAACTTGTCATAAATCTATCATAAACATGACTGTTGTGAGGCCATAATGGTTGTGTCATGAATACTATTCTGATCACTTCTTAATAGAACAATGAATTTGTCACTAAATTTTATCAGTAATAATTCTATAACTGCGTCTTTTTTTTTAATTTTACATTTAATGACATTTTAAAGACAAATTCTAATTTTAACACTGTAGTTTATGTCAAGAAAAATATTAATTAATGTTACTTAATATTTATGAATGTTATCAAATGAATACCAAAATTATAATGACCTCATAAAAATCATGTTTATGACAGATTTATGACAATTATGTTGTCAAAGACAAAAAAAGATTATGATATATTGGTTTATGTCACGTTAACAAAAGACAACAATGTCATATCAAAGACATGTCAACCAATGTCACCTTTGCATTTAAAATGATATAACTGAGCTAATGACAGTTTTGAAAGCTGCCATGCACATGCATAAAATCTTATTTATATTAATGTGAGCTGCCATGTATAATAAATTACTGTTTATTAAAGAGGTTTAATAAAGATTTCATTTCATTTTTATGAAGACCCCCTTAAACAGTGTTACCAAACTAGAACAAGACAGGACAAAAATAGAAAAATAAAACACTAAGACCCCCAAAAAAGGAAGAGTTTATTCAAAAATGAAAATCATTTTTGTTCTTCATCATTTATTTATTCTTCACACATCCTCCACACACTGGTATTTTGAACACTGCTTTTTGTTTTTACACTGGAAATTCCACCACTCTTCTGAATATCTTGTTTTTTGTTCAACTATAGAAAAAAAAAAATCATGAACGTTTTAGCAGTATTTTTTAGATGAGATGTTGAAATTATTAAATGTTAGGTTTAGAGAAAATAACTTAACGGCCTGATCCCCTAAGTTTCAGTCAGTTAACTGAAATCTCTTGGATCTGAAGTTCCAAGAGATCTTGATGAAATATTCAGAGATTAAAAGCTTGATCCATAGATTGGTAGATATTATATACACTGTAAAAAAATGCCGGGTTCCAGACAATTCATTCATGTTGCCCCAACACAAATCGATTAAGTTAACACTTTTAACAAATGTGGATTGAACATACAAAAAATTAAGTTGTCCCAATGAAATATAAGGAATTTTGTTGTTTTAGCTCATTTTAATTAAGTAGTAGTAATTAAGTAAAAAAAAAAACATTATATAATAGTCGACAATATTTCAGTGAACGTTTTTTCAAAGAAACATTGATTTTTTTAATGTGAAGAACATTTTAATGAGCTAAAGAAATTTTTCCTCTTTAAAGAACTTCCCACTTTATGTGGGATGAAAAGTTTGAAAGGATGTTACATAAAAAGATAAATAAATACATTTGAACTTGTATATTTAGTAACTTAGACCTACAGTATAGCTTTTATTTTTTTTTTACTCTCTGATGATTTGATGTGCTTCTCTTATTCTCACTTGTCAGTGGCTTTTGATAAAAGTGTCTTCTAAATGAGTAAATGTAAATATAATCTAAATATTTCCATGGAGCCCTCAGTGCAAATACTAAACATTTTAAAGAGGATCCAAGGATTATTGCTTAATGATTATTTTACTTTATGATTCTGATTAATATGTACTTGTTGACAACAAACTGGCAAGTGTTGTGAAAAGGTTTCTCTCTCTCTCTAACATGACACAACTGTCAATCACTTGTCCACAACAAAACAATACAGAATATAGCGGGCCAGCCATTGTAAGAAAAATTAACATTATAGTTTGGTTAAAGGGATAGTTCACAGAAAAATTTAAACTCTGGCATCATTTCCTGATCCTCCACTTGTTCCAAACCATGAAAACCTTGAAACGTGTTTTTTTCTTCTGTTGAAAACAAAGGATGATATTTTGAAGAAGATTGAAAAAAAAAGCTATTGACTTTGACACAATCTACTTTGTAAAAAGTGCTATAGAAATAAAGGTGTAAATATAAATCACCATGGAAGTCAATGGCTGCTTTTTTAGGCAAATAATTTAAGTTTGAGTGCATGATGAAGACTTTTTTTTTTTTTTGCGTGAACTTTCCCTTTAAAATAAATGACACATAAGTAAATTCAAAGAAAAATTAATTCAAAGAAGTTTAATACAGTAAAATATTATTTGATCAATTATTTGATCATATGTTGTTTGTATGGTAACATTATCATGTGTGCTGTTATAACAGGCGTTCAGCAATATTGCACATCCACAATTTTAAGTGATAAAATTATTTCTTTTCCTGTCAATTTACCTCCATCCAGAATGGTTTATCACCGCTCCACATGGCAGCGCAGGGTGACCATGTGGAGTGTGTCAAGCACCTGCTGCAGCACAAGGCGCCCGTTGATGATGTCACACTGGACTACCTGACAGCCCTCCACGTCGCTGCCCACTGTGGTCACTACAGAGTAACCAAACTTCTACTGGACAAGAGAGCCAATCCCAATGCTCGAGCACTGGTACATGCATCATTCTTATAATTGCCTTCTTGTGTTCCTAGTAAATTTTGTCATAATCGTGCACTTCTTTTCTGCTGGTTGTTTCTCTCAGAACGGTTTCACTCCTCTGCACATCGCCTGTAAGAAAAACAGAGTAAAAGTGATGGAGCTGCTGATTAAATATGGAGCCTTCATTCAAGCTATCACTGAGGTAATAGATCATAAAAGTTGGTTTATAGTTCTCCATTAAAGGATTAGTTCACCCAAAAATAAAAAATGTTATGATCGTTTCATCAAATAATGATTTGTTCACTCATATTTAGTATAAGATGTCTCATGCTTATGAAGTGTGTGGTTTGATTTGTTGTGTATTTTAATCTCACTCACATCAGTCTTTGTTTCTCAAGTGTGAGAACTATTAATGTTCATGACAAAGACCCTGCATACTTTCTTTCTCACAACAAAAGTGTATTATTGTAGCACAATTTGTGCTAAATACATTGTCATCAGACTTTAGCCTTTAATACCATTATAAGAAACTGAAAAAAGGCCAAATGTCCAATGCCGCAGAGGGTTAAGATTAAAAATTTCTTTCATTAAAAAAATTAAGGACATTTACAACTGTAACAACAAATTAAAGCACACACTTTACAAGAAAGAGAAATCACATCATAATAAATGTTAGTGAACAAATCAGTAACAAAAAGAAAAATGTAACATATATTTGTATTGCTGTGATAGAGCCCTTTGTTTTCAGGCTTTTTTTCGGTTCTTTAATTAGGAAATTAAATTTTGTGTCACTTTTTGTTTTTATTTGATTCAATAAATTCCTCCTGAAGTCTGAGGAATAATATTACAGACACATCCTTATGTGAACCCTGTTTTACAATGCCTCGAGAGGCAGCTTCAGCGTCATCAGCCAGTGAATTGACATGTTTTTAAATGGTTTCAGACAGTTATCACACCTACTGATGCAGCATCTCATTCCCTATTCAGGAAACCAAGAACCACATGTGCCAGAGAGTTTCCACAGAATTAGAATTTATAATTAGAACAATTTTTTTTTCCTAGATAGTTTATTGCTAAAGTTGCTATAGCTGTTTTAACTTTCCTCATTTTATTATATGTTCAGGCCAATCGGTAGAAATAATGTGTTCAATTAAAACTTATTCACAGGATATACCCAACGAATCCTTGCATTATGAAAGTAGAATATGATCATGGTAAACAAAATATAATTTAATAAAAGTGTCTGTTTAAACAATCAAACCACAAATCAGACACATACTGCTTAAGTTAAGGTTAAAGTAATTATGCTTAAAATGCAGTTGAAGGGTTAGTTCACCCAAAACTGCAAAAAAAAAAAAAAAATGCTCTCAATCACTAAACATGTTTGACATTCTTTTTCGAGTTGAACACAAAATAATATATTTTAAAGAGAGCTGGAAACATGTAAACAAAGACTTCTATTGTATGTGTATTTCCTATTATTGATGTCAATGGTAACATGTTTCCTTTTGTGTTTAAAAAAAAAAATTATAAAGATTCTGAATCACTATTTTATTTTACTGTAAATCTCTTCAAGGCCTTAAATAGGATCTCTATGGTACTGTAGGGTTCAGGTTTGGTAACCTTAACGTTTGGGGCCTTTCCACTATGTTCCATGCCTAGTGTCTGGTACTTTTTAGTACAACCAAAGGTGAGGTTCCAAGCAAGCTGTACCATGACCAAAATGACCAAAATTTCTCTTTTTTCAGAGAAAATCTTCACTATCATAATCATTGGATTCGTGACGCAAGACACCAACCCTGCTATATTTAAGTAGTCAGGTGCAATATTATTGGATCACACAAATGAATCTTTTTTATACCATAGCAAGAAAAAGCATGTGAAATGGCAGTGTCATGGTCTGTAGAAAAGGTCCAGACACTCATTTGTATTGAAGCTGAAATAGTCTCAACTACAATACTATACTGATGAGCAAAACTGAACTGAAGTGAGCCGAGCCAAGCTGTGCAGTACTGTACCTTAAAGTGGAAAAGTGACTTAATTCTCCTCGTTTTATTTTACCCTGTTTCAGCAAAAGAAATCCTCAAATCCCCCTACAAGATGCTGACTAGCTGATGCAAAAAAAAAAAAAAAAATTTAAATGCATTTTTCTAATTTTAAAAGTTTGCATTGTTACTACACTTCAAACTTTGCAGATTTGTTGCCAAGTGTAAGTATGGCATGTCAGAATATATTACTTCATTTATTCCTTTTCTTTTCGGCTTAGTCGCTTTATTAATCTGGGGTAACCACAGTGGAATGAAACACCAACTTATCCAGCATTTTTTTTACTCAGGGGATGCCCTTCCTGCTGCAACAATCATAAATGTTTATATATATAAACATTTATGCTTGTTGCAGCAGAAAGGGCATCCGCTGAGTATATATATATATATATATATATATATATATATATATATATATGTAGCTGCTGTCAAAATTAATGCGTAACCGTATGCGATTAATTTAAAATAACTCGTTTTTAAAAATTAACGCAATTAGTGCAGTTTTTTACTTCCTGTTGTGGTGGATGTGTGTTTAACAAGCAAGAAATATGGATCAGACCAAGGAAGCACTTTTTGAAGGCAAGTTTCATAATAAAACAATTAGCTGCATCACCAGTCTCTCAAGAGTTTCATGCAATTTCATGCAATTTCAGGTAAATTGATACCGCATGGCGAACGGAAAGAAAAACCTCCGCATTTCGTGACTCAATGATCCTTTAAGATAATCAAATCGCTGCTTATACTTAGACTTTTAACAAGAGTACTATCTTAATCATATTAAAATCTGAGTATTGGTGTCTTATGTACTCAGAAAGTCTCTGGTGAAGTAGCGAGCTGTCAAAGATATCGCATTACTCTGCCTTTCAGTATGAGCCCTCAAAGTTAAGCCTGTTTCCTCATTAAATGCAACGAAAGTGTATGCTTTGCGTTCCTTGTGAAAAACAGCCATACTTTAGATTGCTTAGTTTAAGCAAATTTGATGAACGAGATAATGCGTGTTGAATCTGTCAACTGGGTCTGTCTGTGTGTGTGTCTGTGTCAGGCCCGTTAATGGGTGTCAGGGGTAGAGTGAGCAACGTATCAGTGCGCGCGAGATGTACCTGAAAAGTGTTGGGGGTGAGTTGCGTGCGACATACCTGAAGAGCTAGGAGGGATGCGGTAGAGAGGGGTGTGCAACTTATTTAAGGACCGGGCGGGAGATGCTGTATTTTCGGGAGATAATTCATTTGCGGGCATCCGGGAGTCTCTGTGCATTTGCGGATGAATGTAAAGGAGGACTAAGCAAAATTGTTTCTACTTTATAATTAATGTTCTCAACTTGAAGCAATACAACTTTACAATGAGTGCAACTGTTTGTATTCAATAGTTTATTATTATTATTATTATTATTATTATTTCAATTTCCATATCTGCAATGCCTGTATTTTGGCATTATTTTGCAGTCCACTTAGAATCCAACTTGGAAATAATTTTTTTCTTTATTGGTATTGATGTTTTTAATAATGTCAAATGACATTAACATGCCTGTGTTTTTATTTTTGTAATAAATATGGCTGTCAAGCAGGATCTTGATGGTTTATTGTGGGTTTGTTGTTTACATGAATAAATCACAAGTTAAACTAAAATTCTAATAAACAATTATATTTTAAATTTAAATAGTTTTTGTCTTGCGTTTACATTAATTTTACACTTGAATAGCCAAAATTACAAGTTTCAGTGTTTTAAATGCGATTAATCACGATTAATTTTCTAAAAAAGATGCAATCAATTATTGAATTTTTTCTTATCGATTGACAGCACTAATATTATTATATAATTTGTTCATGTGTACTGTGCTTATTTAATAGAAACACATAGTAGAATGTATACTTAAATAACTCATTTAATAAGGTAATGCAAAATTACATTGATGTCATTCATTGTCTTCTCTCTTCCTTTAGTCTGGTCTCACACCAATCCACGTGGCAGCCTTCATGGGTCACCTCAACATTGTTCTTCTACTGCTGCAGAATGGAGCTTCTCCTGATGTCAGCAACATAGTGAGTAAACAGAGAGCTGCCTCTTCATAATGTATTATACAGTATACTTCAAAAGTGAGGAATGTCTTCATGAGCAGCAACTCAACATGTAAATGCCAAACGCTCCAGAGAGCAGAATCAACATGCAATCAATTTTAATCGTTTAGCATTAGCTTGTTGCTAGCCTGAAAGCTTTAAAGGGTGGTTCATCCAAACACGAAAATTTAGTCATCATTGAAATAGCTCACAAAGATTTATTATTATTTAATAATACTACTACTGCTAATAATAGCATTTTTATATTTATAGTTATATTTTTATACTAAAATATGTGTTTAACATGTTGATCAATGTATTGTTTTGTTCCACCAATATACTGAATTACAATTTGAGATGGCTTTTCTGTGATATATATATATATATACACACATACTACTGACATAATTGAACAAAAAAATGTTTTTTGGAACAGGTTTTGTGTCATCATTTACAAATCATTTAAATATGTCTAGTCTAAAGCATTACATGACCTTCCCCTGTGTTTTACACCAGCGTGGAGAGACTGCTTTGCATATGGCGGCCCGTGCTGGACAAATGGAGGTTGTGCGGTGTCTTCTAAGGAATGGAGCCATGGTGGATGCAAGAGCAAGGGTAGGCCAAAGGCATGCTTCAAGATTGCATGTATTGACTTAATACTGATGTTGTACTCATCTGTCATATTACAGCAGTGGATGTAACAATACTGCAGGGATACAGCATACAGCATTACAGTTTCACAACTAGTGGGAAACTGATGTAAGCTTTTAAGGAGCTAAAAGAGCAGAATGCCTAAAGGTGACAAGATGTGGCTAATATTTTGTATTAGACAACACGACAACAAATGACAAAATACATAACTGTTAACATTTTAGTACAAAGATTTACTCAAGTTTCCCCTATGCTTATTTAAAACACCAAAAAGTAATGTCCATAATCTGAAGGGTTCGTATGCAAAAAAAAGGCTGCCTAAAAAATTTATTCTAAAATGAGTGTTTTTCTCCTATGTTTATGTTCAGTTATCTCACTTCAATGGCTTAGAGAAGAAAATATTCTTGCTAATTGCTAATTTTAGAAAAAAAGATTTAATGGCACTTTGGATTTTGCAACTGATTATTTTCTGAACTCTCCTCCCTCATCAGGAGGATCAGACTCCTCTTCACATTGCATCTCGTCTGGGTAAGACAGAGATTGTCCAGCTTCTGCTTCAACACATGGCTCATCCAGACGCAGCAACCGCTAATGGTTACACCCCGCTTCACATTGCTGCACGTGAGGGACATTTGGACGTTACTACTGTGCTATTAGAAGCTGGAGCTGCTCACTCCTTAGCTACCAAGGTCAGTAAAAGTAAGATTTTCACCCATAAAAACGAGAGATTTCAAACTAATTGAAACATTTATGCTTCTTTGAGGTTTAGCTAAACAAAAAAAAGTATATTCTGTTATTCTTTACTCACCCTCGTGTAGTTTGTTTTGGTGCATTAAAATATCAACATTGCTTGTCAGAATTACTTTAGAGCACATTTAAAGGGATACTCACCCTCAAGTGGTTCGAAACCTTTATGAGTGTATTTCTTCTGTTAAACACAAAATAAGATATTTTTAAGCTCAAAACCTGTAATCACGGACTTCCAGGTTTTCGGCATTTTTCAAAATATCTTCTTCTGTTTTTTAACAGAAGATAGAAACTCATAAAAATTTTGGGGTGAACAATCCCTTTAAGGAATTTTGTATAAAACCTATTACTTATGTCCCCTCTGTCCCCTCGTTGAATTCTTCAATACATGCATTTAAAAAAAAAAAGATATATTAAGTGGTGTCATGCCATCACATTTGAGCTTCCACAAGAACCCATTGGGTTGGTCCTTATATTTCAAGAATGCACAATGTTGAACTTTTGTACACTTTACAAATATTTTAAAGCATTAAAGCTTACAATCTTTAAATGACGAGAAAGAAATTGTTCATCTTAGTCTAAAAACAATAATCACACAATGTAAGTGTAGAAAAATTAACCTCAAAATTATATAGTCATTGTTTAAAAGGGGTCATTAATCATTCATTCATTCAATCATTCATTCATTCATCCCTTTTCTTTTCGGATAAGTACCTTTATTCATCAGGGGTCGCCACAGGGGAATGAACTGCCAACTTATCCAGCATATGTTTTACGCAGCGGATGCCCTTCCAGCTGCAACTCATCACTGGGAAACACCCATAAACTCTCATTCACGCTCATACACTACGGCCAATTTAGTTATTCAATTCTCCTATAGCGCATGTCATTTGTACTGTGGGGAAAATCGGAGTGCCCTCAAACCAGCGATCTTCATGCTTTGAGGGGATTGTGCTGCCCCGGGTGAATAATAAAAAGTTCTGAAAAATAAGAGTCATCAGAATGTTCAGATTTTATGAGAGACACAATAGACTTATAACAGTTACTTACTTACTTACACCCATGGGCCTTTATATTAAAGTTGATATTTAGCTGCACCATGCTGGTAGTTCGTAAATCGTTTTCTAATTTTTACAAAGTGGGTTGTTAGCCCAATGCTAAACCCCCAACCTGGAGGACCAGGGTATACACACATACACTACAGCCAATTTAGTTTATCCAATTCAACTATAGCACATGTCATTGCACTGTGGGGGAAACCAGAGCCCTCAAAGGAAGCTCACGCCAACACGGGGAGAACATGCAAACTCCACACAGAAATGCCAAGTGACCCAGCCAGAGCTTGAATCAGCAACTTTCTTGCTAACCACCGCTAACCACTGCACCACCGAACCACCAACTTTAAAGGGTTACCAACCAAAAACTCTCAATGGACCCTTTTCGCAAATCTGTTATGGCACGTTTAACGGTCATCAGCATCTTAAATCCTTGAAAGTTTTTAATATTTAGATTTTTCCGAAAACATGTGAACATTTATTTGCATTTATGAATGTATTTTATCATCTTTAATTCAAATGACAAAAAACAAGTTACCACTTGTGTGAGGCATTTCTAATGCAGGTTCTATGGCACAGGACAGTAAATTTGACGTTATTCTCTCCTCTGGCTGCCATCATCAGTCTCACACATTTTTTACATTTTCTTAACATCTTTATAACATCATCGTGAAGTTTTTCTTTTATTATTTGAGCAAATAAGTGCTAATATTTGTTGTATTCTCCCATTCACTGCACTCAAAGTTTTCCCAACAATGACAACTTCCACTACAGAGAAACACAGAAATGTGAAAAGGGTCTATAAATATCCAAGCATGTAAATTATAATGTTATAAAATATAAATAAATAAATACATATAAATATAAAGAAATTATGATATAAATAAAATATTTAAAACAACAATTGTATTGTTTTAAAATGATTATTATTTTGCAGATTCTGAAGGGTGTATATAAACTTACTTAAAGTAGTTACACTGTAGCTGTACTATTATGTTGGATTTGGGTCCATGTAATGTTGCTGACAGACCAATGGAACCAGCAATACATAGCTGATGAAGTTGGTTCACCATTAAAATGTGTTGGTTAAAAAACCTGTTCAAGTCATTGTCTGTTTATGCTGGAAATCAGCAAAGTAGTTAAAAAGTTATGGATCAGCGATGTTATTGCCAAGGGAAATTACTTTTGTTGCACTTTGTTTTATTGTTCTTTTAGACAGTAACATTGTTTGCAATTGCATTATTATGGTATTACACGTTAACTCCATTTACAGTATTACTAGACTGTAAAGGTCAGGTGAGTTTTAGAGTTAGTAGAATAAATACTTGATCGGAACTTGGAATATATATATTAGTAAAAAACTGTCCATGTAAAAGCTCTCACATGACTCATTGTCTCTCCCTGCTGACAGTATCAAAAACTACATTCAGAACATAGGAGCCATCAATAACGTCATTTAATCAAAAATGTTCTGTTATGATTTAAAACCACTTCAAATATATATTTTCCATTTTGAATAATGTCAGCATTGCATATCTGTAATATATACAATGCAATCTACATTTAGAATGATCTGATTCGTCTGTATCCTCCTTTTAAATATCCACAGAAAGGGTTCACACCTTTACATGTGGCCTCAAAGTATGGAAGCCTGGAAGTGGCAAAGCTTCTTTTGCAGCGACGGGCACCTCCTGACTCTGCTGGGAAGGTAATGCACCAGAAAATGTTACTGATTTATTTTAATTCAAGACATAGTAGCTTTAACAGGGCATTTTTGACAAATATGTACACAAAAATTTGGTTTGAGTCTAATTCATTGAGTCTTTTGGGATGTTGTTTAAAAGAATTGCCTTGAGGCTATGTTGACTGCAAGAGTACTGGTAAGCATCGGTTCTTTTACTAATAACATTTTGTTAAGAAAAGGAAACGACTTTGTTTTCTTCCTTTTTTCTTTAATAAGGAGCCAGATTTTGTTTGTTGTCGAGCTTGCACTCTAATTTAGATGATAATCTCACCTTCGTTTTTAACACTCACATTAACACACAAATAACAATCCCTGTTAACACTGCTATTGCATTAAATATTCCATATTTGTGCTTAGGTTTGATTTAATGCTTTTGCAATGCTAACAGTTCCCCTTAATCATGTTGCACTGACCCTCATCCCAGCAGAACGGTCTCACTCCTCTACATGTCGCTGCACACTATGATAACCAGAAGGTGGCACTCCTGCTCTTGGACAAAGGGGCATCTCCTCATGCCACCGCTAAGGTGAGATGTCTTCTCTCTCTCTCTCTCTCTCTCTCTCTCTCTCTCAAATTTTCAGCATAGGCTCATTCTAAAAGTGCAGCCCTATATACAATTCTGGAGATCGTGAATTATGTAGCCAGAAGTAGGCATGGCAACATTTCATTTTTTTAAATGGAAGCTACAGGGCTTTTTGACACTGTTCCTTTTTCTGGTCAATCTGTGTTTTTTAAAATACTATTGGTTGGGTTTAGGGAAGTGTGAGGGTGGGTCAGTCTATCAGTCAGTCATTCAGTTAGTCAAACAGCCTCTGGTGAAGTTGCAAAAACATAAACTGCATATGGGACATCCTGGGACCTATTTCACGGTTTTCAGAAATGTAATGTAATGTAATTTAATGTATATTTATATAGCGCATTTATTGTGTATGGCCATACACCCAAAGCGCTTAACAATCATGAGGGGGGTCTCTGTATGTATATGAATATAGAGGTACATTTTCAGAATAAGCCTGGGTAGCAAATTTTTGTGTTTTGTGTTTTTGTGCCTAACCATCCTTTTTGTTCTTTCTTTCTTTACCTAGAATGGATACACTCCCCTTCATATAGCAGCAAAAAAGAATCAAATGGAAATTGCCACCACACTCCTACAATATGGAGCTGAGACCAACATCCAGACCAAACAGGGGGTGATGCCGATCCATCTGGCGTCCCAGGAGGGACATAGTGAAATGGCGGCTTTGCTTCTGCAGAGAGGAGCCCAAGTCAATGTAACCACTAAGGTAAATGACTAAAATCAATATCACTACATCTGTTATATTTAAAGGCAATTTCTGAGGCAGAATTATAAAAAATATATAACTGAAAATGCTGTTAGTGTGAAAGTACAAAGCCGTTAAAGCAAATGGGCATGGAAATTTCTGCTGATTAGGATGATTTACTTATAATATGCTAATTAAAAGCACACAGACACAGATGCTCATTTACAAAATGACCAATGCAGTCTACCAAGAGCAGAACAAATTACTTTATGTGACTTCGTAATATATGTATTTGGATGTCTTCTTCTGGTGTTTTAATTAAACCATTAAAAGTAGGGGAAATCTCTCTATTCTACCACATCCGATTGTGAAAAGGACAGTTACTAAATAATTTCAATTGCACATGACCAAAATAACCCTTAAAATAAAAATAGTCAAGATAAACTGCAGCTGTGCTTTTTAGAGACATGTGCTTTTGTTAATTGCAACACAAGATCATTGTGAAAACGTACCCCTGTACACATTTCTGGAGAGCATAAATTATGCAGCTAGAGCTATATTTTGTCTTTAAAATGGCTTCTGCTTCTTTTTGCGCTACCAGCTGACTGCTTACCTCTGAGTGGGTGGTTTTTCTACTATTACCAGATTGGCCAGGAGCTCACCATGTATGTTGGCTGACTTGAGACGCAGAGCACGGTTTATCGCGATGACGGGGTTCAAGTCTGGCGAAGAATGATTCCAGAAAGGATGTAAAACAAAAACAAAACTCAAAAAATAAAATAAGTAAATAACAGGGTAAGAACATAGTAAGATCTAAAACCTGGTAAAAATGAGGCGGCCGCAAGGGCTTTTCTTTTTTTGGATTACGTTTGAAAACCCTGTTGGTTGGGTTTATGGAAGGGGGTGATTAAGTCAATCTGTGCTTTCGAAAACACTATTGGTTGGCTTTAGGATAGGGGGTGGGTCAGTCAGTCAGTCGACAGCGGTCTCTGGGGGATTTACGTGAGAACAGCAGGCACTAATGGCACTTGCGAAAGGAATTTGAGTTCTGAAAAAGTGTACACAGCACCCTCTGGTGGATTCTCGAAAATCAAAACTGCAAAAAAAAAAAAAAAAAACAACAACTCCTGGAAAGTATTTAGCACTCACCAGAAATGTGTATATGGGTATATATGAAAAAATGATTCTGGGTTGGTTAATTTATGTAATTCATGTTTTCTTAGAGTGGACTTACATCCCTTCACCTTGCTGCCCAAGAAGATAAAGTAGGTGTTGGTGAGATCTTAGTGAAGCAAGGTGCCAACTTAGACCAACAAACCAAAGTAAGCAGATTTTATCATACACCAAAAAATTTTTTGTTAATCAATTTTACTGACCATGGCCCTATAATATTCTTTCCAGTTGGGATACACACCTCTTATTGTGGCCTGTCACTATGGAAATGCTAAGATGGTTAATTTTCTGTTGAAGAGTGGGGCAAGTGTCAACGATAAAACAAAGGTATTTCTCAGTGTGTCCATTATTTGTATTATTATGTATACAACTTTACATAAACACTTCAATATAATCCTAAGTTTTATATACAAAAGTAATAATTACACAAAAGGTAGAAACATGTTATATGCACTTTGGAAAATATAATATTTTTGTCTTTGTCAGAATGGTTATACACCTTTGCACCAGGCTGCACAACAAGGCAACACACACATCATTAATGTCTTACTCCAGTATGGGGCCAAACCCAATGCCATCACTGTGGTGAGTAAATATAAACACACACACACACACAGCAATTTATATTCTTGCAGATGCTTTATTAAAATCTACAAAACATCAACATTGTTTTAAATACAAATTCACCTGAAAAATAAATAGGTAACACTTTACAATAAGGGTGTATTAGTAATGCTAGTTACCGTTTGTGAAATATGAATTAACAGTGAATAAAACATATGTTAATCATTGTTTGATCTTTGTTATTGTTAACTAAACCTTTATTGATGTGTTATTTAATAGATTAGTCAACATTAATTAGTGGTATAACAACTACTATTATATTACTAATAATACATAATCTTTGTTCATGTTAACTTATTCTTATCACCTTTACATTTTTTGGTCCCACTTTATATTAAGTGCCCGTAACTACTATGTACTCACATCAAAAAAATAAATACATTGTACTTACTGTGTTTATGATTTCTTTGAGAACACTTGTGGTGCTTTTGAGTTGGGATAGAGGTTGGGTTATGGACAGGTTTGGTGGTATGGGTAGGTTTAAGGGTGGGTTAAGGTGTAAGGGATGGTCAACAGTGTATTTACAAATGTAAGTACAAAAGTTAATTGCAGATGTAATTACATACTTGAATTAAATCAAGCATATTTACACAGTAAATACATGTATTTACACAATAAGTACATTGTAACAAACTATTAATTCCTGTGTAAGTACATATTAGTTAAGGCCACTTAATATAAAGTGGGACCCATTTTTTACATTGATTCTTTAAATTAGTTAATGTTTACTCACACTTAAACTAATGCATTTGTTCAAGGATTAGATAGCATGACATAACAGTGAACAACACATATTTAGCAAAAATAAATTTAATATATAAATTAAACATATTAATGAATGAATGAATGAATGAATGAATGAATGAATTAAATAATTAACACGTTAGTTAGCTTGATTAGTTAAATAGTTAATGTGAAAAATAATTAACAAACACACACATTGGTAATGCTGAAGTAGTGTACACTACAGTAAGGTTCATAATTCCATAGTGCTTTGTTAATGGTAAAACATGTTAGTAAAGAGTTAACAAGTAGGAATGTTGTGTGCTGTGTGGAGCATACTCAAAACTACACAGAGTAGCATGGCGTGTTAATAAAAAGGTATCTGGTGCATGCGGATAGGAAAAGAGTGTGTCACCTACAGTTCCAAAGAAAACAAAAAGCATTGAATATGTCAATGCCATGTTTGCTTTGTGTAGAATGGAAACACTGCTCTTGCCATTGCACGTCGCCTTGGATACATTTCTGTGGTAGACACACTAAGAGTGGTCACAGAAGAAATTGTCACAACAACAACAGTAAGTTAAACTTGGAAGATGATTTTTAAGATGCCCTAACATGGATACAATGCGTGTGTTTTTTACTGTATTAATTAAATTAATTTACTTGCATATAGACAGTGACAGAGAAACACAAACTAAATGTGCCAGAAACCATGACAGAAGTCCTTGATGTGTCTGATGAAGAGGGTAAGTGTGAAACAATAAATTAATTGCCCTATTGTTGACTTAAATTGTACTATTTTTTCTATCTATCCATCCATCCATCCATCCATCCATCCCTGTCTGTCTGTTTGTCTGTGACAGTCCATATAAAATCAGTCAGAATGACATTGGCAAGATTTTGATCAGTTTTCTCTTGTAATGCGGCACATATTCTGTGTGTTCTGGTATAACTGCAAATGTGGGTGTCTGATGTGTGTTAACATGGGATTTCCTGCAGTTCGGAGGCTGGTAGATGATGGTGCGATGTCAGATGACTCTATTGATTTTGAAGGTATAGATGGACAGAGCATGGACTGATGTGGTTTAATAACTGCTTAAAGTTGATTTTAACAAACTTAAGATGCATGGTCTTATGGAATTGGTTACACTTGGTGTACATGTAGGCTACTAAACGGTTTACAATCCTTTGCAGGGCTTGATTTTTTAACACAATGATATGTACTAAAACCTTTGTTTTGATTTTGTTTATTAGAACTGCATTGTACCCAAAATAATTAGGTTATGTGTTCAACAAAGTATTTTTTTACGCTCCAGAAATGCAAGTGATGTTCTAAAAAAGGCTCACTTGCAACCGCTTCTACTGTCAAGGCATGTTAAAAACAATTAGTGCTCAAAGGTGAGTGTAAAACACATGCACGTGACGTGGTTACACAGTTTTAAAATTGTGACACTTCCATTTGAGCTTTTTACTCAATGGCTTAAACAAAAAAAAGTTACAATAATAATAGAAAAAATATATATATTTACAATAATCTCTTTAAACAAAAACAATGTGCAAAGATAAAAATTAACAAAACAATCCTTAAGTCTTAACATCTAAACTAGGCGGTAAAAATGAATAATGAAAATGAAACCCGATATCTTCAGTGCACACGACACCCAATCTAAACTAATTAAACTACTAAACTCAAAGTTACACTGGTGGCAAAACACTCAAGTTAATCTAACAAAAACAAGCTAAACTAAAACAAGCCTAACAAGAATATCATAAAGCTCAGTTTAGAATCACACAACAACCATCAAAGCAGTAACTTAAAGCCAACAAAGACTAACAAGTAAACTCTAATTATCGCAGTAAAACTGAGAAAATAAATGACCAAATATGCCTAAGCATGCCAAAAACACAAAAGCGTTGAGCACAAAGATATGCCAAGGCAGAGCGCACACCACACACTGATCTGTTGGAGCTTTAAACTCCTAAGTCCCAAGCTGTTTTTTACATGCATTTTTTATTTCTCTGTTCTATTTGGGATTTTCAGAACCTAATTAGATTAAGTATCATCTTTTGATATTATGTACTGTTAGAGAAAAATGATGTCCATATGTGGACTCGTGGTCCGGATTTCCATAAAACATAATAAAGCACCTTTGTGTAATAGAATGAAAACGTCTTTATTTCTACCTTGAACACAGCAGTTTTTTTCCCTCACTGTTTTTTTGTTTTTTTATGCATTAACAACACATACACACATCATTTTGAACATGTTTTGACTATCAGTAAAAACTATTTTTTTTGCCCATTTTGGACAGTAAAATACTATTTGGGACATTTCATATGCTGCAAAACAGTTGCAGGATGACACTGTATGTCTGTAACAAAATATAGAACATTAGAGATTAGAGCTAAAATGTGTTGTCCACGTTTGTGGCCACTAACCCCACAAGGTTAAATCCTGGTGGCTCGTCTGGGGATTGGTGGAACTGGCAATTTCATAACGACTGTTAACTGAACCAAAAAGAAAGAGTGAAGTAAGAAGCAAAGAGAGAAGTGTAAGAAAAATAAATACACAAAATTAACATGGAACATAACAAACAGAAAAACATGCTTCCGTATAGCACCCTAACGCAATATGCAAATGTGTTAGGATTTTAATTATATAAAAAAAAATTAAATGGTTGGTCACATTTTATTTTGATGGTCCATTTGTTGAATTTAACTTACATTGCATCTACCTGTCAGCTAATTCTCATTAGATTATAAGTAGACTGTTAGGTTGGGGTTAGTGTAAGTTGACAAGTACTTGCAAAGTTTCTTACAGTCAGTTAAATGTCTGTTAAAGGAGCAGTGTCAACAGATTTTAAGCAGACAGTCCACTAATACTCAAATGGACCATTAAATAAAGTGTTACCAAGTAATTAATATAGTGTTTCTGTCAAGTAATTATATTGTTCTTTTTTAATAAAGAAGTAGATTTTGGCACATTTTTTTACTTATATCTATCTATATAGTGAACATTTGAAGTGGATTAAAAAAGATCTGAAGACAAAAGTTTGGGTTACCTTCCTCTCATTTTTTTTTTGTTATTTACAAATACGGAATTATGTTAAAAAGAATACTTCCAATTTCGAAATGTTCAAAGCACCTGATTATCTTTATTCATGTATGACATTGGAGCCTAACTTGAAGGGTTCTTTTCTCTAGATATGTTGAATATTTTAATGATACCATCCCTCCAACAAAAAATTTCAAGATGTCTTGGGAAAGGGACCTGGGATTAGAGATTTCAGAAGATAACTGGACTAATGCTCTTCAAGTTATCAGGTCCTGTTCCATTAACTCTAACCTCCAGCTGATCCAATATAAGAAAGTCCATATACTACACTATTCCCGCAATAAATTGCACTCTATATACCCCTCTGTATCGTCTCTGTATATTAAAATCAAGACCAATGAAGGTTAAAAAAAAGATCTGAAGACAAGACAAGAATGGGTGTTGTTCAATAATTTTAGGGCAACACTGATGAAACACTGATTTGTAAAGTGGCAAGCACAACTGACATCACAGATAATAGAGATTAAATAAAAAAAAATAATAATAAAATAATATTTATTGCCACTTTGAACAACTATTTGGGTCCTATGTGCTTCATATTTAAGTTATTGTTAATTTTCTCATCATATTATGCACTTTTTGTGTTGTTTTCCCATTCCAAAGGCAGCCAATATGCATCTGAAAGCCAAACTCCACTGTCAGTCTACAGTATGTCCTCAGTTCATTGGTATACAGTACTGGCTAGAGACACTGCACCTGCTGGCCAGACTCCACAGCAGCTTCATTTAGCTTAACCTTGATTTAAATGCTGTAGAACTGCCGCAGTCTAGATTGCTGTGCTACAAAAAGCATAGAGGCTTTGCTGATATATGCAATCTGTATGAAGAATGAAGAATTTATCAAATAAAGGTTGTGTGTGTGTGTTTATATGCGTGTTTATATGCATGCATATGTAATCAGTTTTTTTTCAAGGTTTCAATCAAGGTCTCTCATGTTACTTGATCATAAACAAATGTGTAAATGTGCAGAGTTTATGGAATCCCATTAATGACATTCTCTGCCTGTCTGTCACCAGGTGATGACACTATGACAGGTGATGGTGGTGAATATTTGAGAGCAGAGGATTTGAGAGAATTAGGAGATGATTCACTACCTGGCCAGTACCTGGATGGCATGAACTACCTGCGGTTCAGTTTAGAAGGAGGCAGATCAGACAGGTATTTATTATTGATGAAATACCGATTATTGTTATTATTATATATTTATTTATTTTTTAAATGTTTCTTCTCAGATTATTGTCATTTGTCAAGCATAAAAAGGGCAAATTGTCAATAAGAACTGCATGAATAATCATTGAAAGACTACAATGTCATTTCAAACACAAAATGATTCACCTGTAGGGTTGATTAAAAATAATGGTAAATTTATGCATTTTATTTTCAAATGGCTCATTAAAAATTTCTATTTTCATCATAAATTGCAAATACAACAATATGTATTAAGTGTATCATGCGTTCAGTCTATATGCAATGAGTATTTGACAACCAAAACAACAATGGCAGACTACAAGAGAGTGTGTGTGTGTGTGCAGGTGCATAGTGTTTCTTTATTAAGTGAAATCCCACACTACTCTACTGGTGTTTTAGCTGTTCCTGTCAGTGGGCAACATTCAATGCATTTATGTAATTTATATTTATTAAATAAATATAGTTTTATTAAATTTAAATAAATAGGAGACCTCTAAATTATTGAGGAGCCCGGAGTCTCATCTCATGTTAAAAAGAAAACACAACAACAAAGACGATTGTTCAATCATTCATTCATTGTCTTTTTGGCTTAGTCCCTTTATTAATCTTGGCTCACCACAGCAGAATGAACCGCCAACTTATCCAGCATATGTTCTATGCAGTGGATGCCTTTCCAGCTGCAACCCATCTCTGGGGAACATCCATACACACTCATTCACACTCATACACTACAGACAATTTAGCCTACTCAATTCACCTTTACTGCATGTCTTTGGACTGTGGGGGAAACTGGAGCACCCGGAGGAAACCCACATGAACGCAGGGAGAACATGCAAACTCCACACAAAAACGCCAACTGACCCAGCCGAGGTTCAAACTTGGATGATTGTCCAAAGAAATAATGTAAAGTCAAATTTATTTGACATTTAATTTTAAAGGAAACATAAAAATCATGCGAAGGTAAAGCCAAATAACAAAAAAAAAAAAAAAAAACTCAACAACTAACTAAGTTTTAAACCCCCTTAACTGTCGCTGAGCAATTACAGTACAGCACCATTTTTTTTTTCTTTTTACAAATAAACAAAAAAAGCCGGGAGAGGAGACTCTCTGAACTATCTTCCAGTCGGGTTTAAAAGGACTTCACAAACACATGAGCAAGCTCCCACATGTCAACACCTGATTCACCGCACCTGTGCACTGATAATGAATTGCTTGTAGAGACAGCAGGTAGCGATGGAGAAAAGAAAACCACAACAAACAGAGGCAAATACTTAACACAAAGAAAAACTCACTACTTCAAACAAATTATGCTTTTTGCATTATTATTTTAATAAATAAAGGAAATAGATAACATGGCGGTTCAATTATTTTGAACATATTTTGTCCAAATGAAGTTCTTAGGGTTTGATAAGAACCAATTCATTATCCACAAAAGTAAAGGAGTAAAGTAAAGAGGCTGATTGAAGAAAGCTTGTTCTTTTAGCGTTTAGTATTTCCACTTACAATGTCTGTCATGTAAATGCACCATGGAGCGTCACAACTGACTCTTAAAGGAATGTGAGATGAGACTCTGATTGGTTTAATTATGCTCAAACACACTCATAACTCATTAAGAGAATAGACACAATCCTGTTAGACCTGTGCTGGGGCACAAAACACACACACACACACACACACACACACACACACACACACACACACACACACACACACACACACACACACACACACATATATATATATATATATATATATATATATATATTAGACTGAAGCATTTACCGTTTTTTGGAGCCATTACTAAATTGTATGTTGCTTTGTTTTGTCATCTATGTGGAATCAAGAGAGAAAATTAATGTCTGTTAAATCGAAATGTAGTTTTTCTGGAATTATGTGTATATATTGTTACTAAAATACTTGCTGGATCACTTAAAGTTCAAATGTTTGACTCAAACTTTATACATTTCAATAAATATGTTTAATTGCATCACACTTTCTCCTTTCTGCTAATGCTGACATAGTCGCCTACAGAGGTATGTGGGAAATGCTGTACTTTGTACGTATGTATGGATTTTGTTCTTATACATTGTTCTGTAGTTGAACTCTATCTGCTTTATGTATGGATAGATGGATGGATGGATGATGAAAAAGAGTCACGAGTGCCTGTTGACTGATGTTGTGTTTACTGTATGCTTTCCCTCAGTTTGGACAGATCCTACACTCCCACCCACCAGAGTTACTACTCAAAACATTATGGAATTATGGAGGATGTGATTTATAGTAACCAGGTGATACTGAATGTTTTTCAAACATGTTTTTTTCAGAGTATTCAGAGCATTCATATTGTTTCATCTTATATGTGTTATTTAATGAAAGTGGGTTCTCTTTGTTAAAAAAATTAAACTATCAGATTTTATTTCAATTGCTTCATAATCCCAAGTAGACCAGTTCTCCAAAATGGAAATGTATATCAAAATGAAATGCAATGTAAACTCTTAAAACATACATACTGGCAATAATACACCCACTGCAATAATGTTAAACACATGTTTGCCTAGATTTATAGCTATTTTCCGACCAGTGCGACCTTAGTTTTTACGTTTTGCACCATGTTGTTTAAATTGCAAATCCATTTACGTCACTTTGTAGACTCATAAGTGTTCTGGTTTACAAAGAAGGTGTGTTAATGTGCATTATTGGCATGTTGCTATTTTGAAGAACTGAAATACACTGCACTATTGACTAACTGAAAGCAGGTCTAAAGACCAGCGCACAATGTATGAATTATGCGCCTGTGCATGCTTAATGTACACAGGATGTACAGCAATACACAAATACCTTTACATATGAAAAAAAAAATTGTATGAAAAGGATCAATGTCTCAAAATGATTATTTTCTACTTAAATATAAAAACCACTGCCTCCATGCCTTCTTCATGTCTATAGGGCTTTTTTAGTTTATTCATGACATTTTGCACTTGTATATAATTATTATTATTAGCAGTATTAATTATTATATGCATATTTATATTTGTTTTTAATAAAAACAAGTTTAGATTTGTCCACCTGTCAGGATTTAGAGATGTATACATCAACATATGAAGCATAAGAATAGGACTTGTGTTTGGATTTAACAAGATATAATAAGTTTTGAAACAAATCTTTGCACTTAAGTATGCAGAGTGCAAACAACACCGTTTTATTATCGTTTTATTTGAGTGACACAATTGACTCTTAAGTTGAATGTAAGATGAGACTTTGATTGGTTTAATTGTGCTCAAAACACTCCCATAACTCATTAAGAGAATAATCACAATCCTGTTAGACTTGTGCTGGGGCACAGAGCATATTTATCTGTCCTTAAAATAGCAGAAGTGAATATAGATATGCCCTTAATGCTTTTGTGCCATGCGCTTTAGACTTTGCGCCTAGATCATTAAATTAGAGCCCTGAAAGTCAAATTAAGTTAATCATATTATAACTATTTTCATGATAGCAGTCCCTTAAAATATTGAATTTTAACAGTATTGTTTCATCAATCTTTTAATAATGATTTTTCTTAGATGTCTGCAGAATCTGACTTCTTGAATTCTGGATTGAATGTCTGTATTATACTAATATAACAGAAATGGCTTTCTTCATTCCAGGTGTCTTCTCTTGGAAGAGAAAATGAAAAGGACTCATGGGAAACTGAAAACTTGGACAACATAGCACTTTCCTCAAGTCCTGCTCATTCTGGGTATGGAAAATATATCTTGATCACACATACAGTACTTCTAATGACACTTACTGTACAAATACTGACGCTCATTGTCAACACAGTTCTAAACTGACTTAGTTTACGTCTCTGTGCATGTTACTGAACTTTTGAACAATTCATTACAATTCATTAATGTGTAATACAATACAGTTTTTGCATGAATCTTTAACAACCTGATTCCTATGATGGCCTTGAAAAAGCAATGAACTGTCCCTTCTCACTTACTGTCTTTCAAACTTGATTCTCTCTTTTTGACTTTTCTCTCTGATGGATTTTGGTCTTCAGCCATTGTTCTCCATGTCATGATCATGACAATAGCAGGTGACTGCAGTGGGTCTCTGGACCTCAGTGTCTTCCACACAGGAACCACTTAGTTTGGTGTCTTCTTGCTATGCCTCTTGGAATACTGCAATTCATTCAAAAATTATTGATGTATATAGTATCTACAGCAGCCCTGTTACTTTAGCATACTAGGCTTTTAGATTTAACTGTAGAATCATATAACATCATCTTTGTAACTCAAAGATGCCAAAAGGCACTGCAAGTTTGAATGTTATTCATCATTTTACAAACTCATCTTGACAACTAATCATTTGTTGTGTGTTTCTTATTTGTTTATAATATGTTCTTTAATCATTGTATTGTAACTCATTTTCTAACACATCCAGTATGTTTATTCATAGTTTATTATTACTTAAATAATACATAATTTATGAGTTTTAATTTGAATTATTAGTAGTTATTTTTGCCATATTACATTACTGTTATGGTTGGGTTTAGAGTTGGGGTAGGGGTAGATAATAAAATTAATAAGGTAGATTAATAAGGGTAAATTAATAAAATACAATTAATGGGAAATTTTATAAATAATATAAATAATTCTCATTAACTTCCAGCTGCACCCGTATGTGATCAATAGCTGATTAACCATGTGGATGGATGAAAACTGACCCTACTGACAACCACTGATAATGCGCATTCAATCGAGTGATAACATTCCAATCGACTGTAAAATCACAAAAAAGGATATATTAAAAAACATATAATTATTATTATTATTATTATTATTATTATTATTATTGTAGTAGTAGTAGTTGTAGTAGCACTTACATGAGACCAGACAAATATATATATATATATATATATATATATATATATATATATATATATAAACATTTAAAATAATATTATATAACAATACCAAGATTCTATATTTATAATCCTGACCAGCATTTTTGGAAGGGAAACTGTGCAATGAGGGTTGTTATCATAAGATAAAATTATAATAAGTATGTAACAATGAACTAGCACAAGAAACAGATACATCAGATATTTTCATCTGTAAAAAAAATACAATATGCATTAACATTACACATTAACATCTTTTGTTTGTCTGCATGTTGTGTCTCGAGAATTGTATTGTCATAAGTCATATTTCCAAACAGTTTGTGCAGGTGCTGTGTGTGTGTTTGCATGAAGATCAAACAGTGTTATTTATGTACATCATATATGTAATATATTGTATATATTATATATGTACATCATGTATATGTATTGTTTACTTACCGTACGTTTGCATAGACAAAATACAAAAGGTACAATATTCACATACTGATAGCATCGAAACTATAAAATGTTTACATAGAAACCGTTTTTAGATGTACTTCATGAATTCTAATGTTTTAATTAATTGGTAAAAAATGTTTGTATTTTTGATCATGGAGCTTACTGTATATTTACAATTGCATTAATTTAATGAAGTTGGCTTATTTACTTTTATTTACTCGATTCAAAAGAGTTTTGGGTTCAAAAGAGTGCACTTTTTAAGATTTTTGCCATTTTCATATAGAGTTGATCAGGTTGTTGATTGTGGCCTGTGGAAAATTGGCCCACTCCTCTTTAATGGCAATGCAAAGTTGCTGGATAATGGCAGAAAATGGAACATGCTGTCATACAGTATATGGAAATCCAGAGCATCCCAATCATGGTCAATGGGTGAAACGTTTGAGTTCTGGGTTACACGTGGCCTGCAGTTCTGAGGCCTGTTGAATGGAATAGGCTTATGGTCAGTGTTCGAATGATACTTTTCAACTTTTTCAACTGTCGCTTTGATCATGAGAGACCCTTGCCACAGTGATGTAAGCTAAGACACAGGACCTTGCCACTATCTTGCCACGATGATGTAAGCTTAGACACAGGATCTTGCCACTATCTTGTCACAATGATGTAAGACACAGGATCCCTGTCATTAAACAGCAATAAAGTCAACATCAAAAAAATGTATATAAATATCAAACAATCATTTATATAATTGTAACTAATATTACAAAGTATTTAGGTTTACTTTCTTGTTAAAAAACATGTGTTTTTCCATCAGATTATGGTAGAGTATGGAGTAAATCTAGGGCCATAAATACTTGCAAAATAAAACCAAATAAAAGTTTTTTATTATTATTTGCAGTTATTATTTTTTTAGGCAAAATATATTTTTATTTCTCAAAACTTAATTTTCGCTTTGTGATTTTAGGAGATTTGCTTTTTTTTTTTTTTTTTGCTCAATACTTTATTTTTTGTTTGCAAAACCTTCTTGGTAACACTTTATTTTGATGGTCCATTTGAGTATTAGTAGACTGTCTGCTTAATATTTGTTGATACTGTTCCTTCAACAGACATTTAACCGACTTTATGAAACTTTGCAAGTACATGTCAACTCACAATAACCCTAACCCCAACCTAACAGTCTACTTATAATCTAATGAGAAGTTGGCATGTAGATGCCACGTAACTTAAATTGAACTAACGGACCATCAAAATAAAGTGTGACCACTTTCTTTTATTTTGCAAGTATATGGCCCCTGATTGACTCCATAGTAGAGAAATGAACACTCAATTCACATGCAACGGCTCTGCAGTCAGCATGCCAATTGCATGCTCCCTCAAAACTTACCACATCCAGCAACTTTGCCTGGGCATTGAAGAGGAGTGGACCAACATTCAACAAGCCAAAGTCTACAACCTTATAAACTCTATGCAATGAAGATGTGTTTGACTACAAACCACAAACCCCCCCCAAACCCCCACCCCCACCACCACCCACCCCCACCCTCAATGCGACATCACCCATTACAAAGTATTTGTGTAGTTAAAGACTAAGAAACATTATATTTTGGCAGCTGTAAATATTTAATACATGTAGTATATTCAGATTTTAGATGATGTCAATATGTTTATATTATTTGTTTCAGTGTCTTCACAAACATTCTTAAACATGTATTTTTGTTCAATGAGACCAGGCTAAAATATCATGATCAACTTTCAAAGTAGCTTGTGATTTCATGACATACTGTGGTTGTTTATTTATCACTCCTAACCTTTTTTTATTTTCATCTAAAGATATGATATATCTCTTTCTCACTGCAGTTTCTTAGTCAGCTTCATGGTGGATGCTCGAGGAGGTGCCATGCGAGGATGCCGCCACAATGGTCTGCGGCTGATCATTCCACCACGGAAGTGCAGCGCCCCTACTAGAGTCACCTGTAGACTGGTCAAAAGGCACCGACTGGCAACAATGCCTCCAATGGTAGAAGGTGACGGTCTAGCCAGCAGGCTGATTGAGGTCGGACCTTCTGGAGCTCAGTTCCTCGGGTAAGCAAGTACTTTATGAATTTATTTGATAGTTTAGAGAGTTGGACAGAATCTGGACACAAGATGAGTTATGTTTATTATTGCAGAGTCTCACCACTATTTAAAAGTATGTATGTAGTATGTAAGTATTGCAGTCTAAATTCTAAATATTGGAGATGTTTTTTTTAACCTAGACCCTCCTCCGATGACACAAACAGAAGTGAGCATGCCTTATGATAAAGCCGTACACTATATATAGTGCTCAGCTAATGCTACTGTTTTAAATGTCTGCATTATTCCCTAATTAAAAACTACTTCATGTGGATTTTTATAACTGCATCTCATCTTGAAGGATCTTACTGTCCTACGGAGATCGCATTTTCAGCTGTGCCAACATAAATTGAGGCACATTAGGGGTTCAGAATGGCAAAATATAATTGAATGAAATATAATAAATATAATAATGATAATAATAATAATAATAATAATAATAATAAAAAGCAGACATTCTGACACAAAATTGACTTTTTCAAAAGAAGTATAACTGACTTTAGTATCGGTTATCGGGGTGTTTCTTAAATATCGGCAAATACACTATGGCATTTGTTTGTGTCTAAAATGGTCAAACTGCACATACAGTATCTTTAAACTGAATCTGTTCATATTCTTAATAGATTTTTTGAATTAGTATGATATATTTTATTGGAGCTAGTTAATCATCAGTGTTTAAAGTAATCGGGTGCTCTGGGCTGTAGTGGAATACTAATTGTCTATTAAATTTCTAGATTCATTTAATTATATTTAAATAATAAAATTATATTTAATGGTTGTTTAAATTAAGAATAACATAATTATAACATCATTTGTTGATCAGGATATTTGGTACTGCTAGAAGTACTTTCCCCCCTCCATGTCTTTAAAATATAAGAGTTTATTTTACCCTAGTATTTTCAAAGGAATTTCTGTGATAGCCTGTTGCCACTGACGGCGCTAGTGGTTACAACGGCTTTTTATCTTGTTTTATGCTTGAACAACTAAATGAATGTTTAAGTCTATTTAACTGAATGTATTGTAACTACATTACAACAACAGCGCTGTAAAAACAACCTTGTGAAATTGAAAATAGTAACAATAAGCTTTCACCGGAAGTTGGCTTTAAAATTCTAGCTGTGCATAGAGCCCATTGTATTAAAGGTCTATAAATAATTCAAAGTGCTTTACATAAACAAGAATACAGGAAACAAAAAAATAAAAATGATTAAAATAATTAAAAATGATTAAAACAGATGAAAGTCATCTTATAAAAGATTGAAAAAGAAAACAATAGACATAATAGAGGTTTAAATGCAAACAATTTGTATTGGTATGATATGTTATTGTAATGAAAATAATGTGCAAAGAAGAGAAGTACCAGCACTTTTACTCAATTTCTAACACTGCTATGATGGAATAATGGGTATTTTTCTGTGCTCTTTTTTTTGCTGCCTTTATTACTCACCTCCTGTCAAAGTGATTAATGCTACTGCTGCTTTTCTCTATTTAACAAGGCTGTAACGCCTAATTGTTTTGTTTTTGGCTTTAAGGCTTGCAAGGAAATTCATTGTGCCAGCAGCCAAACCCTTCTTATATTGCTCCATGATTGATTTAATACGTTCTTGCCTTACTACTTTCCAACTCTGTAATGAATGTGTAATGTTCTTTCATTATGCCTTCATGCCCTTATTTAACAAAATGTTTGAGGTGACAGGCATTTGTAGTCATGCCTGAAATTAGAGTGGATGTTATCAGGTGTGCTCATTCAATTCCATAATACACTACATTAGTGAGTGTGCAACACATTTACAGCCAAGTCAGTGAAGAAAACCCATGCGCTGAGGTCAATTTAATATTCAATATAGTTTTTGACAGTGTGTGTGTGTGTGTGCATGTGAATAATCGAATCTTTCTGTGCATCATTGTGCTACAGATAATTCTGTGGTGCATTCCCCAAAAAACTATATAACTGAACTATTATAAATTGGGAAAAGAACAATGTAGTGTCCAGTGTTTCCCAAAACAGTTGCTTTGTTGCAGATCCATCGTTAGTTACAATGTAACACGTCCATAATGACACTCTGGTAGAGGTGATGAGGGTGGGCGGTGCGGAGAGGCAAGTTTTAGGCAGTGTTTGTTTTAATTTCAGTTGTTCGGTGTTGATGTTCAATAAAATATCATAGACAATAGTGTGTGTTTACTGCAATTATTTTGAAATCAAATAATGCACCCTTCATTCAAAAATTTCTCACTTGTAATATGTGAGCATTTTTACTGTACATAACTTCTCAGTGTACTTTGAGGGCAAAAACATAAAATAAGTAAATTAAACAATCGTTCATTTATCATAATCGAGCTAAAAAGTTGAATTAATCGATATTTAGATTTTGGGCCAAATTTTAATCTTATATATAAATAATATAAATCATTAATAGTTTTACAGTATGATATTTATTAAGAAATAAAAATAATCATACATATGAACAGTAATAATAATAATAATAATAATAATAATAACAACTATTATTATTATTATTATTATTATATTTTATGATTATTTAGTAGAATATTGTTAATTTATTTTTATTTATTTATTTTTTAAATTCTACTTTTACTATCTGACACGTTCAGACCACTGCAGAAATGTTCTAACCACTAGGCCCATGTCATATACAGTAGGCTACAGACACATTTCTTAATAAATTACCTACTATAAATAAAAAACATTAAAGTATGCTAAATATTTTTGTTTTCACAAGGTTTGGAGACGTAACTTAAATTCTGCTTTTAAATTATAGGTTACTTATAGCTTCGTTAATGAGCCATGGCTGCGATCAAAATGACATAAATGATTTCAAAGAGCACTGCAAAGAGAACGCAGTTGTCAATATGAAAATCGCTAAAACTAAACTGAAGAAATACTTTAAAAGCAAATATACATCTAATATAGATGGCTTAAATGCTTTTTATTTTTAAATCATTGTAAGTTTAAATGTTGGAACATTCTAAATGAATAGAGCATAGGGGGGGTAACTGGGAATAGAACACAGCAAGGAACGTTCGAGGTTACAGAAGTAACCCTTCGTTCCCCGAGGAGGGGAACGGAAGTGCCATGAATGGGAGGATTCGTATCAGAAGCCGCTTATCTGGAGAGTATTGAACGGGCCAATGAATGAAATTAATTGGCAGCGTAAGCTTGCGCAGGTGTGCGACATCTGCAATCATCTCAGCATATAAGCACACCTGAAGCCAGCAGACGCCATCCTTTTAAGCTGAAGAGACTTTCAAACAGCTAAGGGACAGTCATTATGGCGACGGAATATGGCACTTCCGTTCCCCTCCTCGGGGAACGAAGGGTTACTTCTGTAACCTCGAACGTTCCCCTTCGGTTGGGGAACTTCAGTGCCATGAATGGGAGAATATGGAAAGCGCCATAATGACTGCACCTTACCAACACCCCCGATGAGGAGATAGTCAAGCAAGCGTGACGCACCCACATCATGGGGGGCGCGGTCCTCCAACGTGTCCCTGGCCCTAATTTATCCTACTTCAACAGAAGTTTTACGGATTTAGATATATTTTTTGGGAAGTCGTGAGCATCTAGATAATTCTAGGAAATACGACAGTACGTTGGGAAGCGTGCAATCCCGATAGGGAGGACGCTGCGGAGGCCATCCGTTACCCAAGGGGGGGATAGATGGCAGAATTTACCTATGGACTAGCCCTAAAAAGGGGGAGTACGCATAGCAAAGAGTGGTTAGCGGAGAGGGAAGACACGGGTCCGCCCAGGGGGGGGACTTAACCGTGGCGGAATAAGCATATGGGATCGCCTAGTGGGGATCACGCATAGCAGGCACCTATACCCAAAACGCGGGCTGACCAGCGGGCAGACCTACAACGTAGTGGGCCAGCAAGTGACTCCTCCGCTGAGTCAGTGCTGGGGGCCACGGAGGAATCTGCAGGGCTCACCTGACGGGGAACTTTACTGACAGATAAAAAAGGCGCACGTACCTCCGTGTTAGGGAGAATGGCGCAGCAAGCGTGTTTCAACACCCTACCGAGTTGTCTCCTCAATCACCAAAGGGTTACCTAATACCCTTGAGGAAACCGGCTCCACTCGCAGATTGTAAAACCTTGCAAATGTGTTGGGTGTCGCCCAGCCCGCAGCTCTACAGATGTCTGTTAGAGAGGCGCCGCGTGCACGCGCCCAAGAGGATGCAACGCTCCGAGTGGAGTGTGCACGTACTCCCGGGGGACACGGCTGACCTCGAGTCGAATAAGCGAGTGAAATGGCATTCACAATCCAGTGGGATAATCTTTGTTTCGATACGGCACTTCCCTGCTGCCGACCGCCATAAAAGACAAAGAGCTGCTCAGATGATCTAAAATTCTGAGTACGGTCCACATAAATGCGCAGAGCGCGAACTGGACAAAGTAAAGAAAGGGCTGGGTCTGCCTCCTCCGGGGGCAGCGCTTGCAGGTTCACTACCTGATCTCTAAAGGGGGTGGTAGGAACCTTGGGCACATAACCGGGGCGGGGTCTCAGGATAACGTGAGAGTAATCCGGCCCGAATTCCAGGCACGAGTCACTGACCGAAAATGCCTCCAGGTCCCCGACCCTCTTGATGGAGGCCAACGCAACCAGCAGAGCTGTCTTCAGGGACAGAAAACTTAGAGATACTGATTCGAGTGGCTCAAAGGGATCGGATCGCAGACTCGTGAGAACGAGGGCGAGATCCCAAGAGGGCATGAGAGGGGGGCGAGATGGATTAATTCGCCTAGCACCCCTAAGGAACTGGATGACCAGGTTATGCTTTCCCACGGTGCCGCCAGCTACCGCGCTATGATAAGCGGAGATGGCGGCCACGTAAACCTTGAGAGTGGAGGGCGACAGCCTGCTGTCCAACTTCTCTTGAAGGAAAGAGAGCACAACACTAATCTGGCAATTTCGGGGGTCTTCTCTGCGAGAGACGCACCATTCAGTGAATAGACTCCACTTCAGGGCGTAGGCGCGCCTCGTGGAGGGGGCTCTAGCCTGAGTGATGGTATTAACCACCGCAGTCGGTAGGTTACCTAAGTCTTCCTCGCGTCTAGGGACCACACGTGGAGGTTCCAAAGATCGGGGCGAGGGTGCCAGATGGTGCCCTGTCCCTGAGAGAGTAGGTCCTCTCTCAAAGGGATCCGCCAGGGGAGGGCCGTCGCGAGGAGTGAGAGCTCTGATATCCAGGTCCGGTTGGGCCAAAGGGGCGCAACTAGCAGAACCTGTTCCTCGTCCTCCCTGACCTTGCACAGAAACTGCGCGAGCAGGCTCACTGGGGGAAACGCATACTTGCGCATGCCCCGAGGCCAGCTGTGGGCCAGTGCATCCATGCCGAGAGAGCCCTCGGTCAGGGAAAAAAACAACTGGCAGTGAGCGTTCTCGGGGGAAGCAAACAGATCGATCTGGGCCTCCCCGAATCGCGCCCATATCAGCTGAACAGACTCGGGGTGGAGTCTCCATTCTCCAGGGCGTAACAGCTGTCGTGAGAGCGCATCGGCTGCACGATTGAGCGTGCCTGGGACGTGAATGGCGCGCAGCGATTTCAGCCGCGGGTGACTCCAGAGGAGCAGACGGCGGGCGAGCTGAGACATGCGGCGAGAGCGCATACCCCCCATGCGGTTGATATACGCCGCCGCCGCCGTACTGTCCGTCCTGACCAGCACGTGTTGCCACTCCAGCACCGGTAAAAAGCGGTGGAGAGCGAGGAACACTGCCAACAGCTCTAGGCGATTGATATGCCAATGCAGCTGGGCACCCTTCCAGAGGCCCGCAGCCGCATGCCCGCGACACACGGCCCCCCAACCCGTGTTGGAAGCGTCTGTTGAAACAACAACATGGCTGGACGCCTGTCCTAGAGGCACACCGGCCTGTAGGAACGAGGGGTCGTTCCAAGGGCTGAGGGCGCGGCGACACAGCGCAGTAACCGAGACCCGGTGTGTGCCCGCGTGCCATGCGCGTCTGGGGACCCGATCGTGAAGCCAGTGCTGAAGTGGTCTCATATGGAGCAACCCGAGCGGCGTGACGGCGGCTGCGGATGCCATATGCCCCAGGAGCCTCTGAAAGAACTTCAGTGGGACCACTAGTTTGCTGTCGAGCTCCCTCAGACAGTTCAGCAACAGGCGAGCGCGTTCCTCGGAGAGGTGCGCTACCATGGTGATCGAGTCCAGCTCCATCCCAAGAAAAGAAATCCTCTGCACGGGGGCGAGTTTGCTCTTTTCTCGGTTGACCTGAAGCCCCAGTAGGCGGAGATGCCGAAGCACCTCGTCCCTGTGCACAATCAATTGCTCCCGCGAGTGGGCTAAAATCAGCCAGTCGTCGAGATAACTGAGTATGCGAATGCCCGCGAGCCGAAGGGGCGCTAGGGCACCCTCCGCGAGTTTGGTGAAGACCCGCGGAGACAGAGAGAGCCCGAAGGGGAGGACCTTGTACTGCCACGCTCGACCCTCGAACGCAAACCGCAGAAATTGGCGGTGGCGTGGAAGAATGGAGACATGGAAATACGCGTCCTTCAGGTCTATGGCTGCAAACCAATCCCGAGGACGAACGCATTGGAGAATGTGCCTCTGCGTGAGCATTCTGAACGGCAGCTTGTGCAGACAGCGGTTCAAAACGCACAGATCTAGGATTGGCCGTGACCCACCGCTCTTTTTGGGTACGATGAAGTATGGGCTGTAAAACCCACTCTCCATCTCGGCTGGAGGAACCGGCTCGATTGCACCCTTCGCCAGGAGGGCAGCAATCTCCTCTTGCAAGACAGGGGCGGACAGGGGGTTGACCCTGGAGAAATACACGCCCGTAAACTTGGGGGGCCGTTTCGCGAACTGAATCGCGTAACCGAGTCTGATTGTGCGTATGAGCCACCGCGAGGGGCTGGCCCGCGCTAACCAGGCAGGCAGAGCCCTCGCTAATGGAGTCATCGCTACAATCGCTGACGTACCAGCGGTGGGGCAGCGCGGAGTGGGTGTGCTGATCCGGGAAGCACGAGGGTCCCGCAGAAAAGCTTGAGGAGAGCGATTCGCTCTGGCTCCGCACCCTGACTCCGGAGAGGGGGCTGGAGGGCTGAGGGAAGGGAGACCGTCCCCCCAGCGCTCATGAGCCACTGGCGAAGCACGTTGAGTCTGCGAGCCGGAAGGCAGCGCGTCCCGGACTGGCAGAACTAGTGCAGTCACATCCGGGGAAGGGAAAAAGTGCTCTTTTACTGATGTTTTGGTGGCACTGAAAAGTACCGTTGTTATCGGGGCCCCGCCCTCCAGCGGGGAAAGAGCAAGTTTCCTCTTCTCCGGATGGCCTGTCTCAGGGACGCTTCGCGGTCCGTTTACCGGACTTAACGGCGCCCTGGGCAGGAGGGGCTGCCTGCTTTCGAGGTGAACGCCGCGCCCGCTTGGCCGGAGGCGCAGGCGGGGGCGGGGCAGCACTCGTTGGCGGGCGCCCTCGGCGAGGAACAGCGGAGGTGGATGGCTCGGCGGGCGGAGCGGGCTTACGGCCACGCCGATAGATGACATTGCCCATCGCATCCGACTGCTCTTTCACCGCCTTGAATTCCTGGGTGAATTCACCGACGGTGTCGCCGAACAGGCCAGCCTGGGATATGGGCGAGTCAAGAAAGCGAACTTTGTCAACGTCGCGCATATCGGCCAGGTTTAGCCAGAGGTGGCGTTCCTGAACCACAAGTGTGGACATCGTCCTCCCCAGCGCACACGCGGCGGACTTAGTAGTCCGAAGAGCATAGTCGGTCGCGGTGCGCAGCTCATGTAATAAGCTTGGGTTGGACCCGCCCTCGTGCAGCTCGGCCAGCGCCTGCGCTTGGTAGCGCTGGTAGGTGGCCATCGCGTGCAAAGCAGAAGCAGCCTGGCCCGCAGCCTTATAAGCTCTGGCTCCGAGGGAGGCAGACAACCTACAGGCTTTGGACGGGAGGCGGGGCAAACCCCGCCACGTAGAGGCGCCACGCGGACAAAGATTGACCGCGATAGCGCGCTCCACTGACGGGATCGCCTCATACCCCCTGGCAGCTCCGCCGTCAAGGGCGGTGAGGGCGGAGGCACTCGCAGCACGGGCAGAGAAAGGTGCCCTCCAGGACTGCGTGAGCCTACTGTGCACTTCCGGGAAGAAGGGGACGAGAGGCTTCGAAGGCTTCGCCTTCTGGTCCTCTACGTAGCACCCATCTAGTCGGTCCGGCCGCGGAGCTGGGGGATAAACCATCTCCAACCCCACGGCCGAAGCAGCCCGGGAAAGCACGGCTAACATGTCCGCTTCAGGATCCGATTTGACAGCGCTCACCTGCCCGGAGGGGGCGAGCGGGTCCGGATCTTCGTCGGACAGTGAAAGCCCACCCTCCGATGCCGCGGAGGACATCTGATCTCCGGTGTCAGCGAGTGTGAGAGCTACCATCTGGTTAGACGGATCACTCTCACCACCCGAAGCTTGGATGGAGCGCCGTGAGGAGCGAGAGGTCCGCGAGCCCGTGGGCGGCGGATTAGCTCCCGCTGAAACCCTCAGATCTGCCCGAGCGCCCGCTGCTTTTTTAGAACAGGAGGCAACTGGGGTGGCTCGCTCTCTTGCGAAAGTTAGCCGCGATCTTAGCTGTGCAACGGTCATGGCATCGCAATGACGACATGAACCGCCCGCGAGCACCGCATTAACATGCTGGACCCCCAAACATGCAATGCAGTGATCGTGTCCATCATCCGGAGACAGGAAACCCCCGCATCCAGAAACGCACAGTCGGAGCGCCATCCTGAAAAGGACGTGCTGCACGACTGTGTTGCTCTTTTAGGAAAGTTGCAACTATACGCACCGCTCTGGAGGACCGGACCCAAAGAACCGCAGGCAAGGGAGTAACCCAGCTCGACCGTCTGCCACCGCGAAGACCCACTCTGGACCGGGAGACACACTCGTTCGCTCTGAAGTGCTGATCAGCAAGAGGAACCCTCATCGACTCACTCAGAAAGGATCTGAAGCGAAAAGGATGGCGTCTGCTGGCTTCAGGTGTGCTTATATGCTGAGATGATTGCAGATGTCGCACACCTGCGCAAGCTTACGCTGCCAATTAATTTCATTCATTGGCCCGTTCAATACTCTCCAGATAAGCGGCTTCTGATACGAATCCTCCCATTCATGGCACTGAAGTTCCCCAACCGAAGGGGAACTATGCTTCTAACCACAGCTGTAGAGGTGTAGTTGCAAGCATAAAAGTTTGCTATGCAGTTAGCGAATGTTCATTGGAACAATGGATTTGGGAAACGCCAAATCAGGAAACTATGTTTGTAACAACAGAACTTGCGACCTTAGTTAGCTAAAAATGGTTATCGGAAATGCACGCCTGAACCGGAAAAAAAAATGGCATGAGAAACCTGTCCCAAAATGTCCCAAGATACTTGCATAAGATTATCACAGATAATATCACAGATGATTTATTTATTTAACTTTTTAAAATTAAAATCAAATAAATGAAATGCTCACCAAGTGCAGTACAACAAGGAATTAAAAAACTCCAAGTGTATTTCTCCACTTTCCACATTTTTTTGAGAGGTTTTTCTAAACAAACTGGAAAATATGCCACCTATGCTCTCTTTTCTCACTGCTGCTATTGGATTACAGTAAGCTCCACCTCCCAACTGCCCCGCCCCCTCTGAATGAGGGCGAGAGTTTGGTTAGCCGCATTCTGCAGCTGGGCCCACCAGGGACAAAATTTTTGGGGTAGGAGTGACACGTGAAACAATCAATGGATGCCAGTCCCACACCTCACTTTCTCCTTTCTCACTGTTGACCTTTTAATTGTGTTGTGTTGGATGTATTCTGCATTCATTGTAAAGTGCCACTGGATAGGTGCACCCTAGCATCATTTTTATTTTCCATTTTAGTCTTGATTACTCATGATTGTTTCCAAACTTGAAGCTAATCAAGAAAAAAGATAACTGTCACAACATTACAGGTTTGGGAAAATCATGACTTAGTTATAGAATTTGTAGTGATATGTCACAAGTGTGTTATTGTATTGTTATTAGCCCCTTTTTGTGCCTAGTTATTTGTGCTCATTTTATTTTATTTTCTATTTGTTTGCCATTTGCTGAGCTTGTAGTTGCAGCATGTATGTCTGTGGCTGTCTGCATTTTTTGGTATGAACATAACATGAATATTAACATGTATTGCAACCAAATCTGGTTGCTTTTGATTCACTTTTTTACAATTTTACTTTTTTGTGTAATGTGTGACCATTAAGTCTCAATATAAGTTAATTTTTTTATGATGTTTTCATAGCTGAATTATTATTTTTTTTGTATATGTTTGAACATAAACATAGAATTAAAACATAAGCAATCACACACACACACACACACAGAAAGTTGTGTGATTAACATTGCTTTAATTCCCTGTGTGGTGACAGGCCGGTGATTGTGGAGATCCCGCACTTTGCAGCTCTGAGAGGAAAAGAGAGGGAGCTGGTGATCTTACGTAGTGAAACCGGAGAGAGCTGGAAAGAGCATCACTGCGAGTACACAGAAGAAGAGCTCAACCAGGTCCTCAACGGCATGGATGAGAGTGAGCAAAAACATCTACAATGTCTATATATGAGCATATATAATTGAGGAGCAATGTACATTCAGCTTCTGATAAGCCTGTCTGGCTATATTATCCCACATATTACATAGCTACTTATACACTTACCGGCTACTTTATTTGGTACACCTGTCTAACTGCTCGTTAACGCAAATTTCTAATCAGCCAATCACATGGCAGCAACTCACTGCATTTAGGCATGTAGACATGGTCGAGACAATCTGCTGCAGTTCAAACCGAGCATCAGTATGAGGAAGAAAGGTGGAAAAGTGACTTTGAACGTGGAATAGATGTTGGTACCAGACGGGCTGTCTGAGTATTTTAGAAACTGTTGATCTACTAGGATTTTCATGCACAACCATCTCTAGGGTTTACAGAGATTGGTCAACAAAGAGAAATTATCTAGTAAGCAACAGTTCTGTGGGTGCAAACGCCTAGTTGATTCCAGAGGTCAGAGAAGAATGGCCAGACTGGTTCCAGCTCATCGAAAGGCTACAGTAACTCAATTAACCACTTGTTAAAACCAAGAGTTGCAGAAGAGCATCTCTGCAACACATTGAACCTTGAGGAGATGGGCTACAGCAGCAAAAGACCATACCAGGTGGCACTCCTGTCAGCTAATAAACAGGAAACTGAGGCTTTAATTTGCAAAGGCTCACCAAAATTGGACAATAGAAAATTGGAAAAACGTCATAAAAGCGCAAATAATCTCAGACTGGTTTCTTGAACATGACAATGAGTTCACTGTACTAAAATGGCCTCCACAGTCACCAGACCTCAATCCAAGAGAGCACCTTTGGGATATGTTGGTGGAAAGAGAAATGTGCTTCATAGATGTGCAGCCGACAAATCTGTAGCAACTGCATGATGCTATCATGTCAATAAGGACCAAAATCTCTGAGGAATATTTCCAGTACTTTGTTGAATCTATGTCTCATAGGATTAAGGAAGTTCTAAAGGCAAAATGGGGTCCAACCCGGTACTAGTAAAGTGTACTCAATAAAGTGACCAGTGAATGTATTTGCTATAGAACTAAAAAAAAAAAAAAAAAAAAAAAAAAAAGCAGTGATCAAAGTAACAATTTACTTGCTCTTTAATAAAATATAAAACTTCCAGAAAAAAAGGATGACATGTAAACATATTTGTGCATGTATCAATATCATGATTAAGATGAGTTTAAACAATGGTTATCTGGACATAACTTACCTTGGAACAGAATCAAGTATTCTAAAGAGCAGTTCAATAAATGTAAATGATAGTCTAAGTCTAATAGCACAATTGATATTAAGGGTAGATTGCTGATTATTTGAAAATCTTACATTTTAGGGCTGGACCCACCAGAAGAGCTGGAGAAAAAGCGCATCTGCAGAATTATTACTCGAGACTTTCCACAGTATTTTGCTGTGGTGTCACGAATTAAGCAGGACAGTAATCTCATCGGTCCAGAAGGTGGGGTTCTGAGCAGCACGGTGGTTCCTGAAGTACAGGCTGTATTCCCAGAGGGAGCTCTCACGAAACGCATCCGTGTTGGCCTGCAGGTACAGTAGCATGGAGATTTAATAATAAAAAACGCCATAAAGCTTGTAGTTTGTCACTTCCACCTAAATGGTTCAATGATCTGACATGCTCTGCCCCTTCTTCTCTTTTGCTTTTCATTTGATGCTCTTGAGCTCAAACACTCTCACTGTCAGAGCGGGGGGAGGGGGGGAAGCTGTATTTTTTAAAAGGAGAGAAGCTACTATAACTCTTTCAAATAAAAATGCACATTTCAAAGCACTTTATGGGACCTTTATAATTTAGCTGATGTACTGTGACAGTTGTCCTGTCCAAAATTTGATCGTTTTTAAACATACCAAAATTAGAATATGACATTCTTTAAGTCAGGGGTCACCAATCTCGGTCCTAGAGGGCCTGTGTCCCTGCAGGGTTTAGCTCCAACTTCCCTCCACACACCTGTAAGGATGTTTCAAGTGTACCTAGAAAGACCTTGATTAGCTTGATAAGGTGTGTTTGATTAGGTTTGGAGCTAAAATCTGCTGGACACCGGCCCTCCAGGAACAAGTTTGATGACCACTGCTTTAAGTGATTAATTTTATGTGTCTGTTAAGTCTCAGACTTGCAATGTTATCTTTGCTTTTTTTTCCAGACGCAGCCTATGAGTGTTGATGTGGTGAGGAATATGCTGGGTAATAAAGCCACATTCAGCCCTATAGTTACCCTGGAACCCCGGAGAAGGAAATTTCATAAACCCATAACCATGACCATCCCTGTCCCGAAGAGTTCTGCTGACCCGGCCCTTGGGAGCTTTGGAGGTGGAGAGACTCCTACATTACGTTTGCTATGCAGCATCACAGGTGAGAACGAACACAGCACTGAGTATTATGAATTTAAATAAAAACGTTAAATAATTTTGCTGAAAATGTTAAGGAATTGCACCCTCTGACTCGGATCTTAACTCAGCCTGCAAGCTTGTTTCAGCCAAACATAGAACTTTAATTCATTTAACTCACTTGATGACAAATTGTTACACTTTTTGTTTTTGAATGCTGTTACCCAATATTCTGATTACAACTAGGAGATACCAAGCTCAGTGTTTTGCTTTGGACCAATAGTCATGGAATATAGATTAGTCATAAACTATGCAATAAAACCATACCTGCCAACACTTCTGTTTTTCCAGGGAGTCTCCCATATTTCAGACTTATCTTCCATTTTTATTATTTCTCCCGGAAAACTGTCGTAATTTCACCCCCCAATTCCTTCTCGGCTTTTTGGTAAAGTCTGTATCCGATCACATCTGCCACTCAAAACCTGGTGCATAGTATAGTTACTTACCTGGTTCAGAGCTGTGTTATTCAGACACCTCACGTGTCCCGTATTTTCAGAGCCAAATGTGGTATAATAAAAACCAATCATATTGCAGCATTTCCTTTATTGAACTGCTGTTAGATCTGTATGACAGTGAATCATTATTTGCATAATGCATACCTTATAGAAATGAATGAGAAGTGATGTAAACTAAATCCTTTCTTTTGCAAAATTGTTTGTGATTCTTTTGAACTGTTAACTGTTAAACATGTTGAAGATTAATCAATAGGTTGTTAATTCCTTAACTCTTTCCCCACCATAAACAAGATATCTTGTCAACTTCTATATCTGTCAATTTCTTCTCACCATTGAGTTTATCCTACCTGTGTTTCATTTGTTTTAATGTTAAGGGAAGCCCTAGCGCATGTTCTAAGGCAGTTAAGGGAATTTAGTTCTTCTAGATATGAAATACAAAGACAGAGTTTAAGTGTAGATCAGATCGCATATGAAAATGAAGAGTTAACTTTTCTTAGGCTTACTCCCTTTTTTTATCAGTGCCCACCACAGTGAAATCCATGTGTCAAATTTAACAAGGTTATGTTGACTAAAGGGTCAGATACACCTGCCCTTTTTATCATGTACAGAAGCGTAATCTTTTTTGACATACAAATTATTTTAGATGCCACAAGCGCAAAAGGTGGGCTCCGTGATTACTGTCTTCAAAACTGATAGTGACATCTATTTTTATAGTAGATATGTGCAGGACATTATTCAATGTAATAATTTTTGTATAGCGTGCTCTCCTAAAAACAAAACAATTTATTTTTGATATATTATAAAGAACCAAATGGTATATTTTTCCACAATTTTTCCTCACTTTTCACAGAGATTCATGCTGCAGATGTGTGCTGTGTCTCTGTTGTTAATGCTGCCATTTCATTATAATTTAACCCATTGTTTTGGTAATTTCATGGTCAAAAATAAAACCAAAAAAAAAAAATAAATAAATAAATAAATCAAATGGAACAAACACCTTAAACTGTCATCTTTGGCCTTCTTTTGCTTATGCATTTGCACTTGTAAATCTGACAGTCATATAGCCCACAGCATGTGCTCTCACATTTATTTATTTTTTTAATTTGGGAGGAATAAAATTTACATGTATGCTTTCAACAACCAGATACATTCAGACCTGTCCACTTTCTTCATAAAGTTGTTTGAGAAATCAAATTTATATACGTCTCGAATGCATTTTGGAAGGCATTTAAACCTGTCCAACAGCTCCAAATCATCCATTTAATGGAAAAAAGGTGTAACAGAAATCAATGCAATGGGTTGTAGGTAAAAAGAGTCTAGACGAGTAGCAGAAGGAAAGATTGGATTGCCCTCTAGTGGAGCTCTCACTAGGGAACATAAACTTTCAACAGGCTTGTGTTGTGTAACCAAATTCATATATATATATATATATATATATATATTTTTTTTTTCCAGGTGGAACCACTCCTGCTCAATGGGAGGACATTACTGGGACGACACCTTTAACATTCACCAATGACTGTGTGTCTTTCACCACAAATGTGTCTGCCAGGTACAATCCCTTCATCAAAAGCCGAGCATTGCTAGATAGAAAATTGTATTACAGTTAATAAAACAATATCATTATCTCACTAAATTCATCAAATCTGATATTTTAATCCTGGTTGAACCCACAATAAAATTAAACACCTATATTTTCCATATTTTCCTCAGATTCTGGCTGATAGACTGCAGGCAGGTGCAGGAATCTGTGAATTTCGCCACCCTGATGTATCGTGAGATCATCTGTGTACCTTACATGGCCAAATTTGTCATTTTTGCCAAAACCCATGACCCGATAGAGGCTCGGTTGCGCTGCTTCTGTATGACTGATGACAAAATGGATAAAACTTTGGAGCAGCAAGAGAACTTTTCAGAAGTGGCACGTAGCCGAGATGTGGAGGTGAGTTCTAGACAAGCCCTTGACAGCCAGATATCTACACTAGGATTTAACTTCAGATTCCTAAAACAGGGTTCAGATGGATCATGGCATTTCTGGAGACTTTTCAGAGACATTTGTATGTCACCTAAATTTTAGTTTCCATTTATATACATTTTCTAATCATATTTGTTATCATGTTTCACACATCTGCCTATTCTTATGGTAAGGCCATTTTAGCACCATTTTATTCCTTTGCCATTCATCAGCTAGCAGCCACTCAAGTCAATTGCTGTCACTGAGCAGTATCTGTTACCTAAGGCAAACATGCTAGGAAAATGAAAACGTCAAGAGCTACAAAAAAGAGACACACTTTTGCTGCAAAATTCAAAGACTAGGTGTTGGACTGGTCTTTAAATCAGGAGCTTATTATTATTTTTTACTCTCATAATGGCCATTAAATAAACACTATTTAGAAAAATAGTATTCAAGCTTAAACTTTTTCTATTTTATGCAAATCATGACAGTGCCTTGTATTATATTCATTAAAGGTTGTGGAAAATCATCTTTTTAGTCATCAGAAAAAAATCTAAGAATTTGACATGCTGCAAAAGGTGGCAACCTTTTAATATACTACTATTTAACTCAATCAGCTTAAGATATAAAATAGTATAGAGTTCTTAGTATTGTAAAAAGTATTCTGTCCTATTAAAAGAATCCTCCTTTATTAACTAGGCAGATTAATATATTATTCAACAGAGATGTTGAAATGATGCATGGATTTATTATGACCATCTTTTTAAACACACGTGGAACAGAGTAGACTGAAATACACAGGAAAAACAAGCATAAATAAATGTTAATTGAAGCAATGTTACAGCGCCATCAGGTGGATCCGCATTTAGCTTGCACAATAAAATGCGGATACATGTAAAATGTTTGAAAAATATCACATACTGTGGATGTGGTAAAGTTCTCATAAACATTTTAATGATTACCGACAAAGCCTCTATAAATGTTTCCAAAGAATATTAGAGGATAGCAGCATAATGCTTGTGGCTGTCGGCATGAACTTACAACAAGATGGTTGCTATTAAAGAGATTTTTAACTTTTCATTGCCAAAAATGAAAGTGGTTCCAAACCTTAATGAGTTTCTTTCAGCCGTTAAACACAAAAGAAGATATTATGAAGAAAGCTGAAAACCTGTAACCATCGACTTCTGAAAAAATTCTATCAAACAAATGATATAGATGTCAATATGAGAGACTTCTTTAAAATATTTTCTTTTGTTTTTAACAGAAGAAAGAAACACATAAAGGTTTGAAACAAGTACAGGGTGTGTAAATGAGGACAGAATTTTCATTTTGGTGAAATATGTTTTAAGCTGAAAGATCACTCACTATGACAGTGTCAATATATAGCAATAGAACCACCTGAGGAACTACATCCGAAACAGTACAAAAAAACAATCAAGCTTTTAAGGATCATTTGAAAATACACAGGCAGGAAACAGGTTAGAAATAAGCTTTGCAAGACAACTGGTCTTCAGAAATAGGGTTAAAAACTTCTTGTCTAAACTCTCTGTTCAGTTCAATTCAATTTAATTGAATAAATATTTACTTCTGTAGCAATAAAAACACATAAGGCCATAAAGGAATATCCATTACAGTGAAAACACTTTTATTGGCAAGTCAATAAAACTAATAGCAAAACTAACCTGTCTTCAAAACAGGGGTGTCAAACTGTTTCAAAACACTTAACTGTAGGTTTCAAACAAGCCTAAAGGGCTCAATTAGTTTGATCAGGTTTTTTTAATGGTTTGTTTGGTTGGAACTAAACTGTGCAGAGCTGAGGCCTTCCAGGAACTGAGTTTGACACCTGTGCTTTCAAACAAACTGGACTTTATTAACTTGTCTGATACAAATGGCCTAACTTAACACATAAATACACACATCCACACATGTTGTACTGTACTGTGAAGTCAAATATCATGACTTGAATTTTCATGCTGCTGGGTTAGACTCAGCTAATGATTTGTCTGTGCCAAGTCATTAAACCCTTTAGTACGGGATGTAACTAGGCCTAAACTCGTTATTCTCCATTATATATTTTTAGTGATTTTCTCATACTCTTAGAATTCATGATTTCTTTATTGATTATGATACAGTTATAGCCACTGTTGAACATCAACATTCATTATATTTATACAATATATACAATACTCAGTAAACATTTGGGAAATAAATTAACAATCACAGACACAGCATATATATCATACTATAAACTGCTCATTAGTTGTAATGGCATGAATAACATAATTTAAACACAACGGTTATTGTATAGGTTTACAAACATGTTTATGTAATCCAGAAAGTTTTCATTCACTCTAATTTCCTCTGACAATGCATACTGTAAACATGCTTAAAAATAAATTTGAATTTGTGTTTTGAACTATAGATTTGCTAATAATGAGTTGTACAGGGTTTCTCTACTATTTCTACAATTTTTAACAACTTGTCATTTAGGATTTACAAAAAATGCTGCCATCCTGTGGGGATTTTGAGAAAAACATCAACCTCTAATCTAATTCAGTGGTTCCCAAAGTGAGGTGGGGATGCCCTGAGGGATGGCGGGACACTGACAGGGGGCCACATGGGAATTTCCAAAAGTAAAAAAAATTTGGTAACACTTTATTTTGATGGTCCATTTGAGTTTTAGTAGTCTGTCTGCTTAATATATGTTGATACTGCTGCTTTAACAGACATTTAACTAACTGGCAAGTACATGTCAACTCACACTATGCCTAACCCTAACCCCAACCCTAACCCTAACCTAACAGTCTACTTATAATCTAAGGAAAATTAGTTGGCATGTCGATGCAATGTTACTAAATTCTACAAACGGATCAATATAAAGTGTGACCAAAAATTTATTAAACTATTAATGCCACATTTTATCCATAACCAACAGAAGATAAAAATAGCTTATAGTTACAAAAACAACAACATGCAAAAAAAAAGCCATCAGCCTTTCAATAATTTTTTTTATAAGATTGTGTGTTTGTGTTAGATTAACAACACAGCTGCAATTAGCGTCTGCTAGCGTCTGCAGCAGATTGATTTTATAATGCATGGGCTGTTTTTCAGTTTCAAGAATGCAGAGAACGGACTTCCGTTCTTGTGGAGAGCAGTCCTGCCAAGTTACCTCAAAAGAACAAAGACCGCGAGAACAGAGAACGCGTCCTATGAGAACTGAGATGTTGCGTTCTATCCTGGTTCTTCCTGATGATCATGTGACATTCACGTGATTTTTAAATTGTAAATTATTTAAACATTAAAGCATTCATATTACTATTTATTGTTTTTCCCCTTCTCACAATTTCCATACAAGTTTCAACAATTAAACAACTTTACTCTTTATGCCTTTATAAAGATTCTCGTTGTGATGTTTTATTTAGGGAAACTCCTGAGATAAGTAAGTTATATCTCTGAACTTTAATTATAAATCTATATAAAATGCTACGCTTCCCACCTCCTTTATTTAACCGCAATGACTTCTGGGACTTCTCAAGCGTGTTTTGTGCTTAAGTCCACATTGATGCATCCTCGATATTAAGAACACATCTGGGAACTTTCATGCATCCTCTGTTATTGTGGTCTTGAGTTTTGAAACTGAACTTTGGCAGTTGATGATGACGTTACATGAGAACCCAAGAGCACTGAAGAATGCATATTGAGAAACAGCCCAGGTTAAACTTTCTCACACCTTTATGGCAATCAAATACATTAAACATAAACACAGGCCACAACTGAAAATTGAGAATGATCTCTGAGTGGAGGTCTCCAAAATTAAACCAAAAATTTTATATTTATTAAATGAAATGAAATTATATATGTATAATTAATAAATGACTATATAAATTATATGGTCGTTAGACTGTTGCACTTTTTTTGTGTTGTCAATATGCATTTGTTTATATAGGTTTATTGTTGTGCGTGCAATCATTGTAAATTTATAACCACCACTGGGATATTTTGGGGTCGCAAGTCACTGGCATTGTTATTTTGGGGGTCACAGGCTAAAAATCAGGAACCCCTGATCTAATTAAAAAACACATCATCCATCAGTGCAAGAACTAGACGTGTATCGTAAATTCTTAACACATAGTTTAAACACATCAGTTAGAAAAGTCATGCTCTTACAGCCTTGAATGAGTGGACATTGGAAAAACACAACTTCATTGTATTCTGAAGATGCATAAACATATTAAAATGGCTAATAAAAAAGTGAATAGAGTAACCTGTTAATCCGTATAAAACTTTGAACTTTAAGATTTGTTTTGGCTATCATTAAGTTAAGTGTTGCTGCTTTTATGAACATTTTGTAAATAATTTGAATATGAAAGATGACATATCATTTCGGCAATTTTGGTTGAAATCACAGGTGAACTTACAATAAAATGAAATGAAAAACAATAATTTAAAAGTATGTTAAAATCGGTGCTGTTTGTTTTTATTGTCTAAACCAGGGGTGGCCAATCCTGTTCCTGGAGAGCTACCTTCCTGCAGATTTCAGTTGCAACCCATAATTAACACACCTGCCTGTAATTATCACGTGGTGTTCAGGTCCTAATTAATTGGTTCAGGTGTGTTTGATATGGGTAGCAACTAAAATATGCAGGAAGGTAGCTCTCCAGGAACAGGATTGGCCACCCCTGGTCTAAACGGCAGTAAGACATTTTAAAATAAATAAAACTATTGGTTCATGTTGGTCATCAAGCACATAATCATGCAAATAATCCAAATCAGTATTGTAAATAAAGTATAAAATATAGTCTAAACTATTGATGATTTAGAAATATTTTCACTGTAGCACAAATATGTTTATGGTCTTTAAAATGCTTGCTGTCATTATGCATTCTAGGTATTAGAAGGAAAACCCATATATGTAGACTGTTTTGGAAACCTGGTTCCTCTAACAAAAAGTGGTCAGCATCATGTCTTCAGCTTCTATGCCTTTAAAGAAAACCGACTGGCGCTTTTCATCAAAGTAAGTCAACACTTCTTAAATCTGAGGAAAACAATCAAATTCATATGAGGGTTTAACTGTATTCTTGATCAATGACTTTTAGATACGAGACAACACTCAAGAGCCTTGTGGACGCTTGTCCTTCACAAAAGAGCCGAGATCTTTTAGGACTTTGAGTCATGGTGCAGTATGCAATCTAAACATTTCCCTGCCAGCTTACTCTAAGGTAAGTTCATGCCATATTTTGTTATTGTTTGCATTTCTGGCAAAATTGCATGCTTTGTGTTCATTCCTTTGCCATGATATGATTGTTACATATCACAATATCTGCATAGTTTAATATAAAGGTCAAAGTGACTTTTGCAGGCATAGTTAAAACACCACAAAATTGAATTATTCCGACACAAATTATTTATATGGTGCTGTTGGAAGGCCTTGTCATTTGAGCCGTTTTTGTTTCCTTTATTTATAACACTTTAGTTGAAAAAATTGATAAATGCGTATGTATGTTTTCGTATGTATGGCTGTCACCCCACACTGCACTGGCTGGCCTCAGACATGTTCTGTTGCTGTTATAACTGCTTTGCCTGCTCTCTGTCCCCTTCTGTCTCTCCTGTACTTCTGTCCATCTTTCTTCCTCTTTTGCTGCTTCTTGCTCCTCTAAGGAATCAGATTCAGATCAAGAACCTGATGAGGAGGTAACTGCGATTTTGCACTTTAATTAACAAAAGGCTCTTTGCTTTCCTCCATTATTGTGTTATATAATATAATATTCTAATATTATATTATCATATTATTATTATTCTTTTATATAAAGAGAAGCTATTGTGTGGTCAGTGGGAAAATGTTTAAAAACAACCCTTGGGATTTCATGAATGACTCCCTAAATTTGTTTATTTTATTATTTGCTTGTTTTAATAGCTATTCATGATTCTGCTAAAGGGTTTACACACATTTTCTTATAACTGTACATGGTCTGTATTGTACAGCTGTAATGCTAAAAGTCAACACACAGTACAATTCGCAGTATGTGTGTAGGTAAACTAGCAGTGTTACACTTACATAAAAGTGTTGTTGCTTAATAGCATATATGCCATTGAAATGTCTTCACCTGTTTTTTTCTTCACAGACAAGCCGAACACTTGGGAAATGTAAGATATCTAGTTTAATTAACTAGAACATGTTGTCTTGCACCACATAATTTCTATTAAATATACTAACTGGAAATTGCACAGCTGTAAAGTAACTCAAAGAGCATGACATTAACTTTCTTCTGTATATAGTCCTCATGTTTGTCTGAGTGAGTTAACTATTACTTGGTTTACAACTATTAATTTCAGAGTAATTGATGCTAATATAAACTTCAAAATTATAGTAAAGTCTGTCACGTTCATATACTGTATACATCATAACATGACTATTAATTTATTAAAATGCACGAGTCATTTTTAAACAGAAATTTTCCCTGTAAATCTAACATTTAACAGTAGATGACAAAGAATATATTTAAAGGAATTCATCCACTTTTTTGTAAATAGGCTCATTTTTGCATTGCTTGCAGAGGGTGTAATGATATTAGGCAGTGCAGTTACATGATTACCTAGTTGGGAAATATGTTCAGGTGCTACATAATATCATAGGAGCCCGCTGCAGCCATGGAATACAGCAGCAGTGTTTATTGATTATTACGCTGAAATGAGAGTATAGTTTCTAGCCATATTGACCTACAAAATAGCATTAATTGTATGTCATTCTTCACAATGTAACTACAGAAGAATCAAGTTTAAAAAGTAAAATTATCAAAGCTCTTCTTTGATTTTTTTGAGTGTAATTTAATTGGGGTGTGGCTAGATCTTTCGTGGCATAAGATCTGAATGGTGTCGCGAGAACATCATTGTTGGCACAAACGCATTTCGAGTTAAGTTATTTTTTAACACCTAAAGTACCGGCTCTGAACCAGGCGTCTGTTCTCCGTACGTAGATTACTCAATTAGCTGGATTTGCTTATTGATGATTTGACATGATTCAGGATCGTTTCGTTCTTCAAAACTCATCTGAGAGTTGTTGTCATAGCAACAGGTCTGGTAGCTCAAACCTGCTCGGGAGCAGGCTTATTTCACATAAACAGAATTTGATCAGGTAATTTTAAGCGAAGGTAATACTGAAAGTAATACTGAAGTATGTACCAAATGGTCAAATTTTCTAACAGTAGTAGTTGTATGGACTTGGGAAAATATTAAATAAAAAGAATTATATATAATTTATATTATATCTATAATTTATATAGGTTTTAAAAAATATAAAGTATTACAAAATATAAGTCAAACTTATGCATTCTGCAGTCCGAAATAAAAGTACAAAAACTGTCATGATGTAGTTCTCCTCAAGGAGTTCAAAGAGAACATTTTTTAATATGGACTTTTTATAGACAAATGCATCATATTTTTAGGTACCAGCTTTAATTTAATTTGTTTATGATAACAGACATGCACAGTATTCGACAGTTTTATTTTAAGGAATTATAATTTATGCAGTCATGCACATGTTTCGACAGATAATATGATGATGATTTGATGCATCACAAAAGTTGCAGACACCTTTACCGATATCAAAATGCTTATTTGATGCTAAATTAATTTAAACAGCCAGTTATTTCTTACACTGATTAAGAAACAGGCCAAGGCTACTAAAATAAAGAAAATCCTCTAATAAAGAATATATTCTTGACACATGAAAGTGTAAAGCCTGCACCCCACAACAAAGGTGGTAAGTTATTGCATATCATATTTAGCAAACCGTTTACAACAAATTTTGTGTAATTTTGCTCACATAGATAATTGACTATTAATCAGATGATGTCATTGTGCTGCTGTGTCATCAGCCAAAGGTTGCATTGCTGATCATGATTTTGAGGATCGATAGATCTGTCCTTCACAACACACACTGTTATCTCAGATCAGTTGATTCAGACATCTTAATCAGATTCGCGAATTTGTTTTAAGAACCAAATTAGCCAGAGATCAGTTATCAAGAATAAAAGATCCTAGATCTGTCAAATAGATAAATTAACCGAAGTACAAAGAACAAACCCCAGGACAAATGGTTCTTAAGTAGCAGCAAAATCTTTCTGGGATAAAAGTAAGATCTGCTTGCATCTGTGGCTGGCGGTGGGATTACTTTTACTAACGAGACAAAAAGAAAGTGCCAAATTTGAAATAGCAACAGAACATAATGCTAAACACATATAATTTCTAATTGTTAATAAATATTTAAATATTTATTTTAATTTATAATTTATTATATTGCAAATGTCAGTTTTTGAGAACTTTTTGCAATGTTCACATTTTTAAATAGAAGTTTTATTTCATATAGTACATAATTATTCTAAAATGTACCTATATTTTGTGTATCTTGTTTTTTTCCAGTTAAATAAAAGCCTATTTCTCAAAATATATTTTTATCATCAAGTATATCAAATTTAAAAAATCTCATCCTGTTCTTATAGACCCAGTCTCGTGTCTCATCTTGTCTTGTGGGACATGCGTCTTATCACACCCCAACATGCTAATGGTTTAAATGGATTCAATGATTTATTCTAAGCAAAGCTAAAAGTGCTCCTGCCAGAATGTATTCTAAAAGAGTAAAACGTACCTGTTTAACTGTAGGAGTTTTGTAAAATGAATATATTTACAAAAAAGTGGACGTTTCCTTTAACTCCATAGTAGTCAAAAGAGCACTTGTTTTGTAATGACTCTTATCTCCAGGCTTTCATCCTCATTGGGCCAGTGGTTCTGAGTCCTAGTCCTGGTGATCCATTGCTCTGGCAACTTTATCTTTTTAATCTTTAAAACTCCCTGTTAACTAAGAAAAATACATGACATGTGCAGAAGGTTGCAGGACCTGGACTGAAAACCACTGCTTTAGGTGATACAGCAAGTTTTATAATTATTCTATAGGTTCACAAATCATAATAGAGAAATGATTGTGTGCATAATTATGTACATACAAAGAATTTCATTCATACTGTGGTGATGTTTGTTTTCCCCTGTTTTAGATCCATATTCCCTTCATTAAACACAATAACAGTCTGCAAAGCAAATTGTCATTCTCATTTACAGTAAATGTGTAGGAGTCACCCTCTTTAGTACCTATTTTAATGCTTCTGCATAAAGTGTTTTTTTATGTATGCCAGTCTAATCAGATGATTTTTTTTTTCACTTTTTAAATGAATTTACAAATAATTAAAGTTTGAATATAGTAATAGTATAGTAATAGTATAGAATAGAGTATAGAATATAGTAAGCTTATAAGAATATAGTAATTTTTTTCTTAGGTATATGGCTTTATCATTTGGTCATTACTATTGTATAGCTTTCTTAATATTGCTTTAATAAATATTTGAATCACCACACTATGTAATGTGGAGTGCATACATTAGACTAATGTTCATATTTGCGTAGTAACTGGAATATAAATCTAACTTGCAACACATTAACATTTTTATTTACAGAGCAAATTAACGCAAATGGTGAATGTTTGGAATGCTGTCTTGTGTATGTGAATTATTCCTGAGTAATGCTCTTAGTATGACACTTTCCATCATTTCCACTACTAACACTAAAATAATTCATTTCAGTATTTTACTTTTAGTTGAAGTTTGATTAAATATTTTGTTTAGGTTGATTTTAGGGATAATGGATTAATGGATTTCATTCAAATTTAAAAAAACACCTTTGCAGTTCATTTTCAGTTGCATATCACTGGCTTTCTTTAAAAAAGGACATTAAATATTTTTGATGAGTTCGGGTTTTATTAAGTTCATTCTTAAATTCTCTCTTTGTCTCTCTCTTTCTTCTGTAGACATGAGTTTTACATCTTGAGCAGTGTCTATTTTGTGTTTCTGTTTTTCAGTGTATGTCTCTGTGTTTTGGTTGGCTTATTTTTGTCTCCCTTTTATTAATCATGTAGTAGTTTTTATTTGTGTTTGTCTGTGAGTGTGCTGTTTAACAAAATTTAAAATAAGCAAGTTTTTATTTGCTTATTTTTCTGTTGTCTTTAAAATTTGTTTAGCATTTGCTTTGCAGTTGTTATTCTCCCACAAGTCGATTAGACATCCTCCCACAATCCACTTACCCCTTTTTTGTCATTCGGATGCCTTCTGAGCTTTAAAAATCTGAATTTATCCCTTATCTCCTTTTCCAATCTCTGTCTCTTTAATTTAAATTTTGGTTAATTTGCTCCTTAAATGACATCCAAATGGAAGATGACGACGACACTGAAACAACTGAAACATCAATCCTGAAAACGCACTTGATCCGAGACTCTCCTGCCCTTGCAAGTCCAGATTTACTCTCTGATGTGTCAGAGATGAAGCAAGACCTTATCAAAATGACTGCTATTTTGACCACTGATTCCTCAGAGAAAGCGGGGCCAATGCAAGGGGATTATTTAGGAAAGGGGGTGGAGGAGGTGTCAGCAGAGCCTTTTGAGATAATGGAAAAAGTCAAAGAAGATTTGGAAAAAGTTAGTGAAATTTTAAGAAGTGGAACATGTGAGAAGGAAGAGTCTGCAAAAACAGAGCATCGTCGATACAGAAAGGATGAGGAGTGGGTTCTTTTAACAGAAAGTGAAATCGAAGAAGCCAAAATGATGGCTGCCTTTGAATCTCAAGAAGCACTTCTAAAGGAAGTTAGAGTCAACAGAGGATCACAGAGGCCAAAGGGTGCTAGAGAGAGATCTGGCATTCCCATTGGTGAAGTTAAAGAATACTTATTGGATGCCCCTGCATCTCAAGAGACATCTTCACAGCAAAGGTTCACTGAGGTTGTTCTGCGCAGAGGTGGTCGAAAAATTGTTCCTACGATGGCAAAAGACACTAAAGCCCATACAACGGAAATAAAAAAGCCTGTCAGAAGGAAAGGGCCTCAAGGACACACAGATGAAACCCAGTCCATTAGCACAAAAGAAAATATCGCTAGTAAGAGTGCTGGAAAGGCATCAGAAGAGGATGCCTTCTTACCTGTCCCTGGAGATCAAAAAAAGTCCCCTGTATCCCCAGTGGTCGAGGAGACACCAATTGGTCCTATCAAAGAGAAAGTCAAAGCTCTTCAGAAGAAAGTAGAGGAAGAACAAAAAGGTCATAAAAAACAGACAAGCCAAAAACCTCCATTTAAATCCACTGAAGCCAAAACATCTGTTCTCAAAGACCAAAAAACAACAGGTCTAAAGAAAACTTCTTTACCCCAGAAACAGTCATCTTCTAAGTCACCAAAAACTGAGCCTGAAAGGCTAGAAGAAACCATGTCTGTAAGAGAACTAATGAGAGCATTTCAAACTGGCCAAGACCCCTCAAAAAGAAAGTCTGGCCTCTTTGAACACAAAGGACCTTCCAAAACAGAACACACAACAATGATTAAATCAGAAGCTAAGACTACAAATTCCCAATGTCTTCCCCACTCATCCTCACGTGAAGTATCTCTTGATGTTTCAAGGCCTGTCGAACACCATGAAGAAAAAGAAGTTTTTGATAAAGATGCAAAAGAAAATCAAAAGAGTCATGTATGTAAACAAGAAAGGAGTGGGGAGGGTTTGGTTTTTGGAGTAGAATCAGCGGGTCAACAATCAAGCATGACAACAGCTATTGCTCAAAATGTGTCCAAACATGCCAGTGATCTTTTACCTGATAATGGTACAGAGAATGGTACATTTAATGACAGCTCTGACAGCATTAAACTTGAAGCGTTGGTCGACTCACCAAGTGCCAGTCTTGCTGAAGTGGAGGCTCCATTGAGCTCTGAAGAAAGTTGTAAACATGAAGGCATGGCTGAAACTCCAGAAACAAGCCCTGAGAGCCTCTCGTTATCACCTCAGCAAAAAGCATCTCAGTCTATACTTGCAAAAGCCTCAAATTCCACAGCAGACACACATAAAGCCAAAACAAGTAAAGTATCTGTTTCATTTTCTGCTGAGATGAAGACAAAAATTGAACAGGCATCTGAGGCTACAGTTCATCATCCAGCACTGAGCAAAGCAGTGGATGAACCAACAAAAAGTGAGTCTATGTGTATTCCTCATAGGAAAAAAGGGGTGAACTTTGGGGGTGAACAAACATTTGTTGATAAGGACATTGTTTCTATTTCAACCAAGTCATCCAAATCTCGAAAATTGACCAAAAGACCCTCTGAAACACTAGAGAGTTTTTTGAGTGATGATGAATCATGTGATGGTCAACCAACACCAACCTTTGCTGACAGTCTGACCTTAAGGGCAGCTACACAGGATCATGGTGGTTTAGTGCTGCCTCTTAGACACCAAGATTCAGAGACCCTTAGTCCAGTAGCTGATGACTCTTTTAATATTAGCCACAAGGACTCTTTAGAGGGTAGTCCCTTGATGGAGGACAACTCTTCCCATAAAACCCCAGACTCTATTGAACCTAGTCCAACAAAAGAATCCCCATGCTGTGACTCTTTAGAAAACAGTCCTATAGAGATGAAAAGCAACCTGGCCTTTCCACCTACTGTAGAACAACCCAGTGTGACCACAGGGCCCCTGACATCCTCCAAAGCCCCTCAAATCCCCCCAGACAGTTTGCGTAATAGAATGCTCAAAGAACAGGAGGCTAATGTCGACGATGACAGTTGTGAGCAGGCATCCCTGATGACAAGTTCTGGTAAGAGTCCTCTCTCACCTGACACACCAAGTTCTGAAGAGGTAAGTTATGAGGTCAATCCCCAACCCCCCGACCCCATGGTCCTGATTGTTCCCTTTAAGGCATCAGTAATTCCAGAGGAGACAGTAGAAGATGATGAGTTGAAGTGTGACCTGACACAGAGAAAATTTACTCCAGAGGAAGAAATGTTTAAAATGGCTGCCAAAATAAAAACATTTGATGAAATGGAACAAGATGCAAAAGACAAAAGGGACAGTAGAAAAGATAGTGAAGCCTCTCAGACCTTGGTAGTGTCTGATATAGGGCAGGAGATCATCACATTGTTTGGTCTTGTGTCCAAACATGAAACATCCTCTGTGGATGATGTTGGGTTTATTGAATCCAAACAAGCCTCAGAGATAGCACGGTCTGTTGAACCGATCATTAAAGTACAACCTCCCTCTCCTTTTCCAGCAGGTATACATAAGAGCCCCCAAACAGCTGAGGACATTCAACAAACCATGGCCCACAGTGCAGCATCTTCAGATGAATCAGCAATGAGGAGACCTCAGTCTGTCACAGAAAAGCATACCATAAAACCACATCCTCAAGAATCTCATAGTGAGAAATTTAACCAGGAATGTGTTAAGTCAGAGTTAGCAGAGCTTAACAAAACTGCCTCAAGCAGGAGTAATTTGGCTGCAAATATAACTGATGAACAAAAAGAGCAAAGCTTAGCAAAACAAAAAATAAATGAAAGTGAAGAAATTTATAGTCATGAAATGCAAAATCAGGCAGCTAACTTTCAGAATGTTGATAAATTGGCAAGTCAGGAAGAGCGTAATGTAACAGATGAAATTAAAGGTGATTATATGAGACATGCAGGGACATCATATGATGATAGTTGTAGCAGCAGCCTAAATATTGATTCTATGCCAGTTATTATTGGACAAAACAAAGAAACTTTTAAACCAGAAATATGTATTTATGATGACACAGAGGAAGATGATGGTGAGGAAGAACCTCCTAAGACTGAATCTAGAGGAGTAACAGCAAAAGCAGAAACAGATTCCTGGAATTCAATGCGTGAAGATGATGAAGCATTTGCAGCAAGAGTCAAAGAGGAAGAGCAAAAGATCTTGGGTCTTGTCGTAGATCGGCATTCCCAAGGGGCGACCCCAGACACAACACCAGCAAGGACACCTACTGAGGATGGTACACCAACAAGTGAACAAAACCCTTTCCTTTTTCAAGAGGGAAAACTTTTTGAGATGACAAGAAGTGGTGCAATAGACATGACAAAGAGGAGTTACGAGGAGGAAGGGTTTGCATTTTATCAAATAGAGCACCCCATTATGGAAGGTGTAGCTGAAGAAGGAGGAAATGAATCGGGTGGAGCATCTGGTGATGCTGAGAAGGAGGTTGGTTGTAACCTCTCTTTGCAAATAAAAGCAGAGGAGGAGGAAGACCAACCTAAAGTGGCTGCAGATTTATCTGTACGTTCCGCTACAGCGAAACAGTCAGATCTCTCAAAGCCTAAAACCCCCATCAAAACAGACTCAGAAAAAGGTCAAGGAGTGTCTGAAAAAGTAGAGATTAAATCAGACAAAGTTATTAGTGAGGGTCATTTAATATCTGATTCTGGTTCCTCTGACACTGTCATAGCCAGTATTCAGACAGCAGTGTCAACAGTTACTAGATCAGTTCATTCGCAGCAGGAACAAGAGTCCTCAGATTCTTCCCCAGAGGATCAGCACTCAGTTATAGAGCAACCCAAAACCCCTGAAAAGAAAGAATCTCATGGTAAACTTGGCTCTAAAATTCACACTGCAGCCTCTCCATCCACTACATCTAAAAAAAATATGTCATCCTCCAAAGAGGAGGAGAAACCAAAGTCCCGAATCCCTGTTAAGGCAAACTCCCTCCGGTCTGAACTATTAGAACCTGCCAAGGATAAAAAGTCAAAGTTGCCCATAAAACCTCAGTCGAGGAGAAAATCTGACACAGACACAGGCCCATTAATACCCACTATAACAAAGTCTTCCAAAGCAAAGAGCTTCTGTGAAAGTGATTCCAGCAAGAAACCAGCCAAAAAGGACCAGAATCGTCCAACAAGTACTGACCTATCCAGTACAACTAAGACACTTCCTTCAAGACTACCTGTCAGGGGAAAGCCCGGTCAGCCAATTCAAACATCCACACCAGCAAAACAAAAAAAGGGCCGCCCCACTCATACAAATAAAGAGCCTGTTGTATTTTTTGAAGAGATTAGTCAAGAGGCAGCTAAGGTAGTAGAGAGTTTGGCTCAGGCAGAGAAAGACAAACAGGAGGCTGCTGTCTTATCAGATGATGAAAGCAGCACCATCGATGTCTCTGTAATAGAGAATGAACCTTTCCTTGACATGAAAATGCCTTTCCCTGAAGATCCCTTGGTCATTAGGCCCAGATGGGACAACCCTGTTGAGACGCAGATGGAACGAATCCCTGCTGATAAAGTCCGAAGTCAAGGTATCCCCCATCTCTTGGGGCCCATTATCTCTTTCTCATCTGCCTCAGCACCTCAGTGAAGTGCTGCTTCTCTGTCTTGTAACTAATGCTTCAACTCTTCGTGGTGCTTCTTTAAAGTTTGGGCTATGTATGTCATTGTCTCTTTCCCTTTATCTGACTTAAATTCCATGATTAACATAAAGTCAAATGCTTTGGGGGGTATTTATCTTGTGTTGTTGGCCAGTATATTCACTGGCTTAATGTAAGTTTATGTTTAAATTGGTTACATTTAAAACATGTTCAGAAATCCCAGGATAATTATTTATATTATTGATCATTTATCTTGTCTTTCCTCATTGTATGAAATACAAAGTATAAACCAAGTTAATTTTTAACATGAGAAAGCCAGTGAACATATCCTAAATGTTAATTTGTAAAATAACGTTAGTATTAGATGTGTGTGCTTATGTATTTTTTGCTGCTTTCCTGGATATTGCAGTAGATCCACAGGATGAGGCAGACAGAAAAGAAAGTCGTCTGGCTGTGATAGCAAACCACCTTGGTTTCAGCTGGTCAGGTTGGTAGATTACCTGGAAACTGTAATAATGTTTTAGAATATTCTCTGTACCAGTGGTTTCCTGTTGCTGAGCTAACAGACTATTATATAGTGTATTGTATGAGTGCTTCATAATCTGTGCTCATTTCAATGTTTCACTGTGAATATGCATGTGTAAATTGATGTGAAATTCTTCAATCAAGGGGCCAAGAATTGGTACAGTAGAATGTGGCAATCATATAAACAGGTTATGTTAATATGATTTTGTGTATATATTATCCATATACTGATTTGTTTACACAAGATGATGCGAGTGTATAAATGTACAAGACAGAGTTATACATTAAGAACACAAAGATGTATCTTGTTTTTAAAATGTCCTGGAACCACTGCTTGGTATATTGGTATTTTTATGTCAACACTTTTATACAGAAATTAACATAATACAGTGTCAGAGAGACCCAGCGATATAGGTGTGGTTTATTTATAAACTCATTTCAAGAGGATCACATGCTTATGACTGATACCGGCTGGTTCCACAAAACAGTTACACATATCACGCCAATCAGACAAATCCTAATGCCGAGTTCAGACTGCATGATTTTAGCCCTGATTTTGACGGGCCGTCAGGTTTTGAGAAATTGCTGACAAATACCTGAAATCACAGGCAAATTGGTGCTCATTCATGTGAGTGACAATCACACAGTATGAACTATCAAGGACACGATATGAGAGAATTGCAGATGAGTCGCTGGCATGTTAAATATCTGGAGCTGTCTGTGATTCAAATCATGTCGTGTGACATGTTCTGAATAAAAATAACATCACCTACAGCCAACGAGAGCGCAGCATTCACTAGTATGGGTACCTGCAGGCCAGCGGGAGGCTGGGGCAGAAGTTGAAAGCGCTCATTTTCAGTTTATATGGACCCAAGAAATGGAGGAAAAACTAGTGTAAATTTGGCCATAGCACTGTGTCTGTTTGACTTGTCATCTGAGCAATATCACAATCAAGTTGAAAAGTAAAAAACGTGGAGGAAAGATTGTTAATTCTCTTCAAAAGCCAGGTGAGCAACACAAGTTTCTAAAGCTAAAGCCTTCTTTATCCATTATGTAGTAACAAAAGATATATTACGTAACCTTGCATTATTTTTATGTCACTTCTCACGTTTGTTTGGTTGTTTGTTTGTCTGCTAGTCCTGGCCGCTCCTGGCTCCATAATAGAGCAAATTTCAATTGAGCCCACTGTTAGAATGGCCAACTTTACAGCAGAAAAAAAGGTGTTTACAGCCTGGTACAAAAAAAAAGATTTTGGTTAAAACAGCTAATATTACACTTCATGACAAATTTGAGGGGGGTGAATTTTTTTATAACTAATCCGTTTCCTTTATATTAAGTTATATTAAGTTTGCATAATTAAGGGCGTGGCCACTTGAGTGACAGCTAGGTCTCGCTGGTCGCCGTCACGTCACCTCAGCTGACTCCGACTGGCCACTGATTTTGGCATATTCATCGTATTTCTGTGTTGTTTTATGTGGCTTTACACAGTCAACTGCCTTTGGACTTGTTTCCTGCAAGTATCAGATAGCATGGCATGCTGTGTGCACTTAATTGTGCTCACAAACCATTCATGTGGCCTCCGTTTCCCATGTGAGTATAAGTTATATACTTATATACCATCTCTATACATGTATTTGTTTTATTTAAGATCATTTATCGTTTCTATTTATATTTAGAGCTGTAATGGACTCAAGAATCTGACAGATTGAATAGCTGTAGACTCTAGAACAGTCATCTGAAGCGTTGTCATACAGTGTTATGCTGAATTTCATCAATAGTCCTGCATTTACTAACACATGACTATATCTGAAGTGTTTGGAAGTAATTTGCGTTTTCCTCCTATTGAAAAACGTCATAAGAACAATACTTAGTGGCTCAATGTATTACTACAGTGTTTTTAAAAGTCTAAACACTTTACTGATATAGTGTACAGCCAAGCACATGTGGTCAGAACACAAACGAGTCGCAGGTGATAAAGTATTAAGCATTCTCCCAAAATAAAGTGTGTCTAGGCCACGTCCAAGCAAAATGCCACCAGGTGTCTGTAGCTCCGCTCACTCTCCGCCTCTTTGCCCTTATTTGGTATACCGCCGTGGGTCCAATGATGTGCAAACAAAATGGTGACGATTGGCTGTGCCTACTTGTGGCTTCTTTTGCGCTCTTCAGAAACCTATGGGTGACGTCATGGATGCTACGTCCATATATTTTACAGTCTTTGGTTGTGAGATTTGTGAAAGTTGTCTGTGATTCTTCCTATTGTAAAGTTATGCAGTTTGAACTCTCCTGTCACTGATCCATCCTACAGTCTAAACACAGCACCGACAGAATGCTAACCCAAATGGTCATGCAGTGTGAATACATCTGTGACATGACTACTTTGAAAATCATGCAGTCTTAATTCGGCATAACTCACTATAAATAAAGTTTTCCACTTCAGTCATCTTTGTCTTAAAGAATCCCCCCTTTCACCCCTACTCCTCCCTCTTTTACAGCAAGGGCAGCACAGCGACCTAGTGGTTAGCATTGTTACCTCACACCAATAATGCCACGAGTTTAAGTTATTTCCAGCCAGTTGGTGTTTCTGTGTGGAGTCTACATGTTCTCCCCATGCTTGCGTGGGTTTTCCCCGGGTTTCCCCGGTTTCCTCCCACCGTCCAAAGACATAACTATAAGTAAATTGACTAATCCAATGTGGCATCATAGACAAACTCTTAGTCAGCTGTATCTCAGCAATTCCTAGCTCAATAACAAGCAGGGGAGTTCTCGAGACCTACCTGAGCTCAAACTCCCTTCTCATCTTTCAAACAGGAGGGAGCTCCGAGCTTAAGGATATTTTGAGCTCAGGGTTCTCTCCCAGCACAGCTTGCCAAACACACTTTATCATCAATTATCAGCTAAGTGTAAACTCTTGAAATAAAGATGTTGTGGTTAAAAATTGTAAAATGATTTAATGTCATTGGTTTGCTTTTTGGGCAAACCATATAAATTATATCATATGTATTTTTGTTATGTTTCTGTATGCTGCATTTTATCCATAAGAGCATTTTATTTCATATGGGTACATTGCTAATGGGAATTAAATATTTTTTTCTTGACTTTTTCCCATCAGAATTGGCTCGAGAACTTGAATTTAGTGATGTACAGATCAATCAGATAAGAAATGAGAATCCAAATTCCTTACAAGACCAAAGCCATGCCCTCATAAGACTATGGAAAGAAAGGGAGGGAAAAAATGCTTCAGGTGAGACAAAGTCCATTTTTCCTTTATCTTTTTTTCCTGACATGTTCTTTTTACCAGATCACTCAATGCTACATCAACATAACACCTAAGTTCAGTGTACAGTAAATAAGTATTACAGTTTTTATTTGGGTTTGCCATTGTTGAATAAATGTATAACTTAGCAGCTATATGGCTCAACATTGACAGTTCTAAACAAAGCATTAGTAGACCTATGAATCACTCATTTTGCCTTAAGTAGATATTAAGATATTAATCAATCTGCTCTGTACAAATCTCATTGTGTTGCTTTCTAGTAGACAAGCATGTTCATACCATATCTCTATTTTCTTGAACAGAGAACAGTTTAATGAAGACACTCACAAAAATAAATCGTATGGACATTGTGCATCTCATCGAAACAAAAATAATCCAGTCCAGTCAAGACCACTCATCACACACCTATGCAGAAATTGAGCAAACCATATCATTGGATCATAGTGAAGGTATGGATGATAATAACTTACAACTTATTACTTTGGTATTGCTTTGGATTAAAAAAAAATGTTTGTAACTGTTTAGTTTAATCTTCGCTTTTAGAAATTATGTTTTAATCCAAGGAAATTTTTAACTGCTTGTCAACCATCACCTATTAAAATTTTAGTCAAAAATCCACTTAATATATGCCATCATCTAATTTGAATGGTTGCCCAACAGACATTGTATGAATAATAAGTAAAGATTTCAGCTTATTGCACTCACCTAGCCATCTACTTGTATTTTAATGTTAATTTACTATTAGTTGCAAAGTAACATCATCTACTTTATCACATTATTCACTATATAGAAAATGATGGTTCACTGCACTTCATTGAAAAATATAACTTGGGCGGTACATTTAGAAACTGTTGTTTTTGCAGGTTTTTCAGCCTTACAGGAGGACATGGACAGCCCCAGATCAGGTCGACGAGCAGATGTTAGTCAAAGAAGATCAGAACTTGTGCCTGTGGTGGCATCTATAGAGGATCTCTCCCTTAATGCATCTTCCCTGGGTGATTCTCAGAAAGAGCTGCCCGACAAAGTGACGAGTTCAGTGTAAGTCAACTCCCAATAACTTGTACAAAAATATTTATATTATTATATTATTATACAGTGGGTCATTTAAATTTTATTCAAAATTTTTTAGGGTGGTTGGAGACTCTACACACAGTTTTGAAATGGTTGGACTGAGGCAACAATTTCCAGGCACTATCAAGCAAGTAAGTCCCTTCTTCACCCTGTACAAAACTGTTCCCTGGAGACTGCAGTCTCATGTTTATGATCCAGTTTACAAAGGTGGTACCCTTCCTGATGAATCATCAAAAAATATCCATGAAATATTAACTGTGGGTGATCCTCTCCAAGAGTTAGGAGCAGCTGGGGGTCAATTTACCCCAGCTTCCACTCAACAGGATGATGAACAGAATGTTCCAATGTTTCATTTAATGGAAAGTTACAAACTGAAGCAGAGACAAATAACATTGTCAGATTTCGGACACACCCTGTTGGAATCTGAGAATGCTGAGCCAGATTTCAATGAGTTGTCTGTGGAACTCAAGCAAGATTCTGAAGATTATAGTGCCTCACATGTCTCCTGTACAACAAAGCCTAATGCATCTCCATCAAGTGAAGACATAGAAACTGCATTTACACCAAATGAAAATGAGGCTCCAAAGAAACCAGGTCAGAATGAGGAGTATATAAAGCGCCATATTGATGAAGTTTCTGACAGATTTTATAGGACACTTTTTGGTGAAAGTTATGTTTCACCTCAGCTGCATGAAAAGAGTGCAACTGTAGAGACTTTTAAATCCCTTGAAAGTGATATTTCATCTGCAATTGAAATCAACTGTAACGTCAGCTCTACTTGTGTAAATGAGGCTTCAGATGCTTCCAAAGATATTTATTTCAATCAAATGGCAGTCACTGAATTGTCTTCTGAAGGTGTACAAAACTTAGATCAACAACCTATTATATCTGTGGCACTTGAGAGCGGCATTGCAAAGATTACTCCCTCTGTGCTCAATCAAATGTCACTTGATTCAGTTACTGAGCAGTCACATATGTTGTCATGTCCAATATCCGTTTCTGGTTCTTCAGAAGCAGGAATCAAAGTAACTGTACCAACTAATTTAACCACAGATGTTGAGTGTGCAAAAACAAAATATAACACCTCTATATCATCGGAAGTTGCAGATTATAGACCTCTTACACCTTTAACATGCCAAGGCGAGCCAAAATTATTGTCACCAGATATAGAGTATGAGTATGTTTATGACCCTGGAATGACATTATGTGAATATAGATCATCATCACCTGAATCAGTAGTATCCTTGCCTTTAGACTCTCCAATACCATTTGATTACAGAGCTTCTTCACCTGACTCGTCCATTTTAATGGCTGAATTAAGAGTATCTTCACCTGAATCTGTAACTTCACTGAATGGCAGCCCTCTTTTCTTTGTTGACTCCCCATTGCCAGATTTTAGACCAGGTACGCCTTTGCCCACTGCTTTTGAAAATGACATGCCTGAATTTACAATACATGTTGAAGCAGTGGCCCCTCTTGCAGAAGATACACTTGGAATGTCTTATTTGCTGGTTTCTGATGAAACAGAAAGAACTATTTCACCTGGCTCTGTGATTTTATGTCGGTCATTAACACCAGAATCAAATAGATCCTGGTCTCCTGTGTCCATCAGTTCTGACATTTTAGAGAGGGAGCCATCCACCGAGAGCATCTTTGAAAATTATACTCCATCTACTTCTGAATTCTTGACTGAATTAAGGCAATCATCTCCTGAGTCAATTCAATCACTGAATGAATATAGTGTACTTTCTTGCGATTCCCCAATACCTTGTTTTGTAACAGAAGTACAAACTGACTTTTCAGCACTCATGTCAGGAAACAGATCACCATCATTTCACTCTGATGTTTCAGATGTAGAATTTGATCTTAGACCATTAGAGGGTCTAGTTCAAAGTCGACCATCTTCTCCTGAATCAACTGCATCTCTCAATAACCAGAGATGCCTGTCCTCTGAGTCTCCTCTTCCCAGCTTTACTGCTACACTGCTAGAATGTTCATTGCTTACTAAAATATATAGTTTTGATTCAGTTGAGTCAGTAATCTCAGACAATGATAACGATCCAGTATCAGAAGTACTACCTGAAAGTCGACCATCATCTCCTGAATCATTTGCATCAGTAAATGAGCACAGAACTCTCTCTTGTGATTCCCCAATACCTTGTTTTGTAACAGAAGTGCACAATGATTTTTCAGCACTCAAGTCAGGATACAGATCACCATCATATCAGTCAGATGTTTCAGATGTAGACTTTGACCTGGTATCATTAGAGTGTCAAGTTGGAAGTCGACCATCTTCTCCTGAATCAACTGTGTCAGTCAATAACCAGAGATGCCTGTCTCCTGATTCTCCTCTTCCCAGCTTTACTCAAACATTGAGGGAGTGTTCCATGTCTACTGAGGTGTATTGGTCTGATTCAGAAGAGTCAAGGATGTCAGATAATGAAAGCACACCGATTTCAGAAGTGCTCTGTGAAACTCGACTATCATCTCCAGAATCATTTACGTCAATAGATGAACACAGACCCCTTTCCTGCGATTCCCCAATACCTTGTTTTGTAACAGAAGTGCAAAATGGCTACACAGCATTTGTAAAAGGATACAAATCACCATCAAATCAGTCTGAAGTTTCAGATGTAGACTCTGATTTGATATCATTAGAGTGTCTAGCTGGAAGTCGTACGCCATCTCCTGACTCAACTCTATCTGACAAAATTCAGAGATGTCTTTCCCCTGATTCTCCTCTTCCCAGCTTTACTCAAACATTGTGGGAGTGTTCCATGTATGCTGAGGTGTATTGGTCTGACTCAGAAAAGTCAGGGATCTCAGACAATGAAAGCACACCAGTTTCAGAAGAACTGTGTGACATTCGACTATCATCTCCTGAATCAATAAATGAGCACAGATTCCTTTCACCTGATTCACCTATACCTGTGTTTGATACCCCATTTCTCTTCAGTGTCATGCCATTTGGAATCCATAGAGACTCCTCTCCTGAAATAGAAACCTCTGATATTGAATATTCACAGTGTGATCCCTTCATCTGTGAACCCAGATCAGAATCCCCAGAATCCTTAATTGTAGAGCCTCATTATGTTCCTTTGTCCCCAGTTATAGTAGAAAGTGTTACTTTTAAAGATGAGGGAACAAACTCACAGAAAATATTACATATTTTTCCTGCTGAAACACTACACTGTGAGGAAGAAAATCTGAGTAAATTGCCAAAGCCTATGTTTAATAATCTTATTGCTAAGATATTTGATCCACAATACAAGGGCAAGACATTTTGCTCCGGGCTCACTGTTTTGAAGTATAGTGATGATGAGACCACAACTGCTGCAGAAAAAGCTGAGGTTTTACATGATCCACTAAAAAGATACCCATCTCCTTCACATTATAGAACTCCAACAGTGTCTAACTATGAGTTTTATCAATTTAGACCAATATCTCCAGAATCGCCTGAGTTGAATGACATCCCTGAAGAATTTGAGTGTCGACCCATGTCTCCAGAATCAGTAACATCAGTTAATGAATTCAGGCCACTATCTCCTGACTCACCTGTAACCGAATTCAGCGGACCTTTTTGTGATAGTATCTTCCCAGTAGTGGGTGATGTATCTGGTTCACCTCATTCGCTGTGCTCAAATAATACAGAATATGAATCATATTTTGAAGACCTTTTTACTGAAGAAAATATTTTTAGAGGATCCACACCATCATCAGAAACCTCAGTTAATGAGTTTAGGGTGCTTTCTCCAGACTCTCCAGTCCCACAATATTTCACAGAAAAAACTGAATTTATTCCTGTAAATTATTTGTATGTTAGGTCCTCGTCCAATGATTCTATATTGTCAGAGCAGGAACATGAACTAGATCTTTTAACTTCAGTGTCCACTCCAGAATCAACTGATGAACCTCTTTCTCCTGATTTACCAATATCTATATCAGATTCTCCAATACCTCAATATTGTACATCTCACTTTGAACTCATAACAGCAGCACGCTGCCAGTCCTTATCCCCTGAGTCAGTACTATCAGACAAAGAGATAGAAACTGATTTATTTGATGACATGATGATCGATCTTAGAAGGTCCTCTCTGGAGTCAATCATATCAGTTACTGAAAACAGACCCCTTTCTCCTGATTCCCCTGTACCGGAGTTCACACTAACTACACACACATTGGTCATGCCGTTTATAGGCTCACAACCAACCTCCCCAGAACCAGACACTTTGGATCTTGAAAGCCATTTTGACCAGTCTGACCTCAATCCAGAGCAAAGATCTGACTCTCCTCAGTCTATAATATCAGATTCTGAGATTAGACCATTGCCCCCTGACTCGCCTGTACCTGAATTATTGGCATTATTCTCTCATAGTTCTTTGCCAGCAACAGGACATAGATCGTGTTCACCTCAGTCACTGTGCTCAGACAATACAGAAGATGAAACTTTCCTTGAAGAATTGATGACATTCGAATATCGACCAGACTCACCTGATTCAGTTTTATCAGATACTGACACAAGACCACTTTCCCCAGACTCCTTGCCTGAATGGAAACCCATGTCACCTGAATCTGCAATGCTTTTAAAAGACATTAGAGGGTTTTCTCCACAGTCAAATGGATCATTGAATGAATATAGGCCTCTATCTCCAGACTCACCTACACCACAATATTTCCCAGCTCTTTTCGAATCAGTTTCTTTAAAAGAATATTGGTCCTCCTCCCTTGAATCTGTATTTTCAGAGGAGGAATGTGAATTAAATGTATTCATCCTAGACTCTACATCAGAATCGGCAGAATCTATAAATGAAGAAAATTATGACTTTAAATCTTTATCACCTGATTCTCCAATACCTCAGATACATAGCTTTTCATTTGAACCAAGTGATGTTACAGGTTACATATCAGTATCCCCTGAATCACTATTGTCAGAAATAGAAATGGAGACAACTGCATTTGATGACTTGATGATTAACATTAGAAGTTCCTCATCTGAGTCAATCACATCAATCAATGAAAACAGACCTCTCTCCCCTGATTCACCTGTTCCTGATTTTACACCAGCTATACACACATTTATCATGCCACCTAAAGGTTCCCGCACAACCTCTCCAGAATCAGTCACTTTGGA